TTGCTGCTTGCCCCCCTGCTCCTGGCCATCAAACTTGCCTTTAGCCTCTGGTGAAACTGTGACAGCAAACAAAGCCTTGTTTTCCACTGGCGTGGGCTCTTCACCCCCCCTCTGCTTCGGGCCATCTGCAGGCATCGGTCTCTGTTTACCTCTGGCCTTCCGGCCTCTGCAAAGGTGATGACCTTGGTTCTCACGAGAAACAGAGCTCTCAGCTGCCGACTCCTTGGCTTCCCCTGGAGGCTGGAATGCTGCCTGGGATGAAATCACATTCAGCTCCCCCTGCAGCTTGCAACCGGTGCCCTTGGCATCCCTGCATTCACTCGCATTCTGGGAAACAGCCAGGACCTCTGATGCAGTCAAACTCTGGGCTGGGATGACTGGCAGATGGGCTATCTTCAAAGCATTCCACATCTTACGTGCAGTCGTGTTGCCAGCTAGCATTTTAATTTCCTCCAGAGAGACGGACAAGACTATTACGTCTATGGCCTTTGAATCTTGGGCCCTCCATCTATCTGTCAGAGGAACTGGAGGGGCTTCACACACAGTATGCCACACTCCAAACTGTCGCAACAAACTTTCACACCATTTTGCCCAGGTCTCATAATTGTGCCGATTTAACTTTAGGCAGTCAGCAGCTTCAGAAGCTTGGAAAAACTCCATTCCAGCTCTGCACTTGAGCCGTGAGCCTTATTCACTTCAGAGGCTCCTTATCTCGGCTACTCATAAATCTTGAGTTCTGCTTGGCTCAACTCCCAGACCAATTAGTCTGCCGGAGTTCAAAGAGACTTTGCCGTGGCAAGTTTTCCACATACCTCACAGCAGTCTGTCGCAGTCTTACTCTCCTGTAAGTGCCGTGAATCTGGGCCCGAAACCTGTTGTTGGGATACTGCCAGGGAGACAAAGTCCATCATGGCCCCACAAGTCATCTCCGGACGTCCATCAATCTCCCGTAGACACACAGTATCAGCAATTAGCGACACAAGCTCCAGAAATAGCCTGCCACATTCCAGAACTGGTGCACGCTCTATCAGCAGATAATGCACAGCGAAAGATGCACGCAGGAGAGTATTATTTACAGGTTTATTCAGTGTTGGTCAGAACAAAGAAAAACATGACTGCCAGCTTCAGTGTCTCTGACACAGAGAGAGAAACGAAAGCAATAGAAAACATAAACTTCCTCTGAACAGGAAATACGCAGACTCTGTGACTCACAAAGCCTGCTCCCTTTTAAGGTGGAACGGAAATATCCTAACAGTTTATGCACCAACCACTGGTGCTGAAGAAACCCAAATTGACCAATTCTATGAAGACTTACAATACCTTCTAGAAATGACACCAAAGAAGGATGTTCTTCTCATTATGGGGGATTGGAATGCTAAAGTAGGGAGTCAAGAGATAAAAGGAACAACTGGCAAGTTTGGCCTTGGAGTTCAAAACGAAGCAAGGCAAAGGCTAATAGAGTTCTGCCAAGAAAACAAGCTTGTCATCACAAACACTCTTTTCCAACAACACAAGAGACGATTCTACACATGGACATCACCAGATGGGCAGCATCGAAATCAGATTGATTATATTCTCTGCAGCCAAAGATGGAGAAGCTCTATACAGTCAGCAAAAACAAGACCTGGAGCTGACTGTGGCTCAGATCACCAGCTTCTTATAGCAAAATTCAAGCTTAAACTGAAGAAAGTAGGAAAAACCACTGGGCCGGTAAGATACAATCTAAATCAAATCCCTTATGAATACACAGTGGAAGTGAGGAACAGGTTTAAGGATTTAGATTTGGTGGACAGAGTGCCTGAAGAACTATGGATGGAGGCTCGTAACATTATACAGGAGGCAGCAACTAAAACCATCCCAATGAAAAGGAAATGCAAGAAAGCAAAGTGGCTGTCCAATGAGGCCTTTCAAATAGTGGAGGAGAGAAGGCAAGCAAAATGCGAGGGAGATAGTGAAAGATACAGGAAATTGAATGCAGATTTCAAAAAAATAGCAAGGAGAGACAAGAAGGCCTTCTTAAATGAGCAATGCAAAGAAATAGAGGAAAACAATAGAATGGGAAGAACCAGAGATCTGTTCAAGAAAATTGGAGATATGAAAGGAACATTTCGTACAAAGATTACCATAACAAAGGACAAAAATGGAAAGGACCTAACAGAAGCAGAAGACATCAAGAAGAGGTGGCAAGAATACACAGAGGAATTATACCAGAAAGATATGGATGGCTCGTACACCCCAGGTAGTGTGGTTGCTGACCTTGAGCCAGACATCCTGGAGAGTGAAGTCAAATGGGCCTTAGAAAGCACTGCTAATAACAAGGCCAGTGGAAGTGATGGTATTCCAGCTGAACTATTTAAAATTTTAAAAGATGATGCTGTTAAGGTGCTACACTCAATATGCCAGCAAGTTTGGAAAACTCAGCAGTGGCCAGAGGATTGGAGAAGTTCAGTCTACATCCCAATCCCAAAGAAGGGCAGTGCCAAAGAATGCTCCAACTACCGCACAATTGCACTCATTTCACACGCTAGCAAGGTTATGCTTAAAATTCTACAAGGCAGGCTTAAGCAGTATGTGGACTGAGAACTCCCAGAAGTGCAAGCTGGATTTAGAAGAGGCAGAGGAACCAGAGACCAAATTGCAAACATGTGCTGGATTACGGAGAAAGCTAGAGAGTTCCAGAAAGGCATCTACTTCTGCTTCATTGACTATGCAAAAGCCTTAGACTGGGTCGACCACAGCAAACTATGGCAAGTTCTTAAAGAAATGGGAGTGCCTGATCACCTCACCTGTCTCCTGAGAAATCTCTATGTGGGACAAGAAGCTACAGTTAGAACTGGATATGGAACAACTGATTGGTTCAAAATTGGGAAAGGAGTACGACAAGGCTGTATATTGTCTCCCTGCTTATTTAACTTATATGCAGAATTCATCATGAGAAAGGCTGGGCTGGATGAATCCCAAGCCGGAATTAAGATTGCCGGAAGAAATATCAACAACCTCAGATATGCAGATGACACAACCTCGATGGCAGAAAGTGAGGAGGAATTGGAGAACCTTTTAATGAGGGTGAAAGAGGAGAGCGCAAAATATGGTCTGAAGCTCAACATCAAAAAAACGAAGATCATGGCCACTGGTCCCATCACCTCCTGGCAAATAGAAGGGGAAGAAATGGAGGCAGTGAGAGATTTTACTTTCTTGGGCTCCATGATCACTGCAGATGGTGACAGCAGCCACCAAATTAAAAGACGCCTGCTTCTTGGGAGAAAAGTATTGACAAACCTAGACAGCATCTTAAAAAGCAGAGACATCACCTTGCCAACAAAGGTTCGTATAGTTCAAGCTATGGTTTTCCCAGTAGTGATGTATGGAAGTGAGAGCTGGACCATAAAGAAGGCTGATCGCCGAAGAATGGATGCTTTTGAATTCTGGTGCTGGAGGAGACTCTGGAGAGTCCCATGGACTGCAAGAAGATCAAACCCCTCCATTCTGAAGGAAATCAGCCCTGAGTGCTCACTGGAAGGACAGATCCTGAAGCTGAGGCTCCAAGACTTTGGCCTCCTCATGAGAAGAGAAGACTCCCTGGAAAAGACCCTGATGTTGGGGAAGATGGAGGGCGCAAGGAGAAGGGGACGACAGAGGACGAGATGGTTGGACAGTGTTCTCGAAGCTACCAGCATGAGTTTGACCAAACTGTGGGAGGCAGTGGAAGACAGGAGGGCCTGGCGTGCTCTGGTCTATGGGGTCATGAAGAGTCGGGCACGACTAAACAACAACAACAAGAACAACAAAATGTTGCACCGTTCTCTTTACAACCAGGACCTCAGTGGGGCTCTTGACATTCTGATCCCCTATTTTAGTTCTCTTTTCCCAAAGCATGTGAAAGACCTCAGAGGAGAGACGCGAAATCTCATATTGATTCTAGCTCAACTCAATCTTTCACAAAACATCATCTGCCCTTCTGGGGTCAGATAAGGATGGAAGCTGTCGGCAATATACACATCACAGCTTTACACAGAGCAGGAGGGTGGCATGAGGGTTACAAAATGCAGGTATACAAAAATCACGCCTAATACATTCTATCTAAAATGTTAAATGCAATTAATACTTGGACACTTCGAACAAAATCAAAATCTATAATATTTAATCTTCAATCCGCTATCATAATTTTTACACAAATTCCTTCCTATGAAAGCTCAGCAGGGACAGCAAGTGCACCACTGTCGCCCAATCACTCTTATCCCTCTCCCCAGGCATGATGTGAAGAAGCTATTAAAGGAATGAATAAATCCTAATTTGCATCAGCCACCAGCCATAGCAATAAAATAACAATACGATATACAAAGAATAAAAATAAAAAGGTCAGTTATATAAAATACATTTCAGGGTTTTGAGTCAATAGTCAAATGGTGGATCTTATTTAGTTGCCCCAGCTAAAAACCTTGCAACCTTTGCTGTCACCTGCTCATCTTGATCTGCCAAGAGAAAGGACACTGTGAAGAAGGTATTAAACACCTTGGGCCAAGGACTTGCAAGTCATAGCTCTGGGTACGTAGTAGGAATTCCTATTGGGCACAAGATGTGGCAAAGAACCTGGCTGCAAACTTCACCCTCATATTATTTAAAGTCTCCTAAAATTAAACCTGTATACAGCCACTACTACAGTTTGCCTCCAATGTGAATTCTTTGATGGGAAGCAAGACAGGCCCTGTGACTGAAGCTCTTTCCACATTCCAAGCACTGAAATCATTTCCCCCAGCTGTGAATTTTTGATGGATCTTGAGTTTGGCCTTCTCAGTGAATCTCTTTCCATATTCCAAGCACTGATACGGTTTCTCCCCTGTATGAATTATCCAATGGGAAGTGAGATGGGCCCTCTGAGTGAAGTTCTTTTCACATTCGAAGCACTGATAGGGCTTTTCTCCTGAATGAATTCTTTGATGGAAAGTGGGAGATGTACTCTGATTGAAGCTCTTTCCACTGATATGGTTTCTCCCCTTGTATTAATTGTTTGATAGACGGTGAGCTGGATTTTGGTTCTGAAGTTCTTTCCACATTCCAAGCACTGATATGGTTTCTCCCCTGTATGAATTATATGATGGAAAGTGAGACATGCACTCGGATTGAAGCTCTGTCCACTGATAAGGTATCTCCCCTCTATGAATTTGCAGATGGGAAGTGAAAATGTCCTTTCTTCTGAAGATCTTGCCACACTCTTGGCACTCAAAGGATTCCTGCCCTCTGTGAATTCTTTGATGGACGGTGACCTGGCTTTTGGTTCTGAAGCTCTTTCCACATTCTGAGCACTGATAGGGTTTCTCCCCACTATGAATTCTGTGATGGGGATTGAGTTGGCTGCTGCGAGTGAAGCTCTTTCCACATTCCAAACACTGATATGGTTTCTCCCCTGTATGAATTTGCAGATGGAAAGTGAAACTGTCCTTCCGACTGAAGCTCTTGTCACACTCTTGGCATTGATAGGGTTTCTCTCCTGTATGAATTCTTTGATGGCCCATGAGGTGATGTCGTTGAACAAAGCTCTTTCCACATTCTAAGCACTGATATGGTTTTTCCCCTGTATGAATTCTCTGATGGACAGTAAACTTGCTTTTGCTAACGAAGCTCTTTCCACATTCCAAGCACAGATGGGGTTTCTCCCCTGTATGAATTCTCTGATGGTCAGTGAGCTGGGGTCTTTCAATGAAGCTCTTTCCACATTCCAAGCATTGATATGGTTTCTCCCCCGAATGAATTCTCTGATGGTCATTCAGCTGGCGTCTTTCAATGAAGCTCTTTCCACATTCCAAGCACTGATAGGGTTTCTCCCCTGTATGAATTCTCTGATGGATTGTGAGATGGGTGCTCTGAGTAAATTTCTTTCCACATTCCAAGCACTGGTAGGGTTTCTCCCCTGTATGAATTCTTTGATGGACAGTGAGCTGGCCTTTTTGACTGAAGCTCTTTCCACATTCCAAGCAATGATATGGTGTCTCCCCTGTATGAATTCTCTGATGTCTAGTGAAAAGGTCCTTTCGACTGAAGCTCTTTCCACATTCCAAGCACCGATATGGTTTTTCCCCAGTATGATTTCTTTGATGGAAAGTGAAACTGTCCTTTCGACTGAAGCTCTTTCCACATTCCAAGCACTGATAGGTATTATTCCAGATGGGATTAATTTGATGGAAAGTGGAATGGGAGCTCTGACTGAAGCTCTCTCCGTACTCTGAATATGGATATGGCTCCTCCACTGTGTGGATTTCGTTGTGGTCTCCCTCACTCTTCATTTCCAATTCATCACCACCTGCAACTGAGAGACAAACAGATTAGAGCCTCAGGAATAAATGCAGCCCCAACTAACGGAGTAATGCCAATTAATGCTTGTGACAAAGAAAGAACTGAAGGGAATTATATAGTAATAGTAATAGTAACGTTATTATTTACACCCCACCCATCTGGCTGGCTTTCCCCAGTCACTCTGGGCAGCTTAGAGCATATATAATAGCATAGTAAAACATCAAGAATCAAAAACTTCCTGATACAGGGCTGCCTTCAGTCTTCTAATATTTGTGTCCTTGACATCTGAATGGGGGGGGGGGTGGTCCACAGCTTCCATCATGGTGTTCTGTTGCACCAGAAGTGGTTTTGTCCTGCTGACCACATGACCCGGAAAGCTGTCTGTGGACAAACGCCAGTTCCCTCAGCCTGAAAGTGAGATGAGCGCCGCAACCCATAGTCGCCTTTGACTGGACTTAACAGTCCAGGAGTCATTTTCCTTTACTTTTAGCTGCCATGACTGAGAAGATGGGAGGTCTTCCTACAGGTTCACTGACTGAGATTCAAAAAGCCTGGCTGCTTTCTGGGATGGATTTTATTAGGCCCAATCACGGAAACTTTGCCAACTCCATTGCCAATCCTAGCTTTGGTCAACCAAAGACAGAAAGAAGCAAGAACAGAAACAAAAACCCTGACAGAACCCACTTCTACTTCCCAAACCAATCTGAAGCCTACATTTAAGAAGACCTGGGCAGTTCAGAGGAGCCTGTCCATGTTTCACAAAGGCAGAATAGAAGGAAGAATATTCACAGGGGCAACCATCATTAGCCATCCATCCAAGGTTTGCTGTGGGAGTGTTAACATCCCAGGTGCTGTGGGTGGTGTTGTTGAGTCCCATCGAAATATCAGAGGTTTGTCACCTAGAGAGAATGAATTACAAAGCAGATAAGATGATCCAATAGGGAGCCTTACCGAGAGAGTCCAAGATCCCACGAATCTCCTCCATGACCTCCTGATGCAGAGCTCTCTGGTCAGGATCTAGCAACGCCCACTCCTCATCTGTGATATAGACAGCTACATCTTCAAAGCACACTGGACCCTAACAGAAAAAGAAAAAGGCTGTCCTCTTAGACCTAATAAAGGTGATCTGTTACACTTTACTCTGTTGTTTTCTGCCTCTTAATTGCTGTTCTGTTTTAATGGGTTCGTTTTGCTGCACATTTTGATTATGGGTGCTGTCAGAGCTGCTTCCAGATCCTAGCTCACAGAGGATCACGCTAGCCAGCGATCATTAAACAAAAGTCTTTATTGAGTTACAGTTTCCATTCTCAAACTGCTGCGTGCAACTCTACGTCTCATGGTTAGACCGGCGAAGCTCCGTCTGAGTCTCCGCCCTTGTACACCAACTTAATATCCTAGCCCTGCTCCACCTTTTCCGCCTGACTGTTCTTCTCTGGGTCCCTCTGCCCCCTGGGGTCTCTTCTTTCCGGGATTCCGCGGACGCTGACCCCCCGGGCGCTTCTCCCTCCTGTCGGCGGGGTGTAGGCCGTGGCTCGCTGTCCGGGCTGCCTCCTGTGCCACTTTCCTGTGCATTTGAACTTGCGCGCGCGCCCAACCTTCCACCTTCCGTCTGACCGTTTCTTCGCTCCCCGATGGAGGTGTGGCCACCCTGACTCGTGCCCTCCCCTGCTGTGAGCTGCCAGCGCTGATCCCTGGCTCCCTTCCTCTTCCCTGCTCTCTGGCGGTGACGCTGGTCCCGATTTCCAACTGCTCCCCTCTGAGTCCCCTCTGGCTCTATCTTCCTGGGGCGTCCCCTAGGCTCCCCCTTGCCCTGGCCACTGGTGCTCCTTTCTGTGAATCTTCTGATTCACTGGAAAGACTCGGAGATCTCGGGTCGTCGTCATCACTCATCTTTTCTTCTGCCTCCTCCCCCTCGCTCTCTGTTTCCTCCCTTGCCCTTGCCTCTGCTCCTGAACCCCTGACAGGTGCATATTTTAATGTCTTAATATCTTCCATTCCTGGGTTAGGTGATTGAGAGAGCGGTTGCTGAACAGCTTGGCAGGTTTCTGGATGAAACATCGGCTCTGGATCCATTCCAGTCCGGCTTCCGCGCTGGTCATGGGACCGAGACGGCTCTGGTCGCCCTAACAGATGATCTCCGCAGGCAGCTGGATCGAGGCGGGTCGGGGCTGCTGATTCTTCTAGACCTGTCAGCAGCCTTCAACATGGTCGATCACAAACTCCTGGACCACCGCCTTGCCGACGTGGGGATCCAGGCACAGTCCTTCAATGGCTGAACTCGTTTCTCTCTGGTCGGGGACAGAGGGTGGCGCTTGGGGGGGAATTGTCATTGCGCCACTCCTTGGTGTGTGGAGTGCCTCAGGGTGCGATACTCTCCCAGATGCTTTTTAACATCTTTATGCGCCCCCTCGCCCAGCTTGTCCGGAGTTTTGGGCTGGGCTGCCATCAGTATGCTGATGACACCCAACTCTATCTGTTGATGGATGGCCATCCTGACTCGGCCCCAGACACACTGACCAGATGTTTGGAAGCTGTGGCTGGATGGTTACGTGGGAGCCGGTTGAAGTTGAATCCTTCAAAGACAGAGGTCCTCTGGCTGGGACGGGACGATATGGGATTGGGGGGGCAACTCCCATCTCTTGCGGGGGTGCAATTAGTGCCAGCACCGTCCGTTAAGAGTTTGGGTGTAATCTTCGACACCTCCCTTTCCATGGAGGCGCAGATTGCAGCTATAACAAAGGTGGCATTTTTTCATCTCCGCCAAGCTAAGCAGTTGGCTCCTTATCTCTCTCGCCCTGACCTAGCCACTGTGATCCACACGATGGTCACCTCCAGACTGGATTATTGTAACTCGCTCTACGTGGGGCTGCCCTTGAGACTGACCCAGAAACTCCAGCGGGTGCAGAATGCCACGGCGAGACTCCTTACGGGGTCCTCGCTGTGGGATCACATTCACCCGGTGCTATACCAGCTGCACTGGCTCCCGGTGGAGTACAGGATCAGGTTTAAGGTGCTGGTTTTAACCTTTAAAGCCCTATACGGCCTAGGACCCTCGTACCTACGGGACCGCCTCTCCTGGTATGCCCCACAGAGGAACTTACGGTCTTCAAACAAAAACATCCTGAAGGTCCCAGGCCACAGAGAGGTTAGGCTGGCCTCAACTAGAGCCAGGGCTTTTTCAGCCATGGCCCCGATCTGGTGGAACGCTCTGTCACAAGAGACTAGGGCCCTGCGGGACTTGACATCTTTCCGCAGGGCCTGCAAGACGGAGCTGTTCCACCAGGCCTTTGGTCAGGGCACAGCCTGACTCCCTCCTCTGGCAATCTTTACAGAACTTAAGCTTATGGTTGCCATCAATTTGATTTTAATTAATTTTTATAATGAAATGTTTTTAGAATGTTGCACTATTTTATTGTTGTTAGCCGCCCTGAGCCCGGCTTCGGCTGGGGAGGGCGGGATATAAATAAAATTTATTATTATTAAATTTATTATTAATGGAATCCTTTTATTGTTTATTTTAATGATGAACATAAAGAACCTGGTCTTCTCCAGATCATGGTTTTCCTGTTTGTCACATGGAAGGATCCCTTCTCTCCTCTCCCTGTTTTTGGTTCTGGGGGGTGGGGGGAGAGAGAGACCTCCAGGTGCCCCCAAGCCAACTTCAAGGTCACATGGGGGCATGTGAGGAGAGGGGGGGAAGCCCCATTGTGTGAATGAGGACGTGAAGCCTGCCCAGAAGTCTATGTCAAGGAACTGCCATCGGAACAGGGGCAGGAAACAGAGGGGCAGTTGTGTTACAGGGAGCCTCCGATAATCTTGCGAAACAGATCCTCCTCCGGTGATGAGGAAAGCCCCACCTCCAGTGGGGAAGAGGGGAAAGACCAGAGGATGCTGGAGGGAGCCTCAGCCCCGCTCCTGGCCAAGCCGGCCAGGAGGAAAGCACGCCCCTTCCATCACCCACCCTGCGCAGAAGTCTAAAGCGCAAAGAGGGAAGGAAAAGGCTGGGCGTAACGAGGCTTATATGCTGGGGGAGGACCAGGAAATAGGCACTCCTGGATTCTGCCAGCGACTGAGGCAGACATGAGCTTTGGGGCTCTGCACTGTAAATAGTTTTGCACCTAAATAAAACCTGTAAAAGACAGGTCGGAGTCCTGCCTGGTTACTCGTGAGCAACCACCCGTGCCACCTGACAGTCTATTTTAGCCTTCAATCTAGAAATAAAACCTCAATAGTTAAAAAAAAAATTAGTGACCTTCAGAAGGTGAGGTGGCACTTCCTTGTTCTCAGCACATAAACCTCACTGAATGGTGTTTCATCGTTTGCACCCCGAGCAACTCTGGCTGCCCCATCCCACTGCCTTACCCACTGTAGGTGAAGTTAACCCTTTATTAGAAGAAGCCTAATGAGCACAGGAACACTTCTTGTAGGTCTTGCCTCCATGAAGGTGTTTCAGGGGCTGAAGGTCCCTGCCTTCCCCCAACTGCCAAACTCCCCTCCTCTCCTGGGCTCTTCCCTTGCAATCTGAGACTGCTCCTCCTGCTCTTGGCTCTCCGAGTTGTGGGAGACAAGCAGGGAAGAGAGCTTGTCACAGGAGGGTAGGGAGACTCCCATGCCTCTACAACAACCAGAGCCCTCTCTGCCTCTCTCCTCCCATCCCCTGCTTCCGCTTCTGCCTCTGTGTCTGGACTGCTCTCTGCCACAGACTCCCCCGGGTCACTAGGCCCTGTTGCCTCTTCAGTTTCAGACACCTTCTCCTCCCAGTCTCCTTCCTTTTCTCATCATTATCCCCAAACCCCTCCCCTGGCCCTGAGCCTTCGTTCCTTGGAGGTTCCTCCCACCATTCCTCTGTGCCCCCCAGTCTCTCCCCATGTGACATCCTCTCTCCCCACATGGCCCCTTCCTCCTACCTGCTCTGGGTCCACAGGGGCAGCTTCCCCTCCGCCACCAAGAAAAGATGGGCAAGCAGGTCTTGCTGGCATCGTTCCGTCTCCTGCAAGAGAAGAAGGTAAGTGGGAAGCCAAGAGCGCATGCTTCACTCCGAAGGAAAACTACAGGTGCGCCTTCAAACAAGGAGGAGTTGCCACGTAAATGTGGACGTTTGTACCCATTTCACATACTAGAGTGCAAAAATACACAAACCCTGGGCTCTTGGTCCCCTGTGACCTCCCCCCAAAGATGAGAAGAATTCACAGATTAGCTTCAAAATCCACAAAATGTGACCAAACAAAGAAAACACTCCTTCCTCCTTACCCAGAGGCCTCTCTCTGGAGTCCAAGGGAGCCTTCTCTGCCTCAGAGGAATCTGGACCCATTTCTGCTAACGGATCCTTCCCCTGAAAGAGCAACACGGATTCAAAAAAGTAGATTAGAAATGGAATGGCTCAGGACGCAAACACTTTAGGGCTGTCCGATATCATTCCTCGGATGCTTTCCAAAAAAGGATGGGCAAATTAGTAGAGCATTGGGGGATGCTCTCCCTCATTTTTTGAGCCCCTTGCGCAGGGATCAGCAAACCTTTTCAGCAGGGGACTGCTCCGCTGTCCCTCCAAACTTGTGGGAGGCTAGACTATATTTTTGGGGGGGAAATGAACGAATTCCTATGCCCCACAAATAACCCAGAGATGCATTTTAAATAAAAGGACACATTCGACTCATATAAAAACACTCTGATTCCCGGAGCATCCATGGGCTGGATTTAGAAGGCGATTGGGCCAGATCTGGCCCCCGGGCCTTAGTTTGCTAACATATGCCCTTGGGAGTATCCAGAGGAAAGTCTCTCTCACCTGCTGCTCTGCCTGCTTCCTCTCCTCTGCCTGACTCAGGAGGAAACCTTCGGCCAGGGCCACCGCCTGGGAACTGGACTCCGCTCCACATTCCCTCACCCAGTTCTCCATCTCCAGAGGAAGGACAGCCAGGAACTGCTCCAAGATCACCAGGTCCAGCATCTGAGCTTTCGTGTGCCTTTCCGGCTTCAGCCACAGATGGTCAAGATGGTAGAACTGGCTGCAAACCTCTCGGGGTCCTTTGGCCTCCTGGTAGCAGAACTGACTGAACTGCTGGCTCTGCACCTCTGAGCAAGGGGTGTCCTCCTCACCCAGTTCCTTCCTCACAGTGTTTTCCCAGAATCCCCCACTGCTCCCATGTTGGATGGCATGGCCTCTTCCTGCTTCAGGGCCAGCTGAGTCTTGCTCATCCATCTCTGTTCCCAGGAGATCGGAAGGAGTCCCTAGGTCTTCTGCCAAGTTCTGCCTGTCCTAATGAGAGGTGCCAGAGAATCCTGTAAAGCAAATGCATTCTTCTACTACCAGATTGATACACAGTCAGGAGAAGAGAAATGTTCCCTGGGCCAGCATGGATGAGTCTGAATCACAGCCCAGACTCGGAGTTCAAGCACCATATTCCCATATTCTGAAGACAGACTTCTGTCTTTGTTCTGAGGGCAACTCTCTCCCCCTTCAGAAGCATGGCTGCCTCCCACTGGGGGGCCTGGAGCCATCGCTAGCCCTCTGCTCCTCCCTGAATGGGCCTCATCCTCTTCTCAAGCCATCTCTTCCTCCTGTGGCAGGGAGTTCCATGGGTCTAACTGCGCACTGGGAGATGGAAGGACTTGGTTTAGCACAGAGGCCAAGTTTTTATTTCTGCCTCCAGATGTTTCCATCTGGCTGCCACCTGGGCTAAGGAACGTGGCTGATTCCTCAATCGCATTAGGGTTCCTTTGCAGGCCCTTTTCTTCCTGACTCAGTGACCCCTCCCCAAAGGAGCAAGCGGCCTCTTGAATGTGGAGGAAGAAGAAGGAGAAGGAGAAGAAGAGGAGGAGGAGGAGTTTGGATTTGATATCCCGCCTTTCACTCCCTTTAAGGAGTCTCAAAGCGGCTAACATTCTCCTTTCCCTTCCTCCCCCACAACAAACACTCTGTGAGGTGAGTGGGGCTGAGAGGCTTCACAGAAGTGTGACTGGCCCAAGGTCACCCAGCAGCTGCAGGTGGAGGAGCGGAGACGCGAACCCGGTTCCCCAGATTAGGAGACTACCGCTCTTAACCGCTACACCACGCTGGCTCTTGCAGACCTCCTGTTACTTGCAGCCTCCCTGGCTTTGCAGAGAGAAGGGGGGCAGAACCTCTTAGCCCTGGCTTGGGGATCCCCTTGCAGGAGCTGAGCAGAATCCCCACAGATCCGTCCCCTGCAACCCTGGGACACCCCGCCCCACTTCTCCCCAATGCACCCTAGGGCAGAAAAGAGAGGAAACTCACCAGATGCCAGAAGGGGCTACCTAGACAGCTCTTGCAGAGGAAATAAAAGTCATCCCCTTGCAAGGAGGAACCTTGGGAGGTGGGAGGGGCTTTTGCTCGCCCCCCCCCTTATTTCCTGTCCTCTCTAGGAACGCAGCTCAGTTCCTTTTAACTCTTGCAAGGCGGAGCAAACCAAGCTCGCATTCTCTCTCTCTGGAATCACGTGCATTGCACACATCCGGGGGGTCTTTTGGGGGCCCCTCCCGGCCGGCCTCTCCAAAAGCGGAGCCCCAGCGCGCAGGAGGAGGAGGTAGCCGGGGGGAGTCGGGGCTCCGTCCTCGCCAGCAAGGGCACCTGGCTGGCCGCGGCTCCCCCGCCGACTCCGCCGCCCCCAAGGCCGGGCTGGGGACTCCCTCTGCCCCGGAGGAGGAGGAGGAGGGAGCCCGGCCCGGGATGCCCGCCGCCCTACGAGCCTCGCAGCAGCAGCCTCAGGCGCGCGCCCGCCCAGGGCGACGGAGGGCGCTGCTGGAGGCGCGCGTGCCCGGCAAGACGCTCCTGCGCCGGGAAGCTCCGGAGAGCCGGGCTCGGGGCCGAGCTTCGCGCGCTCCCCCGCCGCACCCCATCCTCTGGGGAAACCACCCTCCAGGGTCTTCTCTGGGGGACCCCCGGACCGGCTTCCGAGCTCTTCCTTCCCCTGGAAACTGAAGCCGGAGGAGCACGAAAGGCCCGGGAGGAGGGGCTCTGCAAGGTGTAAACTGCACCTTGAAAGGATCGGGACCCTCAAGCAAGAAATTAGGCAATGCGACCTTTACTCGGAGGTCGAGGGAGGCTCCCCCCCCCCATTTCATTCAGCCTTGCTCTCTTATGCTTCCTTCCTAATGAAGCTTTTTGCTCCTTTCCAAAACAAAGTAACTCTTCTTGTGACTTGTAGAACCTCTAGATAAATTTGTGTATAACTCTTTGTATCCCTATGTAGAAACTTTATTTCTCTGGTATCCTGTAGATGTCGCTATGTAACCTTGCTTCTCCCAATTTACAATCAGCGACGGAAATGAGAATGGGAACTTTGTACCTGGGATGCAACATTTTATTGAAGAAATGCAGCAAGATGCTATTCCCTTTCTAAACCCCTTCCTGCCCTTAGCTCTTCCTTTCTCTCCTTCCTTCTGTCTTTGAAGGCGCTAGAAGGGACAGATCCGCTTCCTCCCACGAAGAAATAAGTTCCCATCCCATCTCCAGCCCTATTGTTATTCTAAGAAATTGATGGTCATGTCACTAAAGATAATTTTCCACGGGATCTCTGTGGGTTGGGGAAATGAATTGACTTGCAACACTTCCATCCTTCTTGCACCCCACGCCATTGCAGCTCCCCTAATCTTGCAAAATGAGGGATCCATGGCATTTAGGACCCCCTACGATCCTAGGGGTGTAAGAAATCCAGACTTGCCTTGCATAGGGCTTCCTCTTCCTGCTCCTCTTGCTGCTTGTATAGGGAACCTGGTTGCAACAGAATAAAGGACCATTGTATAAGTGCCTTTGCTTCGCTTCTGACTATTGAGGAGCCTGGTAAGGTCTCACGAACCACCAACACATTTTTACAATTTCAATCCTTCACATCAATTGTTGCTTTGAATATGCTTCTCTCTGTGTGTCTGTATGTACACACTTGTGCAAGGAGTAGAGTGTTTGCTTAACTGCTCAACTTCGTAAATGAAGAAGAGGAGTACCCTGAAGCAAACAAACTTGTCCTGCTCTTGCCCCCAACACGCTTTGGCGCACGATGGACCAAGAACTCTGCTTCCTCGTGGAGACAATTCTTTCCCCTTGGCATACGCCCACTGTGAATGATCAAAGGAGGGCAGCAGAAAGGGAATCCTTGACTTAGGCTTCTCACAGAGGAAAGAAAAATAAAAAGTATGTGAATTGCTCGTGTGATCAGAATTTGTTTCCATATCACCTGTCCATTACCTAGGCAAGGGAACACCTGAAACAAGCTCAGAACCAAGAGAATGAGAGCAATCTCAACGTCTTGCAGGGACCCAGTTTATTCAAATAGAACAGCCTTCCTAACCAGTTGTTCAGCACAACGGATAGTTCAAAAAGGCTGCCAGGAGGCACATTAGAAGAAGGCTTATATACACAGCACACAAAGACTCATAAAATGCCACAACACTCTTCCACTTGAATCAAGAAAGGTCACAGGTCATGGGACGCATGGCTCAATGTGGATATCGACTCCTCTGCAATTACCTTGGGGAGTCCCAGAGTGTCCAGGTCATTTGGGTCTCATATGTCTCACTTTGACACCATGCCCACGGCAACCAGGACTTCCATGGGACTGTTGACATTTCTATCCGCTATCTTACTTTCCTGTTCCCAAAACATGTCAAAGACCTTTGAGGAGAGATGTGAGTTCTCACATGGATGCTAGCGCAACACAGACCTCTTTCCCAAAACATCATCTGCCCTTCTAGGGTCTGAAAAGGATGGAGGCTGTAGGAAATGTACACATCACAGCTTTACACAGAGCAGGAGGGTGGCATGAAGATTACAAAATGCAGGCATACAAAAATCAAGCCTAATGCATTCTATCAAAAAGGCTAAATGCAATTCATACTAGGACACTTCGAACAGAATCAAAATCTATAATATTCAATCAATTATCAAAATTTTTACACCAAGTCCTTCCTAGGAAAGCTCAGCAGGGACAGCAACCTCATCAGTGTCGCCCAATCACTCTTATCCCTCTCCCAAGTCATGACGTGAAGAAGCTATTGAAGGAATGAATAAATTATAATTTGGGTCAGCCACCGGCCATAGCAATAAAACAATATGATATACAAAAAATAAAAATAAAAAGTCAGTTATATAACATATTTTTAAGGGTTTTGAGTAAATAATCAAACGGTGGATCTTATTCTAATTGCCCCAGCTAAAAACCTTGCAACCTTGGCTCATCTTGATCTGCCAAGAGAAAGGACACTGTGCAGAAGGTATTAAACACCTTGGCGAAGGACTTGCAAGTCACAGCTCTGGGTATGTACAGTGGTGCCTCGCAAGACGAAATTAATTCGTTCCGCGAGTTTTGTCGTCTTGCGATTTTTTTCGTCTTGCAAAGCACGGTGTTGGGAAAGTTTTGGAAAAGCTTCAAAAATCACGAAAGTCTTTAAAAACCTCAAAAAAGGCTACCACACCGTGTTCTATGAGTTGCTCCTCGAAGTCAAGTCGCAACTGTATTAACGGTGTTAAGAAAAGGAAACAAACTTGCAAGACGTTTCCGTCTTGCGAAGCAAGCCCATAGGGAAAATCGTCTTGCGAAGCAGCTCAAAAAACAAAAAACCCTTTCGTCTAGCGAGTTTTCCGTCTTGCGAGGCATTCGTCTTGCGAGGGACCACTGTAGTAGGAATTACTATGGGGCACCAGATGTGGCAAATAACCCGGCTGCAATCCTCTCCTCATATGAACTAAAGTCTCCTAAAATTAAATCTGTATACAGCCACTACTATAGATTGCCCCCAATGTGAGTTCATTGATGGGAAGCGAGACGGGCCCTGTGACTGAAGCTCCTTCCACATTCCAAGCACTGAAATCGTTTCCCCCCACTGTGAATTCTCTGATGGATTGTGAGTTTGGCCTTTGCAATGAATCTCTTTCCACATTCCAAGCAATGATGGGATTTGTCTCCTGCATGAATTCTTTGATGGACAGTGAGCTGGCTTCTGTCAATGAAGCTCTTTCCACATTCTGAGCACTGATAGGGTTTATCCCCTGATGAATTCTGTGATGGGTTGTGAGTTGGGTGCGCCGGGTGAATTTCTTTCCACATTCCAAGCATTGATATGGCTTCTCCCCCGAATGAATTCTCTGATGGTCAGTGAGCGTGCGTCTATCAGTGAAGCTCTTTCCACATTCCAAGCACTGATAGGGTTTCTCCCCTGTATGAATTCTGTGATGGACAGTGAGCTGGCGTCTGTCAGTGAAGCCCTTTCCACATTCTGAGCACTGATAACGTCTCTCCCCTGTATGAATTCTGTGATGGGTTGTGAGATTAGCTCTCTGAGTGAATTTCTTTCCACATTCCAAGCACTGGTAGGGTTTCTCCCCTGTATGAATTCTGTAATGGACCGTGAGCTGACGTCTGTCAATGAATCTCTTTCCACATTCCAAGCACTGATAGGGTTTCTCCCCTGTATGAATTCTGTGATGGACAGTGAGCTGGCGTCTGTCAATTAATCTCTTTCCACATTCTAAGCACTGATAGCGTTTCTCCCCTGTATGAATTCTCTGATGGGTTGTGAGATGGGCACTCTGAGTGAATCTTTTTCCACATTCTGAGCACTGATATGGCTTCTCCCCTGTATGAATTCTCTGATGGACACTGAGAAGGCCTCTGTGAATGAAGCTCTTTCCACATTCCAAGCACTGATGGCGTTTATTCTCAAGGGGATTTCTTTGATTTGAAGTGGAATGGGAGCTCTGGCTGAAGATCTCTCCGTACTCTGAATATGGATATGACATCCCCACTGTTTGGCTTTTGTTGCGGTCTCCCTCATTCTCCTTCTCCAATTCATCATCATCTGCAACTAAGTGACAAACAGATTAGACCTCAGGAAGCAATGGAGCCCCAAATTATGGAGCAGTGCTAATTAATGCTTGTGACAGGGAAAGAACTGAAGGGAGCTAGATGTGAGGTCTTCCTCCAGGGTTCACTGCCTGAGATTCAAAAAGCCTGCTTATTTTCTGGGACGGATTTTGTTTGGCCCAATCATGGGATCTGCACCATCTCCAATGTCACTCGTCTCTTTAGTCAGCCAACAGATAGAAGAAGAACAGAAGCAAAACATCTGAGAGAAGCCACTTCAACTTCCTGAATCACTTTGAAGATACATTTAAGAAGGCCTGGGCAGTTTAGAGGACTCTGAAAAAATATTGGGGGGGGGGGGTGTCTTATCTGCCCTGAAGGATCTTCAGATGAGCATCCCCCCCCCCTGCTCAGCACCTTGCACCTCTGGTGGCGCTGCCCCTATGAGGGGATGGGAGGAGCCTGAGGGGCAAGGAGAGCGGTCACCTCCTCCTCCTGTACATCTGGCCAGATGCTTCCCAGCCCTGCTGGAGCCATGGCTGCTTTCCTGAGGCCTTTTCTCTGCTTCTGCCCCCATGAAGGGGCCCTGATGGGAGTCTGTGGGGGCTGCAGACAGGCCAGCCCTTTAAGAGCAAAAGGAGGGCCATCTTGGAGGGGGGTAGGCAAGATGATGATGATTTTATTATTTATATGCCAGTCATCTGGCTGAGTTTCATGCTTTGAAAAGGCAGAACTGGAGGAAGAATATTCACAGAGAAAACAATCAACAGCCATCCATCCAAGGTTTGCTGTGGGAGTGTTAGCATCCCAGGTGTTGTGGGTGGCGCTGTTGAGCCCCATCAAAATATCAGAGGTTTGTCACCTAGAGAGATGTCTTGAATTACAAAACAGATAGGATGATCCAAGAGGAAGCCTTACCGAGAGAGTCCAAGATCCCACGATTCTCCTCCATGACCTTCTGATGCAGAGCTCTCTGGTCAGGATCCAGCAACAGCCACTCCTCATCAGTGAAATGGACAGCTACATCTTCGAAGCACACTGGACCCTAAAAGAAAAAGGTTGTCCTCTTAGACAATATCAAGGTCAAGAGTTACACTTTCATCTGTTGTCTTCTGCCTCTTAATTGATATTACGTTTTAATGGGATTCTTTCTCTGCACATTTCATTATGGATACATTCCCGTTTGCCACATGGAAGGATCCCATTTCTTCTGTCCCTCTGTGCTGTTCTTGCCGGGTGGGGAGGACCCTCCTGATGCGCTATAGACAACTTCAAAGTGTGCAGGGGGGCAACGACAGGGGGATGAGAGGGGGAAACCCCCATTGTGCGACTGATGGGGTGCCCCCCCTCTCCAGGGCTCTCCCCAGGCAATCTGAGGCTGCTCCTCCAGCTTCAATGCTGTCCAGGGTTATAAAGACTGTGGAGAGAATAATTGGGTGCACTCTTTCCACCTTGGATCAAATCTACGCTTCCAGGTGTCACAAGAAAGATGCAGATATAGCGCAGGATAGTGCGCACCCCGGAAATGATCTCTTTCAGTTTCTGCCTTCTGGAAGAAGGTACAGGGTTATAAAGACTAGGACTAGCTGCCTGAGAAACAGTTTCTATCCAAATGCAATTTTGGTTTTAAACGCAATGTAAGGTAGTCTCTGTAAGAGTATATTGTATTTAATTATGGGGTATCAGAGGTTTTAGGGGGTTAATCAGGCTGGGATAGCAGGCTTGTTGGTTTCTGAATGACTGATGTAGATTTTTTCAATTTCGTTGTTCTGTATGGGACAATGACAATAAAGATTATTGTATTCATTGCTCTCTGGGTTGTGGAGTACCAGCAGGGAGGAGAGCTTGTCACAAGAGGACTAGGAGACCCTTAATCTTCTTCACCAGCTGGATTCCTCTCTGCTTCTTGGTCTCCCGCATCTCACTCCCCTGCCTCCGCTTCTGCCTCTGTGTCTGGATTGCTCTCTGCCACAGACTCCCTCTGCTCACTAAGACTTGTTGCTTCTTCAGCTACCGACACCTTCTCCTCCCAGTCTCCTTTTCTCCCTCTAACCTCTCATCATCGTCCCCCCACCCCTCCCCTGGCCCTGAGCCTTCGTTCCTTGGCGGTTCCTCCCACCATTCCTCTGTGTCCACCAGTCCATGACATCCTCTCTCCCCACATGGCTCCTTCCTCCTACCTGCTCTGGGTCCACAGGGGCAGCTTCCCCTCCGCCACCAAGAAAAGATGGACAAGCAGGTCTTGCTGGCATCATTCTGTCTCCTGCGAGAGAAGAAGGTAAGTGGGAAGCCAAGAGCGCATGCTTCACTCCGAAGGAAAACTACAGGTGCGCCTTCAAACAAGCAGGAGTTGCCACCTAAATATGGACGTTTGTACCCATTTCACATACTAGAGTGCAAAAACACATCTCTCTTTCTCTGGGCTCTTGGTCCTCTGTGACTTCCCCCCCACCCCAAAGATTAAATTAGTTTCAGAATCCACAAAATGTGACCCAACAGAGAGAAAACTCCTTCCTCCTTACCCAGAGGCCTCTCTCTGGAGTCCAAGGGAGTCTTCTCTGCCTCAGAGGAATCCGGACCCATTTCTGCTAACAGATCCTTCCCCTGAGAGAGCAACAAGGATTCAAGAGAGAGTGGGGAGAAGGATTAGAAAAGGAGCAGCTGACGCAAACACTTTAGGGCTGTCCGATATCATTCCTCGGATGCTTTCCAAAAAAGGATGGGCAAATTAGTAGAGAACTGGGGGGATACTCTCCCTCCTCTTTGGAGCCCCTTGGGAGTATCCAGAGGAAAGTCTCTCTCACCTGCTGCTCTGCCTGCTTCCTCTCCTCTGCCTGACTCAGGAGGAAACCTTCGGCCAGGGCCACTGCCTGGGAACTGGTCTCCACTCCGCATTCCCTCAGCCAGCTCTCCATCTCCAGAGGAAGGACAGCCAGGAACTGCTCCAAGATCACCAGGTCCAACATCTGAGCTTTCGTGTGCCTTTCCGGCTTCAGCCATTGACAGCAAAGGTGGTAGAGTTGGCTGCAAACCTCTCGGGGTCCTTTGGCCTCCTGGTAGCAGAACTGCCTGAGCAGCTGGCTCTGCACCTCTGAGCAAAGGGTGTCCTCCTCACCCAGTTCCTTCTTCACAGAGTTTTCCCAGAATCCCCCACTGCTCCCATGGTGGGTTCCAAGGCCTCTTCCTGCTTCATGGCCAGCTGAGTCTTGCTCATCCATCTCTGTTCCCAGGAGATTGGAAGGAGTCCCTACGTCTTCTGCCAAGTTCTGCCTGTCCTAATGAGAGGTTTTGGCAAATCCTAAAAAGCAAATACATTTTTCTGGTATAAAATTGATACACAGTAAGGAGGAGAAAAGGGTTCCCTGGGCAAGCATGGAGAAGTATTTGCAGGAATCACAGCCCAGACTCAGAGTTTCTTTTTTAAAAGAGAAAGAATGAAGTCAGAATTGACAAGTGAGTCATTTGTACCAAGTGTAGTTTGGACTCAACGCAAGAGTGGGGGTCCCTCCCCCCCCAAATGCCAGGGCACATTTCTTTCCAGTGCCTGTCCCTTTTTCCTTTGTTCTGAGGGCCAGATCCTGACCTGACCAAAGGACAGCTCTCAAAAGCAAGAAAAGTAGGACTGCCCTTCATTCTGTGATTGTATGTGGCTTTAAGTTCTTTTCAGTATTGTGTTTTAATGTTGTAATCTGCCTTGGGAACGGAGGGTGAAAATGGGATGGGGATGATGGTGATGGTGAAGGTGTTACATAGCTTAACCCCCCCCCAGCCCCACTTGCTTGGAGGTTCTTTGGCATCCACCTGGTCCCTCAGGTGGCCTCAGGGACTGGCAGTGCCCACTGGAAGCTCCAGCCACCGTCCCTTTGGCACAGAGAGGATGTGGCCATGGGGCTTCCTGCTCTGGATCCCATGGGGTGGTTGCAAGTCCTCTGGGTGGAACTGCCCTGGAAGACGGCTCCGAAACTGGCCCCAAACGGCTGGGCTCCCCTTTTTATTTGTGGCATATTCATCCCACCTTTTTCTCCAATCCACGGGTCTGCCCCTCCTCACTGAATCCCCACAAATATCCTTGGGAACATATTTATGTCTTTTAAATTCTACTGGATCCAGAGCAGAACTCTCACATATAGTTAGCAGAGTAAGAACTCAAACACATTGCAGGATTCAAAAAGAAAAAAAGAAAAAAAGAAAGAAAGAAAAAAGATCAGCAGCAATTATATATTCCATCCACCAGAGCTTTACTGCTAGCCAAGGCAAATGAGCATAATGGTCACAAATCCAACACATCCAGGAGTGGCACGGTCCAGTTGCAGCAGACTTAATTTAATCTCTCCCCCCGCCCCTCCCCGGCAGCCCTGGGACTTGCCCCTTCTCCCCCCTGCGCCCTATGGGGAAGAGAGAGGAGACTTACAAGATCCCAAAGGTGCCACCGACGCAGCTCTTGCAGAGGAGACGAAAACCTCCCCCTGGAAGAGAGGAAATGGGGGGGGGGGGATTTCCTCGGGAGGACCTCGTCCTCCCCCCTTATGTCCTGTCCTCTCTAGGAATCCAGCCCAGTTCCTTTTAACCCTTGGCGAGCCGGGCTCCTCCCCCCTCCCTCTGCAAAGCAGGAGCCCCGGGCATCGCAGCCTCCAGGAGGGACTTATTTTGACAACCCTCTGGGCTGGCTCCTGAGCTGTTCCCTCCCTTGGAAAAGGAAGCAGGAGCAACAGGGTTAAAGAAAATAATCGGGTTTACGGGCCTCACACCGCTCCCCCCCCCCCCAGTTATCTAGGGGCAGCAAAAGGAGGAGACTCCAGCCAAGCTGAAGAAGGAAAATAGCGGTCAGCAGACCTGATCTTTGTTTGTTGCAAGGAAGGTTCAAAGGTGGCAAAGAGGAAGAACCCCCAGCAAGGGTGAAAGGGATTTTCCCACAATGCATCCCTCCCACCATCACCAAAGCGTCATGACCTCTTGGATCCCCTTCGAAGCTTGAAGCATGGGTACCCCCAACAAAAATTTAAAAATTTGGCTATGTAATTTGGAACTGATGTGATTTGGAATTAATGTGATTTGATTGGCCTGTTAATAAAAATTATTTTTTAAAAAAAACAAAACGTCATGTCCTCGTCAGAAAAGAGGAGTGGTTGTCATGCAGGAAGGAGAAAGTGTCGCCCCCCCCCCCGCCAGTCATCCCAGCTCCCACCGCCTTGGAAGGAGCTGCTTCCCCAAAGAGCAGGAACGGGATTCCCACCTCCCCCCAGTCGCGAGGCTTTCCTGCGCTTCTCCTCTGGAAGGATCCGGATTACTGTCTGGGGTATGGGCTGCCTCCTGGGGCGAAGCTGGAGTCCCCCCTAAGGGCAAAGGACCTTTTGCTTGAGGGAGGGAGGGAGGGAGGGAGGGAGGGGAGCCCTGGATCGCCCTCTGTTTCTGTCTTGCAAGAAACAAGGAAACAGGAGGATGCATTGTATCCGCATTTTGCAGCGCGCTTCTTCTCCGCTTTCTGCTCTCGGTTTCTTGCGCTCAAAGCGTCGCGCAAAAGAGCCGAGCTCTCCTGGCGGATCGCGCGCTCCAGACACGGGGATGCTGCTTCCTGACTTCGGATTGGCTGCCTGTCACCTTTGGACGATGCCCATTGGTCAGCGATGGTTCTTTGAGAAATCCTGATGTTTCATTGAGGGGTTTCGGGACTCCATTGAAGGGTTTACAAGCCTCTTCGCTGCAGAACGGGGAGGGGGGTTTCTAGGGGGGGGCACGCAGGCTCGTCGTCCTGCGTGGGTGAATGGGATTTGGGGGTGTTTGGATGGCCTCTTAGTCCCCAGCTCTATCAACAGCTTGCGGGGTGAAAGGCCCGGAGGGGTCACCTGAGGTCTCTCTCCCCCGACAAGGCTGCTTTGTTGTCTCTGCAAGGCTGTCCTCCTGGCGGTCCTTCTTCTCCTTTATTTCAACCCCTCACCTGTGAGGCCCCTCCCAATCCCCCACCCTCAGGACTGGAAAATGGAAGAGTGTTATAAACAAAATTGAGTGAAGCCAAGGATGATGACGGGGATTGAAAATTCTGCAATTCACAATTTCTCCTCTAAAGGAGATAAGACGTTATTGTTCAATTCCATGGTGATTTTTAAAAATGCATAATATTAACACTGAAAAACTTTTGCAATAACTGAACTTTGTAAACCTTTTGTGGAATAAGCATTAGTTTTTAGGAAAATGAAGTTGTAATGTTATTCTTAAAAAAACACCTTGAGGTTACAAATTATATTGCCTGGGAAGTGTAAATAATATGACCATGATTACCTGACAGTGTGGTACTTTTAGAATCTACTTTATGTTGTCATTAACAAGTCAGTTTTAAAATGCATATTAAGAAGTAAACGACAACCATCAAATACTGTAAAGCTAAAATGTTTTCCCCCTAGCCTTCTTGCGGTTCCCTCCCTGTGAGAAGTGAGGTTACAGGGAACCAGGCCTTCTCAGTAGTGGCACCCGCCCTGTGGAACACCCTCCCACTAGATGTCAAAGAGAACAACAACTACCAGACTTTTAGAAGACATCTGAAGGCAGCCCTGTTTAGGGAAGCTTTTAATGTTTGATGCATTGCTGTATTTCAATATTTTGTTGGAAGCTGCCCAGAGTGGCTGGGGAAGCCCAGCCAGATGGGTGGGCTATAAATAATAAATTGTTGTGGTTGTTGTTGCACAAAAGGCCTCCACACAGAGTAAGAGTCCCAAACATGGGTTAAAAGCTCTGTGAAGACCTTCCCTCCCTACCCAGAATACATTCCCAGAACCATCATTTATACATTGCTGATACATCATCATCATGTCACAAAGAGGGAGGGGAGTTGTGAGGTTACCCAAGTTCATCAACTTGCCCCAGTTAGCAGATCAAATTCCTAACACCTTAAGTACCCGCCAATTAAAGAACAATCAAACTACGGTACCTTGCTGTGTCCCAGAGTGCTCAGGTCATTTGGGTCTCATATGTCTCACTTTGACACCATGCCCATGGCAACCAGGACTTCCATGGAACTGTTGATTTTCCTATCCCCTATCTTACTTTCCTGTTCCCAAAAGATGTCAAAGACCTTTGAGGAGAGATGCCAGATCTCACATGGATGATAGCTCAACACTGACCTCTTTCCCAAAATATCATCTGCCCTTCTAGGGTCTGATAAGGATGGAAGCGGTAGGAAAGGTACACATCACAGCTTTACACAGAGCAGGAGGGTGGAATGGGGGTTACAAAATGCAGGCATACAAAAATCAAGCCTAATGCATCCTATCTAAAAGGCTGGATGCAATTAATACTAGGACACTTCGTACAAAATCAAAATTAATATCTAATATTCAATGAACTATCACATTTTTTACACCAAGTCCTTCCTAGGAAAGTTCAGCATGGACAGCAACCTCATCAGTGTCGCCCAATCACTGTTATCCCTCATCCCAGGCATGACGTGAAGAAGGTATTAAACACCTTGGCCAAGGACTTGCAAGTCACAGTTCTGGGTACGTGGTAGGAATTACTATGGGTCACCAGATGTGGCAAAGAACCCAGCTGCAATCCTCACCTCATACGAACTAAAGTCTCCTAAAATTAAATCTGTACACAGCCACTACTATAGATTGCCCCCAATGTGAGTTCATTGATGGGAAGCGAGACGGGCCCTGTGACCAGAGGTGTAGGAAGGTCAGGTGGTACCTGGTGCAGAATTTTGTTTGTCACCCCCCCCCATCCATTTCTCGAGGTAGGCTTGGGAGTCAGCGCTGACAGCCAGGGCAGTCTACCTCCACCCCTGCCCCCTTCCTAGCCCTCCCTATGCCCCTGACTGTAAGACCCATTGGACGCAGTTTGACTTACTTTTGAGTAAACATATAGGATGGCGACTGCAAGCTGACCCAAGGGATGCGTTCCTGTAGATCACTCACATCAAGTAAAATTGATGTCTAAGGAACTTACTCCCAAGTAAGGAGTCAATCTTGAAAGCGGCCCAGATGCCATCCCCAAATCACCCCCCCCCGCATTTCCCACAAAATTCAGAAATTGAGGGCTTCCGTTGAATTGGGTTGGGCCAATTCTGGACCTGAGAGGGTGCAGCACTAAGCGTGCTTACTCGGAAGTAAGCCCTATTCAGCTCGGCTAGCAAGCATCCTCGCAGTGGGATCCTATGCATGTTTCCTCCCACACTGAGCATGGCGGGGGTTACTCCCTAGCAAGGCTGCTTGCAGCCACATCCCATGCACATTGATCCACCAATGAAGCCCCATTCAGTGCTATGGGATTTCTTCCCCAGTCGTGATGCTTACTTAGGATTGCAGCTTTGGGGTCCTCCCAGCGCCCTTACCTGCCCGCCCCCTTCATTCCTAGTACACATCCATCCCTCGCATATTCTGTGCCAGCCCCCCCCCCCGGACTATTTTCTTTTGATCAGCTGTCAAAGGAAGAGCGGGGGAGGGGGGCCTCCTAAGACAGTCCCTTCCAACCACTTCCAGCTCTTAGAGAAAACATGGCTCAGAAAACATGGCGGGTTGGCGGGGGAGGGGGTAGAAAGAGAAGCCATACTTTTTTAACTTGAGAAAAACTTGCAAAATAAATCTTTGGACCAGTGACACGGTCTTGTGGGGCTTTGGAGGGGGAACAGAGTGGGGGGGGGGAAATAGCAGCACCCCTCCCCTAAATCTTAAGTACGATTGAAACCCTCATGCTAAAACAAGAAATCAGGACTTCGAACCAGACATTATTACTCAAAAGTTATTATTATTATTATTAAAAGCAACAGAACTCAATGGGATTTCCTTCCTTGGAGAGAGGCTTGGGATTGTGTTCGTGGTCACTTGAATGGGGCTTGCCTCTAAGTAAGGTTTGAGTATGGGAGAGGGCGGGTTAGTAAAGGTAAAGGGACCCCTGACCATTAGGTCCAGTCGTGGCCGACTCTGGGGTTGCGGCGCTCATCTCGCTTTACTGGCCGAGGGAGCTTCCGGGTCATGTGGCCAGCATGACTAAGCCACTTCTGGCGAACCAGAGCAGCGCATGGAAACGCTGTTTCCCTTCCCGCCAGAGCGGTACCTATTGATCTACTTGCACTTTGATGTGCTTTCGAACTGCTAGGTTGGCAGGAGCAGGGACCAAGCAACGGGAGCTCACCCCGTCATGGGGATTCGAACCACCGACCTTCCAATCCTCAAGCCCTAGGCTCAGTGGTTTAACCCACAGTGCCACCTGTATTAATAATTGCAGATGGCAAACACACATACGTTAAGTATATAAACTACATGTCTAGAGCAGTGCACGGAAACGCCGTTTACCTTCCCGCCGGAGTGGTACCTATTTATCTACTTGCACTTTGATGTGCTTTTAAACTGCAAGGTTGGCAGGAGCAGGGACCAAGCAACGGGAGCTCACCCCCTCACGGGGATTTAAACTGCCGACTTCCTGATCGGCAAGTCCTAGGCTCTGTGGTTTAACCCACAGCGCCACCCGTGTCCCACGAGTGTGTAAAGCCCTTAATATGAATACTTATGGCCTGAGCCCAAGCATGTTTATTCTGAAGTAAAACCTGTGTGGATTGGGACTGCCTCCCACGTAAATTGACTGGAAATGGAAGCCATAAGCTGCAATCCGCTCAGGTCAGTGGTGGGAGGAGAACCGAGGCTCATTCAGCACCAGCAAGTTGGGGACAGGAGCCTGTAGGGAAGCTGTTGTAGATATTATCATTATTTATAAAAAGTAGTGTTTATTTGCTGCTCTTTTCACGCTGCAGCCGCCGCTGGTTGGTTCCAGGAATGTGCGCCCCTTCCCCCGGGTGGGTCTGCCTGTAACCCCACCAGCTGAAAGAAATTACTGGCCGGTTGTCACCTTGAGGAGCAGACAGAGAAGGCAGGGGTGGCTGGTGGCGATTCTCAATGGCCAGAAATACCTTCCCGTCCCAAGGATTATCCAGGACTACGGACAGACGGATACTCAGTTTCTTAAAGTGAGCGCTTTGTTTTCTTAACGAAACAAACCAGGAGACCCCAGCAGAACGCCTTGTGCAAAGTGCTTCCAGGTTGGGCGGCTGTTGTTTATAAGTGCATGTTGCAGGGGGAAAGGGAAATGATGGCCAGCACGCTGAGCCTGTGCTCCCCCCATTTCTCATCCGAAAGGGGAAGGAGCTGGAGTGGGGACAGCAGTCTCTCTCTAACTGGCTAGGATTATGGTGAAAAGGAATATTGCCACCGCCGCCCCATTCATACGCTCCCCTCCCCGGGACCCCACGACAGACGAGCGCGTGAGAGGAGAGCATATGAATGGGGGCGGCAGCAGCAGTAGTTCTTTTTGACATCATCCTGGCCGCTTAGAGAGAAACTGCTCCCCCTGTCTCCTGCACTCTGGGGGGGCTGCTGCAATGGCACCCTACCGGAATAGTGGTGCCGGGGGCAGCCTGCTCCCCCCGCAAGCCCGTTCCTCCGCCAGTGGCCTGTGCCTGAAACTCTTTCTGCACTGAAATCTTTTCCCCCCACTGTGAATTCTTTGATGGATAACAAGTTTAGGCTTCTCAGTGAATCTCTTTCCATGTTACAAGCACTGATATGGCTTCTCCCCTGTATGAACTATTTGATGGGACACTTAGCTGGTGGCTGTGACTGAAGCCCTTTCCACATTCCAAGCACTGATAGCAAATTCATTCAGGAGAAAAACCCTGAGAAGTGAAACTGCCCTTTTGACTAAAACTCTTTCCACACTCTTGGCACTGATAGGGTTTCTTTCCCGTATAAATTCTTTGATGGGCCATGAGATTGCCACTCTTACTGAAGCTCTTTCCACATTCCAAACACTGATATGGCTTCTCCCCCGTATGAATTCTTTGATGGACACTTACCGTATTTTTCACTCCATAAGACGTACCTAGTTTTTAGAGGAGGAAAGCAAGAAAAATAATAATATTCTGAATCAAATGTTGCACTAAACTATTTAATAAACTACCAGTATATCAGAATATTTTAGCAATGTAAAGTGAACAGCAGTCAACAGTGGCATTAAGAACTATCATCACTGTCATTAAAAAATGAAGAGAGACTTTAAGATTCGAGAACTCTTCTAGTCTTCTGTGAACCCCAAGAACTCATCATTGCTAGAGTCAGAATTTAGGAAGCTCAGTCGCTCATAACCACCGACATCACTTTCTTTGCTATCTTCATATAAAAGACCATCTTTGCTTCCATCCAAAGCATTGTTAATGCCACATTTTTTGAATGACTGGACAATGGTTTCCTCCTTCACTGCGTGCCACGATGTTTTCACCCATTCACAAACTTGAGTGATAGTGGGCCTCTTCATTTGTCCACTAGGCGTCAGATCATGATTACCAGCAGCCATCCATTTGTTCCACTCTTCTCGCATAAAGACCTTAAATGACTTGTTGATGGAACCGCCGAGAGGTTGCAACCGGCTGGTAAGACCTCCAGGAATTACAGCTAGATGAGTCTTCACTTCTTCAAAGCACTTTTTTGTTTTGCTAATATGGGCTCTAAACTGGTCAAGTACTAATAAGGCAGGTTTTTTCAAAAGCCCTCCAGGACGTTTGGACCACACTTTTTCAACCCATACTCTCATTCCATTTTCGTCCATCAATCCTTTCTCATGAACATGTACAACAACTCCTCTTCGAATCACTTCTTTTGGAAATGTTTTCCTTTTGAAAATTAGCATGGGTGGCAATTTGGTGCCGTCTGCACAGCAAGACAACACAACCGTGTAATGGGTTTTCTCCTGTCCAGAGGTTTTCACAGCGATAGGTTTGGCACCTTTCAGATTAACAGCCCTATTAGATGGCACATCAAAGGTTAGTGGAACTTCATCCATATTCCCAATCTGGCCATTTTCAAACCCATTTTTCTTCCTAGCATCAATTACAAATTTATGAAAAGACAGAATCTTAGATTCATATTCTTCTGGCATTTTTTGCACAACTCTAGTTTTGGTGCGCATAGCAAGGCCACATCGCTTCATAAATCTGTAGCACCATGATGGTGATCCAGTAAAATCGTGAATGCCTTTCTCTACAGCAATGCGTTTGGCTTCGCATATTATCATTTTTGTAGAGACTGGGAAGCCGTTATTCTGGTGATATGTGATCCATTCTTTCATGGCAATGTCCATCTGTGGCCACTTTGCAGCATTTCCACGAAAAGTGTGCTTACTTTTATCTGCTTTTTGCAGCTGATCCTCCTGTTTCCTCCAACCTCTTATCATTTTTTCGGTTGGAGGTGGCCCAAAATGTCTCTCCGCTGCTCTGTTTCCATGCTCCTTAGCATATTTCACTACCTGTAGTTTAAAAGGAATCCTATATGCTAGTCTTTTCTGCTTTATCATGCTTGTATGTAGAAAGCGGGAGGTTTTCTGCAAGAAAATACAGAGATGAAGGAACTGTCAGTAATGTATCTCCAATGTTTACCACTGAGCGCTGCCCATATTAAACATAGCCAACATACTGTCTGTAAAAAAAAAAAAGTTATCACCCTAAAAGTTTATTGATATTATAGCATAAACCCATATGATTAATTATATATTATTTACTAAATTATTCCTTTATATATTTTTCTTTGATAAAATACTATATCATTTTCACTATTTATGAGCGTTTTATTTTTAAATTGTAAAATTAGAAAGTAATCGCTTGTAAGAGACTTCAGAAATATAAAGTGACTAGCTTATTAAAATGTGTTAGTAAAAATGGCAGACATTCAAAACTTTTTGCTGAAATATATGAGCTTATTTGTAAATTGTATCGCCAAAAGAATAAATTTTCATGTAGAAAATTGGCAATTCAAATAAAATCTGAAATGGAGATTGATATATCGCATTCGTATTGTGAAATATATTTAAATAGAATGAATATTTTCTCATTTTCTTATATTAAGAAACCTCTTCTCAGTAAAACCCATATTAAAATAGGTTTGAGGTTAAACAACTGGCATGTAGTTGGTCTGAACATGTTGGCTGAGAGACTTATCATGTCAGGCATGGCAAAGGGTGTCCACTGAACTCAGGAGGGATTCAGTGCGTGGGCCAGGAGACAGCAGGAAAGCATGCTCAGCCCACCCCACTAATCGGCAGGCTCAGCTCTGCACATCGTGAGATAGCATTTTTTTATCTTGAAGGAGTATCGGTAAGGTAAAGGAAGGCACTGCTGTCCTGGCGAGACCAGTTGCTAGGCGACGAGTGGGAAAGCAACACGCTGCCAGACAGACCCGATAGGCCGCCCCATTGGGATGACGCTCGTGCGAGAGCCCGTGCTTGCAAGCTCGTTCCCACCGCCTGTGAACGGCCTCCCTTCCTTCTCCCGCTGGAGCCTTGGCAATGGGACAGCGCCTGCAGCTCAGTCAGCCTGCCTCCAAACGCAGCAGCAGAGACGAAACTGAACTCATCAGCTTTCCCAGCCGCTGCACCAACAGCTGCCGCCGCTCTTTTCAATGAGCCTCATTCTGCAGCCGCAACATCCATCTCCCTGGGCAATGCTTGCTCAATCATTACTCGACTCTGGCGGTAGTACCTCTCCCTCTCTCTCTCTCTCTCTCTCTCTCTCTCTCTCTCTGGCCTGGCATTAAGACGCAGCAAACTCCTGCTGCAACTACGGTACATCCGCTCCCCGGAAGAGTGGAGGCCAGGGGAGCAGGGTGGAGAGAGCGAGCAAGAGAGCTCTTGTCTAGATCAGGCGTTGTGGTTGTTAATTTGTATATTGCCCTCCATCCGAAGATCACAACATAAAAATGCAAAACAAAAACAGAACAAAAGTGAAGGTTGCCGCCTCGCCTTGCAAGCAAAACCCAAAAGTGTTGCCGGCCAGCCTTGCTTGCTCATCCAAGGGATAGAGAGACCTGTTTCCTCTACTTCGGGGCAACGCCTCCCTCAGAGCCTTCAGACACACATGGGCATCTGGCAGCTAAGCCTCAGGGGAAGAGGCGAATATATTGCTTGGCAGGAGCTCCCCGTCCCAATTTGACAGAGCGCGCGAGGGAGAAAGAGCGCCCTCTGCGCTGGCTCCTGGCTGCTCCCATGCAAGTCACAGAGCCCCTCGGACGGAGGGAACTCTAAAGAGTGTTCTCAAGCCCTCTTCCCCCGCCTCGTCTCTCCCCACCCCCTCGCACGGGCACCGCCATTAGGACGCTCACACAGGCAGCGCGCCACACCCACGCCCCTGCGGGAACCAAAGTCCCCAGCTCCGCCTCTGCCAGGGACCACACAATCGCTCCATAAGACACACAGACATTTCCCCTTAATTCTTGAGAGGAAAAAAGTGCATCTTATGGAATGGAAAATACAGTAACTGGTGGCTGTGACTGAAGCTCCTTCCACATTCCAGGCACTGACAGGATTTCCCCCCTGAATGAATTCTCTGATGAGAAGTGACACTGACCCTTTTTTTGAAGCACTCTTGGCACTGATATGGTTTCTCCCCAGTGTGAATTCTGTGATGCACAAAGAGACGGGCGTTCCGACTGAAGTTCTTTCCACATTCCAAGCACTGACTGAAGCTCTCTCCACACTCTGAATATGGATATGGCTCCTCCAATTCATCATCACCTGCAACTGAGCGACAAACAGATTAGAGCCTTAGGAATAAATGCAGCCCCAACTAACGGAGTAATGCCAATTAATGCTTGTGAAAGAGAAAGAACTGAAGGGAATTATATAATAATAGTAGTAACAGTAATAGTAATGTTATTATTTACACCCCACCCATCTGGCTGGCTTTCCCCAGTCACTCTGGGCAGCTTAGAGCATATATAAAAGCATAGTAAAACATCAAGAATCAAAAACTTCCTGATACAGGGCTGCCTTCAGTCTTCTAATATTTGTGTAGTCCTAGATGTCCTTGACATCACAGGGTTAAGCAGCTCAGAATGTGTGCGCAGCAAAAGCCTGCCGGACCCGATGTCTCTGAGCAATAAATTATTCCAGATTCTGTTGCACCAGAAGTGGTTTAGTCCTGCTGACCACATGACCCGGAAAGCTGTCTGTGGACAAACACCAGTTCCCTCGGCCTGAAAGTGAGATGAGCGCCGCAACCCATAGTCGCCTTTGACTGGACTTAACAGTCCAGGAGTCATTTTCCTTTACTTTTAGCTGCCATGACTGAGAAGATGGGAGGTCTTCCTACAGGTTCACTGCCTGAGATTCAAAAAGCCTGGCTCCTTTTTGGGATGGATTTTATTAGGCCCAATCACGGAAACTTTGCCAACTCCAATGCCAATCCTGCTTGAGAGCAGTACATGTGAAAAGGATCTAGGAGTCTTGGTTGACCACAAACTTGACATGAGCCAACAGTGTGATGCGGCAGCTAAAAAAGCCAATGCAATTCTGGGCTGCATCAATAGGAGTATAGCATCTAGATCAAGGGAAGTAATAGTGCCACTGTATTCTGCTCTGGTCAGACCTCACCTGAAGTACTGTGTCCAGTTCTGGGCACCACAGTTCAAGAAGGACACTGACAAACTGGAACGTGTCCAGAGGAGGGCAACCAAAATGGTCAAAGGCCTGGAAACGATGCCTTATGAGGAACGGCTAAGGGAGCTGGGCATGTTTAGCCTGGAGAAGAGGAGGTTAAGGGGTGATATGATAGCCATGTTCAAATATATAAAAGGATGTCACATAGAGGAGGGAGAAAGGTTGTTTTCTGCTGCTCCAGAGAAGCGGACACGGAGCAATGGATCCAAACTACAAGAAAGAAGATTCCACCTAAACATTAGGAAGAACTTCCTGACAGTAAGAGCTGTTTGACAGTGGAATTTGCTGCCAAGGAGTGTGGTGGAGTCTCCTTCTTTGGAGGTCTTTAAGCAGAGGCTTGACAACCATATGTCAGGTGTGCTCTGATGGTGTTTCCTTCTTGGCAGGGGGTTGGACTCGATGGCCCTTGTGGTCTCTTCCAACTCTAGGATTCTATGATCCTATCTTTGGTCAACCAAAGACAGAAAGAAGCAAGAACAGAAACAAAAACCCTGACAGAACCCACTTCAACACCCCAAATCACTCTGAAGCCTACATTTAAGAAGGCCTGGGCAGTTCAGAGGAGCCTGTACATGTTTCACAAAGGCAGAATAGAAGGAAGAATATTCACAGGGAAACAATCAATAGCCGTCCATCCAAGGTTTGCTGTGGGAGTGTTAGCATCCCAGGTGCTGTGGGTGGCGCTGTTGAGCGCCATCGAAATATCAGAGGTTCGTCACATGGAGAGATGTCTTAAATTACAAACAGATAACATGATCTAACAGGGAGCCTTACCGAGAGAGTCCAAGATCGCACGATTCTCCTCCATGACTTCCTTGTGAAGAGCTCTCTGGTCAGGATCCAGCAACACGGACTCCTTGTCTGTGAAATGGACAGCTACATCTTCAAAGCACACTGGACCCTAACAGAAAAAGAAAATGGCTGTCCTCTTAGACAAGATAAAGGTGATCTGTTACAGTTTACTCTGTTGTTTTCTGCCTCTTAATTGCTGTTCTGTTTTAATGGGTTTGTTTTGCTGCACATTTTGATTATGGGTGCATATTTTAATGTCTTAATGGAACCCTTTTATTGTTTATTTTAATGATGAACATAAAGAACCTGGTCTTCTCCAGATCATGGTTTTCCTGTTTGCCACATGGAAGGATCCCTTCTCTCCTCTTCCTTTTTTTTTGGTTCTGGGGGGTGGGGGGAGAGAGAGACCTCTAGATGCCCCCAAGCCAACTTCAAGGTCACATGGGGGCATGTGAGGAGAGGGGGGGAAGCCCCATTGTGTGAATGAGGACGTGAAGCCTGGCCACTCTTTAGTATAGTGCGCAAACTGCTTAGAAGTCTAGTTTAGCATTCAATCAAGAAATAAAACTGCAACGGTTGATAAATAAAATTAGTGACATTCAGAAGGTGAGGCGGCACTTCCTTATTCTCAGCACATAAACATCACTGAATGGCGTTTCATCGTTTGCGCCCAGAGCAGCTGTGGAGGCAGGGACTCTGGGTGATGTCCAAGGCACGAATTTGGCAACTCTCCAAAGTCAGTCTTGTCAGCTAGGAGTCCCGTTTCCCTAAAATTAAAAGATTTGGCAAAAAAACAGTCCTGTTCTGGAAGGAAAGAGTTAAAAGAAAAATCTGCTAAACTACACAGTCGTTGGAGTTACAGACTTCAAAAAGACTCCTTTCTTGCCATTTTGATGAATGAGGTGAGTGGCTGCCGTACTTTTGCATTTCTTATATTTGCTATTTCATGAATTGGTGAACCCCACCAAGAAAGAATTAATTACCCAAAGGAAACGCAGGAGGAGTAAAATAATTGGACTTGTTGACTCATCGCAGTCCTTGGCGGAGAGTCCCGATCAAAACTGGCAGAGGAAGATCAGATATGATCATAACAGCTCGGGCTAAGGAGGAAGATGGCAACGGTACAAGCTCTGATGCATTAAGAAAAAGGATATGATCAGAAAAAGCCTCCTTCAACGGGGGCAGATTGGAGATATTTTTTTATTGGATTTGCAAAAGGGGTGTACTTTACAGAGGATGCATTTGTTTGCATGGAATATTACAGTTTGAGAAAAGAGTGGTGGTGAACTCTGTATGCCTGCCAGCTATACGAGAGCTGGAATGGGTTTTTATAAGGAAACCGAAACAATCTTTGTATGACTTGCTTGTTGCCAAGTACACCTTGACAGTACATTTGAAACATCAAAGATCAAAGACAGTGAGAGGTCACTAATTAATTTCAACCTTGGATGGAAGCCCAGAGCCTATTAGAACAACAATCAGCAGAAACAGGAGGGGCCATCAAAGCGGACTGTGCTTCAAAATATTAAAACTAAGAACAATGTGGGAAAAGCCCCCTGCGTGATTACAGAAATAAGGAATGGTAAAATAAAACAAGATAGTGAGTTATACCAACGACTGACTGATAGAGAAAGGAGATTGTTAATATCAGGACTGGAAAATTGTGAAGTAATAGAGAAGCTAGCAGAAAGATGAAGGATCGATATTTGGCTTTTGAAATCCAGAACACGGGAAGTGCCATTGAAATTAATTAATTTGAATTATATAATTGGCTATATTGTTTTTTGTTTTTGAACGTGGAAAGATTTGGTTTGATTTGTTACTAATATGAATGCTTTTTAATTAGAAAATGAAAAAAAATATGAAAAAAAGAACATGGTGTTCTTCAAATCATTCTTCAGATCATGTGCACAAACATTCCCATTTGCCACATGGAAGGATCCCCTTTCTTCTGTCCCTCTGTGCTGTTCTGGCCGGGTGGGGAGGACCCTCCTGAAGCCCTATAGACATCTCCAAGTTGCGCAGGGGAATGAGAGGGGGAAAGCCCCATTGTGGGACTGATGGGGTGAATCCTGGCCACTCTTTGGTATGGGGTGTGAACTGCTTAGAAGCCTATTTGAGCCTTCAACCCTCCTTCCTTGGCGGTTCCTCCCACCATTCCTCTGTGTCCACCAGTCCATGACATCCTCTCTCCCCACATGGCCCCTTCCTCCTACCTGCTCTGGGTCCACAGGGGCAGCTTCCCCTCCGCCACCAAGAAAAGATGGACAAGCAGGTCTTGCTGGCATCGTTCCGTCTCCTGCGAGAGAAGAAGGTAAGTGGGAAGCCAAGAGCGCATGCTTCACTCCGAAGGAAAACTACAGGTGCGCCTTCAAACAAGCAGGAGTTGCCACCTAAATGTGGACATTTGCACCCTTTTGACATACTAGTTGTGCAAAAATACATCTCCCTTTCTCTGGGCTCTTGGTCCTCCGTGAATTCTCCAATAAGATGAAAATAAATCACAGATTAGTTTCAAAATCCACAAAATGTGACGAAACAGAGAAAACACTCCTTCCTCCTTACCCAGAGGCCTCTCTCTGGAGTCCAAGGGAGTCTTCTCTGCCTCAGAGGAATCTGGACCCATTTCTGCTAACGGATCCTTCCCCTGAAAGAGCAACAAGGATTCAAAAAAGTAGATTAGAAATGGAATGGCTTAGGACACAAACACTTTAGGGCTGTCCGATATCATTCCTCGGATGCTTTCCAAAAAAGGATGGGCCATTAGGAATTGATTTGGGAATACTCTCCCTCCTCTTTGGAGCCCCTTGGGAGTATCCAGAGGAAAGTCTCTCTCACCTGCTGCTCTGCCTGCTTCCTCTCCTCTGCCTGACTCAGGAGGAAACCTTCGGCCAGGGCCACCGCCTGGGAACTGGTCTCCACTCCGCATTCCCTCACCCAGCTCTCCACCTCCAGAGGAAGGACAGCCAGGAACTGCTCCAAGATCACCAGGTCCAACATCTCAGCTTTCGTGTGCCTTTCTGGCTTTAGCCATTGATAGCAAAGGTGGTAGAGTTGGCTGCAAACCTCTCGGGGTCCTTTGGCCTCCTGGAAGCAGAACTGCCTGAGCTGCTGGCTCTGCACCTCTGAGCAAGGGGTGTCCTCCTCACCCAGTTCCTTCTTCACAGAGTTTTCCCAGAATCCCCCACTGTTCCCAGTTTCCATGGCATGGCCTCTTCCTGCTTCAGGGCCAGCTGAGTCTTGCTCATCCATCTCTGTTCTCAGGAGATCGGAAGGAGTCCCTAAGTCTTCTGCCAAGTTCTGCCTGTCCTAATGAGAGGTGCCAGAGAATCCTTTAAAGTGTTAACAGAGAAATCTGAGGGCTCCCTTGGACAAAAAAACAAGGACACCAGCTAGGAATACCAGAGCAAAACAGCAGCCAGTCTTGATTGAAGACTGTTGCGACTCCCACCGGCCACAAGGTGGAACAAGATGGAAGCCCTGAACAAAAGAGCCCCCAAACTTTTATTAGCTGTTAATCCCCATGTTACGCCCCCCCCAAACTACATCACTAATACATTATGGTTACATCATGAAAGGGGAGGTCTTGTGGCAGGAATCTGAGCATCCTGGACCCTGCCCCATTCCTCCCCTTGTCCTCCACCAAACACCCATCAAGTGTAACAAAAGGAACATTTACATTTCCCTGTTTCTCAGCCAAGTTAATCAGACCCTTTTGTCTTCATCTGGGTTTATTGTTTCTGGAATGGCTACTTCTCAGGTATCAGGATGCCAGGAAGTATCACTCAGGCAGAGGGGCTGCTGAGTAGCTGAGCTCACATGTCTATAGGAATTTCTGAAGTTTTCCCAGTGAGCCAGTGCATATATTTATCACGGAATTCTTACATTTGGTATCGATACGAAGAAACTGTGATGAAGTGTTTTGTGGGGACAAATCACAAAAGTGATTGTGCTGATTTTGGTAATGAGTTGCATATGCATGATATCTGCTGGAGGGGCAACCCCCCCCCAACCTATACATAAATTCCTGCAACAAAAGTAAAAGCAGATGCATTCTTCTACTACAAGATTGATACACAGTCAGGAGAAGAGAAATGTTCCCTGGGCCAGCATGGATGAGTCTGAATCACAGCCCAGACTCGGAGTTCAAGCACTATATTCCCATATTCTGAAGACAGACTTCTGTCTTTGTTCTGAGGGCAACTCTCTCCCCCTTCAGAAGCATGGCTGCCTCCCACTGGGGGGCCTGGAGCCATTGCTAGCCCTCTGCTCCTCCCTGAATGGGCCTCATCCTCTTCTCAAGCCATCTCTTCCTCCTGTGGGAGGGAGTTCCATGGGTCTAACTGCGCACTGGGAGATGGAAGGGCTTTGTTTAGCACAGAGGCCAAGTTTTTATTTCTGCCTCCAGATGTTTCCATCTGGCTGCCACCTGGGCTAAGGAACGTGGCTGATTCCTCAATCCCATCAGGGTTCCTTTGCAGGCCCTTTTCTTCATGACTCAGTGACCCCTCCCCAAAGGAGCAAGACAAGAGTTGCAGACCTCCTGTTACTTGCAGCCTCCCTGGCTTTGCAGAGAGAAGGGGGGCAGAACCTCTTAGCCCTGGCTTGGGGATCCCCTTGCAGGAGCTGAGCAGAATCCCCACGGATCTGTCCCCTGCAGCCCTGGGACACCCCGCCCCACTTCTCCCCAATGCACCCTAGGGCAGAAAAGAGAGGAAACTCACCAGATGCCAGAAGGGAAACTGAGGCAGCTCCTGCAGGAGACCAAAGCCCTCTCCCCGTCTTGCAGGGAGGACCTGTTTCTGCCCCCCTGCAGCCCAGTTCTTTTTAACCCTTGCAAGGTGGAGCAAACCAAGCTCACATTCTCTCTCTCTGAGGCTGTTCCAGGAGGAGCCACGTGCATCGCGGACATCCAGAAATGAACCTGAACAAGGCAGCAGAGCTCAGTGGGTAGAGCATGAGTCTCTTTGATCTCAGGCCCCTGGGTTCGAGCCCCAGGCTGGGCAGAAGATCCCTGCCTGGCAGGGGGCGGGCTAGATGACTTTGGGGGTCCCTCATCATGACTCCCTGGCCCTCATGGCTGTTCTTCTGAGCCCTTGCAAAGCGGAGCTCGCCCTGCTCCCTTCTCTCTCTCTCTCAGGAGCCAGGGCCCCAGAGGGGTCTTCTTGGGGGGACCCTCCCCTGCAGCCCTGCGACCCCCCAACTCCCCAAAGCGCCCTAAGCGGGAAGAGAAAGGCGACTCACCGAGGCAGCACTTGCGGAGCAGAGAGACAAAAGCCCGGGTGGGGGCGGAGCTTGTGCTCTGGGCAGCCTCCTCCCTTTATTCCTCTCTAGGAAGCCAGCTCGGCGCCCCTTCACCCTTCTCTCTCCCGTCCGGGGCGTCGCGCAGGCGCAGAGCTGCTCCATCCGGGGCCTGGCGAGCTGCTCCCTCGGAGGGGAAGAGGCCGCCCTTGGCCCGCCATGGGGGAGAGGAGGGGCGCCTGGCCGGGAAGAAGAAGCCGGGCTGGGCAAGGGGGAAGGGGAAGGCGGGTCCCGGAGGAGGAGGAGCCCCTCTCTCTGCCCGGGGCTCCGGGGGAGAACCAGGTCTCTGGCCCCTGGAGAAAAAAGGGGGGTGGAAATAAATAAGAGTCCGCTGTAGATCAAGCAGCAGGAAAGGACCACACAAAAAAGCAAGGACCTTAGTCCACAGATTAAGTTTTATTCAAACCCAGAAGAGAAAAAGCAGCACTAAGTGCCGTGTCTCAAAGATGCAGCGTAACATCTTTACCTTAGAAAAAGGAATTAAACGTAACAGTCGGCAAAGAGGCAGTTAAATGGAATTTTTCAGTGGCAAGGGGGACAAGGAAGCCCATCACAGCAGGCCTGTCTTGTTAAAAATCAGGAGAAGAGATTTCTGTACATCTCAAGAGCAACAAGAATGTATTCCTTCCCACCCTTTGCTTGAGAAGTAAAACTCTGCAAGGGTTTGGCTCCAGGGTCCCTTGAGAGAGAGTTGGTTCCGACTCTCTGAGCAAAGAGGAAGGAAAAGGGGGTCCTGCAAGGAGAGGATGAGGGGAAGACCCCCTTTTCTAGGGGTCCCTCCAAATGCTCTTGTCTGGCTGGTCTTTCTTCACCCAGTCATGTCAAGGAGCAGCATGGGGGCTAAAAGGAGGAATAAATCGAGGACAATATCCCACTCACCCCAGAAAAGCTCTTCTTTCTCTTTTTGTGGAGGGTCTAGGCCTGGCTTTTTGAAGCTTGGACCGTTCGGCCTGCACACCATCACCTTTTATAGTGGTACCTCAGGTTAAGTACTTAATTTGTTCTGGAGGTCCGTTCGTACTGAAACTGTTCTTAACCTGAGGTACCACTTTAGCTAATGGGGCCTCCTGCTGCCGCCGGAGATCGATTTCTGTTCTCATCCTGAAGTAAAGTTCTTAACCCGAGGTACTATTTCTGGGTTAGCGGAGTCTGTAACCCGAGGTACCACTGTACATACTTTACATTTGCTGAGGCAAAATCTCCACCCCCAACATTGCTTGCGGCAGTTCTGCCCTCGCCTTAATCTCCTCCATTTTTAAAGGAAGCATCTCTTTTTCATGGGCCATCTTGGCCTCCCTGTCTCTTTCTTCTTGGGCTCATCTCTCTCTCTCTCTCTCTCTCTCTCTCTCTCTCTCTTTCTGCCTGTATCTCTGCTAGATGAAGGGCAGCTGCCATTCTGGCTTCTTCTCTTTCTTTCTCTGCTTCAACCTTAGACAATTCCAATCTTAGCCTCATCATCTCTAATTCAATATATTAGGATTCTCCTCAGACGCAGCAGCTGGGTCATCCTGAGTCTCTTTGGCTTGGCGCTTGCTGGTCATTTTCTGACAGGAATTTTTTCTCTTTATAATCAAATAACTTCACTCCTTTATTAAACTGGTTGTTCTGTGTCTCTGGGTACGTTTCTGTGTGGGTTTTAACTTCGTATCACGGCTCTTTCCCCCCCGGCACCCTTGGGCCTGCCCTTCAGGGTTGTCGTTTTGAGACCCCACTTCCTCCCTGGGTTTCCAATTATTACTTTTTCTGAAAGGGACTGAGTATTACTGCTCCCCCTGAGTCTCCTTTGATTTCATCTCCCAAGGTAGAGACTTCAGTTACTGTTTTCAGCCTAAATGAGCAGGAACCTCTTGAAAACATTGCTCTAAACCGATGAGCTGTTTGAGCTCATCTAACTTTCCTCCCATCTGTCCAGAGTTTTGTCAATTCGGCTACCCAGTTGGGCCTAAGTCTCTCCTGGTTTCCTTTTAATTTCACGAAAGGCTTTTTGGCTTTGTTCTGCAGTCAGTCCAAAGCGCACTTTCACTCTCTCCTTAAATGTGAGGGAATCAGAGGTTTCATCCTCTCTGAGATCTGAGTATATTTCACTCAAAATTCCACATATCTGTGGGCGTAAGTGCAGCATCCAGTTTTCCTCATGCATCTTTAACTTGAAAACCACCTCCAGGACCAGGCACCCTCAATGGGCTTTGCACTACAACTCCCAACCGGGCATGCTAGCAGAAGGCAGGCGGGATGGAAACAGCCGCCCAAAAGGTCCAGCCAGCTCCAGAGGCGACCCAAGGCTGCTCTCCAACGGGGCGCTGCTCCAGGCATCTTGAGTTGCCCAGTTCAAGGGTGTTATGTACTGATGTTCCCACCCTGGGCCAGCAGGGGGATACTGTAGATAGTTATGCAAATGAAGGATCGAAAAGTGATGTTCTGTGATTGGATAATTTTAGAAAGTCGCAACAGTTGCAATTGTTCTGGAGCTCTATATAAGCAGGCTGACTGAGCTCCTCAGTTCTGTTCTGGCATCTGAATAAAGAAGAGCTGTTTGAAGAATCGCTGTGTCGTCTGATATGTTCGCCCACAACTTAACACTGGCGACGAAGGTGGGATCGATGGACACCAGAGCACAGCCAGATGCAGCCACCCTCTGAGCAGAGCTGAATCACTGAGCTGAATCACTGAGCGAAATCACTGAACAGAACCAATACAGAGCTGACTGTTCTGGCTAGAGCACGGTTTTCCATCCATCGCACTTCACATTGGCATCGGAATCATGGCTTCACTTGTGCCTCTACCGCCGTTTGCGCCAGCCTCTGAATCATGGGACTCCTACCTCGCTCGGTTCGACTGCTACCTCCAAGCCAACGAGCAGACAGAAGTATCAAAGGAGCGGAAGCGGGCCCTATTCCTCAGCCTCTGTGGGCCTGAGGTGTTTGAGACGGCGCGAGCATTGGTTGTGCCTGAAGCTGTCCAGGCAACACTGTGGGACACGATCCAAGAGAAGCTCCGCAACCACTACGCACCAAAGCCGTCCAAGATTGCTGCCCGCCATGCGTTTTACCACCGGAACCAGGCAGAGGGGGAGTCAGTCAACAACTACACCACCGCCCTGCGACAGGCTGCAATGCACTGCGAGTTCCGAGACTTAGACGATGCCCTGATGGATCGAATCGTCTGCGGGGTCCGGGACATCCGTCTGCAACGGCATCTCCTCGCCAAGCCAGACCTCGCGCTGCAGAAAGCCATTGAGGAGGCTGTGGCCTCGGAAGCTGCTGAACGCTCCGCCCAGGAGATTCACAAGGCCAGCAGCCCGCGTCTTGCTAGGAAGCCAGTTCCAGTGCATCACGAAGAGGCCAGCAGTGATGAGGCATCCTCCAGTGAAGACGATGACGTGCACCAGACAAAGCAGGAGCGCAGGAAGTTCCAACAGAAGTCCAAGGGCCAACCAGAATGTGCCGGCTGCGGAGGCAACCATTCCCGTGCCAAGTGTCGATTCAGAGACACCATCTGTCGGACGTGTTTCAGAAGGGGCCACATCGCTAAGGTCTGCCGATCGGCTCCGTCCGACACCCCCCCTTCACCGACTCACAAGCCCAAGTCTTCACTCCAGGCTGCCAAGGAAAGCTGTTTCGCTCTCACCAACTGCCGCTGCCCATCTGGAACCACGATTGGCCAAACCGACTCGCCTACGTGACGCAAGCTGAACGTCACGGTGCTCATTGAAGGAGCTCCATGTGACATGGAGATCGACACCAGGTCTGCCCTGTCCATCGTGTCTTGGAGCACCATCAAAAGACTGGTACCCAGAATGTCCAAAAGGCAACTCGACTCTCACCGCGTCCACCTGAGAGACTACCAGGGAAACAACATTCCCGTGATAGGCGATGGCCAGTTCCGGATCGCCTTCAAGGATTTTCCTTTAAAAAAAAAAAAAGATATTTATTAAAATTTCAGAAACAAAAAATTACATAGTTAAAGAAACAAGGGGGGGGAATAAAAAAAGAGAAAAAACATACAAAATACAAAGTACAGAAAAAACAAAGATAAAAAACACTTAAAAACAAATCAGTCCTTCTGTATATTACATTTCATTTCCTTGCTTCCCTGACCTCCTCTCACCTCCCTTTTTTGTATTCCAGTTCAATTGGTTAATTCAGCAATTCCTTTCCCTCTTTGTTTTTGTCTTAGTCCTTTAACTTAATATATTATAGCTTTAGATTCTCACTTATTAACAATCCATTTTTACATACACCTTTAAGACATTGCTGCTAAAACCACTTAACTTCATTCTGACATCATTCTAACATTCATTAATTTTGCAATATTTCTGTAAATAGTCTTTAAATTTCTTCCAATCTTCTTCCACCGACTCTTCTCCCTGGTCTCGGATTCTGCCAGTCATTTCCGCCAGTTCCATATAGTCCATCACCTTCATCTGCCATTCTTCCAGAGTGGGTAGATCTTGTGTCTTCCAATACTTTGCAATAAGTATTCTTGCTGCTGTTGTGGCATAGCCTTCAAGGATTTTTCAGGCCTGCTCCGACTGGTGGTGGTCGAAGGTCAGCGGCCAAGCCTCCTAGGGCTAGACTGGTTTGATGCCCTCGGCCTGGAAGTCACCGGCATCAACAGCATCTCTAACGCAGAGACTGAGGGTCTGGTCAAAGACTTTGCCGAGGTTTTTGACGGCACTTTGGGGCAATATACAGGTACGCCCATCTCCTTTAGCCTTGATCCACAAGTCGCCCCCATCAAGCTAAAGCCACGCCGGGTTCCCTTTGCTCTCAAGGCTAAGGTGGACGAACAACTGGACAAGCTGATCGCCCAAGGAGTTTTGGAGCCGGTTGACCACGCCAAGTGGGAAACCCCCATCGTCACGCCTGTCAAGCCAGATGGGTCGGTGAGAATCTGCGCTGACTACAAGTGCACGATCAACAAGGCACTTCAGCAGCACGCTTATCCGGTTCCTGTTGTCCAACACCTGCTGCATTCCCTGGGTGAGGGTAAGGTCTTCACTAAGCCGGACCTTGCCCAAGCCTATCAACAACTGCCCGTCGATGATGCCACAGCTGAAGCCCAGACGATCGTCACCCACCGAGGGGCATTCCGTTGCCGCCGGTTGCAGTTCGGGGTGAGTGTGGCTCCCGGCATCTTCCAAAGCCTTATGGAGCGTCTCCTGCAAGGCCTTCCAGGCGTGGTACCATATTTTGATGACGTCTTGGTGTCCGCAGACTCACACCAGCAGCTGTTCAAGCGCCTCCGTGCTGTGCTGACCAGGTTCCAGGAGGCCGGGCTCAAGGTAAAGAGGGAGAAGTGCCAGATCGCCGTTCCACAGGTGGAGTTCCTGGGCTATCTTATCGACGCCTCCGGCCTTCACCCGACCACATCCAAGATCCGCGCTATCCAGCAGGCCCCTATCCCAAAGAACAAGACGGAGTTGCAGGCGTTCCTGAACGCTGAACTTTTATAGCATGTTCCTGCCCCACAAAGCCACGGTGGCTGAGCCTCTTCACCGACTCCTCAGCACAAAGACGCTTTGGTCCTGGGGTCATCGGGAGACGGCGACCTTCAACGCGGTCAAGGCTCTCCTTTCCTCGGACAGTGTGCTGGTACAGTACAGTGAAGCCAGGCCGCTGGTCCTTGCCTGCGACGCCTCACCTTTTGGCATTGGCGCTGTCCTTAGTCACCGTTTTCCAGACGGAAGAGAAGCACCGCTCGCCTACTTTTCCAGGACGCTATCTCTCACTGAACGGAACTACAGCCAGCTCGACAAGGAGGCACTGGCACTTGTGGCTGGAGTGAAGAGGTTCCATGAATACCTCTAAGGCAGGACTTTCGACCTCATCACTGACCACAAGCCACTCCTGGGCCTCCTCACTGGTGATCGTCCAACTCCATCGGTCCTCTCGCCGCGCATGCTGCGATGGACTGTTTTCCTGGCTGCCTACCACTACCGGCTCGTCCATTGCCCGGGGGAATCGATGGGCCATGCCCACGCCCTCAACCGTTGCCCTCTTCCAGCGTTTGTGGAAGACCCGGCTCCAGCTTCATCGCTCCTCCTGATTGAGGATCTTCCGGCAGCGCCTGTATCAGCTGCCACTGTGGCCTCCGCATCTGCCCAGGATCGCACCATCAGCCGTGTGCTCAATTGGGTGTGGAGGGGGTGGCCACAAGGGCCTTTTGCATTGGAGTTCCAGCCCTTCACAACCAGACAATATGAACTCTCGGCTCATCGCGGCTGTCTGCTATGGGGAGACCGCGTCGTGATTCCCCAAAGACTCCGTCAACATGTCCTGGAGGCTCTGCACGTTGGCCATCCGGGAATCGTCAAAATAATAATAATAATAATTTATTGTTTGTACCCCGCCCATCTGGCTGGGTTTCCCCAGCCACTCTGGGCGGCTTCCATAGAAACCAAAAATACAGTAAAATATCACAGATTAAAAACTTCCCTGAACAGGGCTGCCTTCAGATGTCTTCTAAATGTCAGGTAGTTATTTATTGCTTTGACATCTGATGGGAGGGCGTTCCACAGGGCGGGCGCCACTACCAAGAAGGCCCTCTGCCTGGTTCCCTGTAGCTTTGCTTCTCGCAATGAGGGAACCGCCAGAAGGCCCTTGGAGCTGGACCTCAGTGTCCGGGCAGAACGATGGGGGTGGAGACGCTCCTTCAGGTATACTGGGCCGAGGCTGTTTAGGGCTTTCAAGGTCAGCACCAACACTTTGAATTGTGCTCGGAAACGTACTGGGAGCCAATGTAGGTCTTTCAAGACCGGTGTTATATGGTCTCCGCGGCCGCTCCCAGTCATCAGTCTAGCTGCCACATTCTGGATTAGTTGTAGTTTCCGAGTCACCTTCAAAGGTAGCCCCACGTAGAGCGCATTGCAGTAGTCCAAGCGGGAGATAACCAGAGCATGCACCACTCTGGCAAGACAGTCCACGGGCAGATAGGGTCTCAGCCTACGTACCAGATGGAGCTGGTAGACAGCTGCCCTGGATACAGAATTGACCTGCGTCTCCATGGACAGCTGTGAGTCCAAAATGACTCCCAGGCTGCGCACCTGGTCCTTCAGGGGCACAGTTGCCCCATTCAGGACCAGGGAGTCCTCCACACCAGCCCGCCCCCTGTCCCCCCAAAACAATACTTCTGTCTTGTCAGGATTCAACTTCAATCCATTAGCCGCCATCCATCCTCCAACCGCCTCCAGGCACTCACACAGGACCTTCACCGCCTTCACTGGTTCTGATTTGAAAGAGAGGTAGAGCTGGGTATCATCTGCATATTGATGGACACCCAGTCCAAACCCCCGATGATCTCTCCCAGTGGCTTCATATACCGTATTTTTCGCTCTATAGGACGCACCAGACCATAAGACGCACCTAATTTTTGGAGGAGGAAAACAAGAAAAAAAATATTCTGAATCTCAGAAGCCAGAACAGCAAGAGGGATCACTGCGCAGTGAAAGCAGCAATCCCTCTTGCTGTTCTGGCTTCTGTGATAGCTGCGCAGCCTGCATTCGCTCCATAAGACGCACACACATTTCCCCTTACTTTTTAGGAGGGAAAAAGTGAGTCTTATAGAGCAAAAAATATGGGAGATGTTAAAAAGCATGGGGGAGAGGACGGATGAAGGCGTTGGCTTGGTGTTACGTCTGGTGGCCTAACATGGACGATGCCATCACTGCCTGGGTGTCCGCCTGTCAAGCATGCCAAGAATCGAGGCCTGCACCACCGGCAGCTAAGGGACACACCTGGGAGACGCCCAAGACACCCTGGTCGAGGGTGCACATCGATCTCGCCGGCCCCTTTCGCGGACGGACCTTTATGGTAGTGGTGGACGCCTATTCCAAATGGCTGGAGGTGGCCCTGATGCCCTCCACCACTCCCGAGGCCGTCATCCGGGTGCTGCGAGACCTCTTTGTGATGCATGGGTGTCCTGATGTCCTCGTCTCCGACAACGGACTGCAGTTCACGTCAGGCACTTTTGAGTGGTATCTTTTGGGACTGGGCATCCGCCATGCCCAACGGCACCATTTCTTTCTTTTTTTAAGAATAATTTTTTATTAACCGACCAATCACATCAAATCAAACCAAATTACATAACTTCCAAATTACACAGCCGAATTTTAAATTTTTATTGGGGGTACCCATATTTCAAGTTCCGAAGGGATCCAACCAACTTCTTGCGTCTTACTGCTGTTTTAATGTCCACAAATCTAACCTTATGATGTTCACAGTACTATCCAGTCCTTTCTTATTATTTTTCCACATCTCTTGTTATTTTCATATATTTTTCCTTTCTCTTTGTGACCTCTGATAGTCTCCACAAGCTGGTTAGAACAGTTTGTAATCCTGCATGGATTTTTTTTTTTTTATCCAGTAGCCATATCCAGACGTTTTCCATAAAACATCACTTCCATACATCAAAACAGTCTTAGCGTCATTAATCTTCACCAATCTGCCTCCTTTCTCAAAACCTCTGAGGAGATTCACTAGGAATGCAGTCTAAAAACAAATCCGTTCTTCTTCCCGGCTATAAATCCTTTGGCAAGATGGCGACTCCGAATTAATTGCTGCGCCATTCCCAAAAGCTCTTATTGCTTCTCGGTCTCCATAAAGCATACTTTTGGTTAAAGTTTATCTCCACACAGACCTTAATCATCCTGCTTGGGTCAGTTTAACCGACGGTTCTAATGAGGAGGGGTTCTTGTAAATCACATAGAAGGAAAGTAAAAAAGGTTCCCCCCCCCATTCAGTCCCGTTGTCAACATACCCAGCCTTTGGTGTATCTTCATCGTAAAATATTCCTGTTTCTCCAACCCGTCGTCTTCTTTCGCAGAGGTCACTTAAATTAGCAGACTTCACTCCCCTTCTTCACTTGAAATATGTGCATTTGCTTCTTTTGTAATTAATTATTCCAAATTGCTGCAACTAGCGCGCGTTCAGAGACAGCGTCCAGGAGAGCAGAGGTCCACACAGGGGTATTCTGCCTAGGGCCCCACCCCCTTCTTTCAAATTAGGGGGTGATTTATGGGCACAGCAGGCAAGGGCAGTGTTCCCCATTTCCTTGGGGCAACAAGGGAGGCTGCCTACTCCCATAACAGCCTCTTAATTACCCCGTGTGGGTCGGAGAGATGGTATTGTCGGCCATCTTCCAATGCGCCCCCTAGTGGCCCCCCCTAACGGCACCATTTCATCCATCCAGCAATGGGCAAGTGGAGAGAATGGTGCGCTCAGCAAAAGAGGCACTGGCACGCCTGGACCGGGGAGACTGGCACGAGCGGGTCGCCAAATACTTGTTCGTGCAACACATCACCCCTTATGCGGCCACAGGGCGGAGTCCTGCTGAACTGCTTATGGGCCGCTGCCTCAGGTCCCCGCTCGACCGGCTGCACCCGGACTTTGCCGTGGCCGAACCCCCAGGCTGTGCCAACGCGCCACGGTCATTTGTTCCAGGAAACCAGGTCTTTGCCCGGAACTATGTGGGGGACATTCCTTGGGTGCCAGCCACAGGAGTGGGAGTCACTGGACCTCGCTCGTACCAGGTGGCACTCAAAGACGGACGCTTGTGGCGCCGGCACATAGACCAGCTTAGGCGCAGGGGTGGGGACTTGGACACTACCGTGGTGCCCCCAACTGCCCTCGTGGCTCCGGAACAGACACTTACAGATGGTGAGGCTCCACATACACCTCTCTCGCAAACTGCCGGCGTGGAGCCGAACCAAGCTGCTTCAGAGGGCCTGCCAGACTTACCACAGACTCAGACCACTGCCGTGCCTGACATTCCGCCAACTCCACTTGTGGAGGTTCCACCCACAGCAGCAGATCCAGGGGACTGTTTCAACGCCACCTAGGGTCGCACCACAGCCTCAGCAAGAATTGGGTGGCCCCCTGGACTTGGCTACCAGTCCCCGGCGCTCTGGCAGTTTCCAAGCGCCCAAACTTTTTAAAGGACTATGTTGTTGGACATGTATCACTGTTGGTCTAAGTATGTTTAATGTAACCGATATGCTTTTGTGCCTAACTGAACCATTACGGGTAGTGCTGTATATAAGGAAACCATTACGATTGTAACTAATGCCTTATCTCGGTGTGGGGGTACTGATGTTCCCACCCTGGGCCAGCAGGGGGATACTGTAGATAGTTATGCAAAATGAAGGATCGAAAAGTGACGTTCAGTGATTGGATAGTTTGTATGCAATTGAAGGAACGAAAAGTGACGTTCTGTGATTGGATAGTTTTAGAAAGTCGCAACAGTTGCAATTGTTCTGGAGCTCTATATAAGTAGGCTGACTGAGCTCCTCAGTTAGTTCTGTTCTGGCATCTGAATAAAGAAGAGCTGTTTGAAGAATCACTGTGTCGTCTGATATGTTCACCCACAACCTAACAAAGGGAGCTGGTGGGACTAAGAACCGGGGTTCCTGAATTGCAGGGGTTGGACTAGATGAGCCTGGAGTGTCCTCTTCCAGGATTCCTCTTCTGGCTGCCAATGCCACGGCTGGAATGTCTCCCAAAACTGCCCCCCCTTTCACAAGGAGCTCCCCCCCCCCCCGTGTCTTAAACTACCCTTTGACTGGCAACCATCTCCAATCTCCTTGGTGGACAATCCCAACCAAAGATGCATTAGATTCTCTGAAATATACTCAGGAGTTGTGTAGTGATTTCATGCTCTTTATTGCAGCTTGTAAAACAGTGATTTAATTGCACCCCAAACCTCAGGCTTTTGTATACATTATTTACACAATTAGTCCCGTCTGACTGGCTGATTCTGCTTCCCTCCTGGAGCCTGATTGGTCTTTTCCTGCAGGCCAATCAGTTGTTGCATTCTAGGATTCTACTTGCCCATTGTTCAACAATCCAAGCTTAGTACATAACCCCCCTCCCCTCTAAGTTCCCGTTGCGCCCAGAAGGTTAGCATTCGTAGTCGTTGAGGTATGCCGGTCACCTATGTATATCTTGTGGTCTTAGGTGTCTCTCAGTAGGGGTTCCTGGTTCTGGCTCTTGTTCCAGGGCTGCCGGCTGTGACGGGGTCCTTGGGTTAGACGCCGCTGGTCCACTTGGTTGTGGTTCTGGTTCCTGTGGCTGCTCGGCCTCGGTCACTTCTGGACTTCCTAGTTCTGCTTCCCTTACCCGCTCCTCCTGCTCTATGGGCCTCACCCTTCTGCTATCCCCTTGGGATTCCTCTGTCCAGCCCTCCTTGCAGTTCCCCCCCAGGAATCATCCGGAAGTTCAATAGTCCCAAGAAGGCTTGGAGTTCCGCCTTACCCTTAGGTGCAGGGGCGTCGCAAATAGTCCTCACCTTGTCCCCAATCAGGTGGACTCTTAGACCCCGCCAGGGTGGCAAGGACACGGCTGACCATTGGCACCGGGTATGCATGAGCCATAAGGGCCTTGTTTATGGTACATTTGTAGTCTACGCAGATGTGGACTGAGCCATTGGGCTTGACGGGTGTGTGAATGGGGTTTCTCGGGGGCATTAGGCACGGGCTAGAGCACTCCTTGCTCCACAAGCCAGTCTAATTCCTCACCAATGCGGGGTTTTGAGGGTGAACGGGACCTGGTGGGCCTTGAACCTGATGGGTCGTATGGCAGGGTCTAGTTGTAGGCCAACGGAGGGGCAGGGCAGTATATCACCCCAATGCCCCATTGAAAACGTCTGGAAACTCTTTGCACATGGTGTCCACGTCCACGTGGGAGCTGGTGCGGTTCACCCCGGTGATGGTTAGCCCCAGTGGCCCAAACCACGCCAACCCCAGTAAGCTAACGTAGCGCCCCTTGACCACAATCAAGTCCAACCGCCACTTCCGCCCTCCATATTGTACATTGAAGGATCCAACCCCCATCATGGGGACCTTGCGTTTGTGGAAGTCTCCCAGAGGGTGAATGGAGCTGGCCTAACTTGGAGCCGCCACTGGGACACAATTTCCTTAATGTCCATGCCAAGATTATGGACAGGGTTGAGCCTGTATCAAGCTCCAGGCGGCACGGGGCTGCCTCTATCTGTGCCTCGATGTAAATTTTGTCTGCATTAGAATGAGGCAACTGGTATACCTGACAGTCTGTGATCTCCGTCGAGTTGCCTTGGTGTGTCAGACCACGGGGCCTGGGACTCTTGGGTCGGCCATCTGGTTCGAGGCGTCGGGCAGGGCAGGCACGGCACACCCGGGCGATGTGTCCCACTTTTCTGCATTGTCGGCATTCTGCGTTGTGGAAATGGCAAGTCCTCTGCTCGTGGCTCTCCCTGCAACTTGCACAGTTCCCGTCTTCCGGACAAGGCTGTCGTTGTGGACGTGCAGCTTATGTGCACTGCTGCACTCAGTGCACATCCTCCCGGTCGGATTCTGAGTCGTCTGAGGGTTCTGAGGGTTTCTCCCCTGTATGTATTTTGTGATGGGCTGTGAGACTTTCGTTCCTGTTGAAGCTCTTTCAACATTCCAGACACTGATAAGGTTTTCCCCAGTATGAATTCTTTGATGGGATGTGAAGCTTATTTTCCAGGTGAAGCTCTTTCCACATTCCACGCCCTGATATGGTTTCTCCCCTGTATGAATTCTACGATGGCAAGTGAGATTGTGGCTGTGACTGAAGCTCTTTCCACACTCCAAGCAGTGATATGGTTTCTCCCCTGTATGAATCCTTTGATGGGAAGTGAGATGGGAGTTCTGACTGCAGCTCTTTCCACATTCCAGACACTGATAGGGGTTTCCCCCTGTATGAATACTTTGATGGGATGTGAAGCTTATTTTCCAGGTGAAGCTCTTTCCACATTCCACGGACTGATAGGGTTCTCCCCTTTATGAATCCTTTGATGGGAAGTGAGATGGGAGCCCTGACTGAAGCTCTTTCCACATTCCACGCACTGATAGGGTTTTTCCCCTGTATGAATCCTTTGATGGGAAGTGAGATGGGCCCTCTGAATGAAGCTCTTTCCACATTCCACGCACTGATAGGGTTTTTCCCCTGTATGAATCATTTGATGGGAAGTGAGATGGTCCCTCCGAGTGAAGCTCTTTCCACATTCTACGCACAGATAGGGTTTTCCCCCTGTATGACTTCTATGATGGGAAGTGAGATCGTGGCTGTGACTGAAGTTCTTTCCACACTCCAAGCAGTGATATGGTTTCTCCCCTGTATGAATTCTACGGTGGGAAGTGAGATCAGAGCTCTTCCTGAAGCTCTTTCCACATTCCATGCACTGATACGGTTTCTCCCCTGTATGAATCCTTTGATGGGAAGTGAGTTCGGACCTCGTCCTGAAGCTCTTTCCACATTCCAGGCACTGACAGGGTTTCTCCCCTGTATGAATTCTTTGATGGGAAGTGAGATGAGCACTCTGATTGAAGCTCTTTCCACATTCCAGGCACTGATAGGGTTTCTCCCCTGTATGAATCCTTTGATGGGAAGTGAGATGGGCACTCCGATTGAAGCTCTTTCCACATTCTACGCACTGATGTTTTTCCCCTGTATGAATTCTACGATGGGAAGTGAGATCGTGGCTGTTCCTGAAAGAGTGATATGGTTTCTCCCCTGTATGAATTCTACGATGGCAAGTGAGATTGTGGCTTTGACTGAAGCTCTTTCCACACTCCAAGCAGTGGTATGGTTTCTCCCCTGTATGAATCCTTTGATGGGAAGTGAGATGGGAGCTCTGACTGAAGCTCTTTCCACATTCCACGCAATGATAGGGTTTCTCCCCTGTATGAATCCTTTGATGGAAAGTGAGATGGGCACTCCGATTGAAGCTCTTTCCACATTGCACACACTGATATGGTTTTTCCCCTGTATGAATTCTACGATGGGAAGTGAGATCGTGGCTGTGACTGAAGCTCCTTCCACACTCCAAGCAGTGATATGGTTTCTCCCCTGTATGAATCCTTTGATGGGAAGTGAGATGGGAGCTCTGGCTGAAGCTCTTTCCACATTCCACGCACTGATAGGGTTTCTCCCCTGTATGAATCCTTTGATGGGATGTGAGATCTGCACTCCGAATGAAGCTCTTTCCACATTCCACGCACTGGAAGGGTTTCTCCCCTGTATGAATTCTTTGATGGTAAGTGAGATGGGCACTCCGAGTGAAGCTCTTTCCACATTCCACGCACTGATACGGTTGTTCCCCTGTATGAATTCTACGATGGGAAGTGAGATCGTGGCTTTGACGGAAGCTCTTTCCACACTCCAAGCAGTGATATAGTTTCTCCCCTGTGTGAATCCTTTGATGGGCAGTGAGATGGGAGCCCTGACTGAAGCTCTTTCCACATTCCACGCACTGATAGGGTTTCTCCCCTGTATGAATTCTACGATGGGAAGTGAGATCGGAGCTCTTCCTGAAGCTTTTTCCACATTCCAAGCACTGATAGGGTTTCTCCCCTGTATGAATTCTACGATGGGAAGTGAGATCGTGGCTGTGACTGAAGCAGTGATATGGTTTCTCCCCTGTATGAATTATGTGATGGGAAGTGGAATGGGAGCTCTGAGTGAAGCTCTCTCCACAGTCTGAATCCTGATATGGCTCCTCCACTGTGTGGATTTCGTTGTGGTCTCCCTTGTTCTTCATTTCCAATTCATCCCCACCTGAAACTAAGAGGCAAACGGATTAGAGTCTCGGGAAGAAGTGCAGTCCTAAATTATGGAACAATGCTAATTAATGCTTGGGACAGAGGAAGAACTGAAGGGAGTTAGATGTTATAATGTTCTTTTTGTTATGTAAAAATGTCTAGTTTCATATACAAATCAAGTTGAATATTATATGTTTTCTCTCTCTAGTTTTGAAAAGTGGAAAGAGACGTATATTACACTTATACCGAAAACAGAGACTGAAAAGACCCAGCTTAAGAACTACCGCCCTATATCGTTACTTAATGTGGATTACGAACTTTTTGCAGACATTTTGGCCAAGAGATTGAAAAAAGTATTGATGGAAGAGATTCATAAAGACCAAGTGGGCTTTCTCCCGGGAAGACACTTGTCCGATAATTTTTTTTTTTTAATGATATTTATTAAGGTTTCAATAAAAGATTGAACAGAAAAACACAAACGAAAAATACACAATTCAAAAAAGCACAATACATAGTCCAAAAAAGAAAGAAAAAAAACGAAAAAAAGAACAATTAAGAACAATATCACCTTTTCGTTTCCATCTTTAAATTTACTTGTTTTCTGGACCTCCTCATAACTCCCTCTTTTGTATTCCAGTTCAAATTGTTTGTCTAGCAATTTCTTTCCCTCTTTTTTAATCCCAATCTTTAATCTTAATATAATATAACATTAAAATTTTACCTCTTAAAAGCCAAATTTCCATTTCCTTAAACTTCTTTAATCCTAATCCTTAATCTTAGTCTATCTATAACTTTAAATCCTGTACAGCTGGAAACCACTTATTTTCAATCCAACATCACTGTAACATTCTTTAATTTTACAGTGTTTCTGTAGATAATCTTTGAATTTCTTCCAATCTTCCTCCACCAACTCTTCTCCCTGGTCACGGATTCTGCCAGTCATTTCCGCCAGTTCCATATAGTCCATTAGTTTCATCTGCCATTCCTCCAGTGTGGGAAGTTCTTGTGTCTTCCAATACTTTGCGATGAGTATTCTTGCTGCTGTTGTTGCATACATAAAGAAAGTTCTGTCCTTTTTTATCACCATTTGGCCGACCATGCCCAGGAGAAAGGCCTCTGGTTTCTTGGGGAAGGTATATTTGAATACTTTTTTTAATTCATTATATATCTTTTCCCAGAAAGCCTTAATCTTTGGGCACGTCCACCAAAGGTGAAAAAATGTACCTTCAGTTTCTTTACATTTCCAACATTTATTATCGGGCAAATGATAGATTTTTGCAAGCTTGACTGGGGTTATGTATGCTATAACAGCAGCAAGAATACTCATTGCAAAGTATTGGAAGACACAAGATCTACCCACTCTGGAAGAATGGCAGATGAAGGTGATTGACTACATGACTGGCAGAATCCGAGACCAGAGAGAAGAGTCGGTGAAAGAAGACTGGAAGAAATTTAAAGACTGTTTACAGAAATATTGCAAAATTAATGAATGTTAGAATGATGTTGGATAGAAACTAAGAGGTTTTTAGCTGTAATACTTTAAGAGATATGAAAAAAGGTTTGCAACTGGGTAATTTTAATGGTAAGGATTTGCTGAACTAACAAATTGAACTGGAATACAAAAAAGGGAGGTATGAGGAAGTCCGGGGAAATAAGTATAGGGAAGATAGGTTATGGAAAATTAATGTCTTTTTAACTGTTTATTTGGTATGTTTCTTTTTCTTTTTTTTACTTTTTTTGGTTATATTTTTTTAAAAAAAATTTATTCTTCTTCTTTTTGTATTCTGTATTTTTTGTATTTTTTGAAACTTTAATAAATATCATTAAAAAAAAAAAAGAAAAGTACAGCTTAACCAGGTAACGTCATTTTGTTCAAATTTAAATATGGATCTGTACTATCTTCATAAATAAAATGTGCTTTTATTATTATTTAAAGGTGGCCAAAGCGGGAAAGTTCCCTGTCCAAAATTAAGATATACAGTGGTACCTCAGGTTACATACGCTTCAGGTTACATACGCTTCATGTTACAGACTCTGCTAACCCAGAAATAATGCTTCAGTTTAAGAACTTTGCTTCAGGATAAGAACAGAAATCATGTCCCGGTGGCGCAGTGGCAGCAGGAGACCCCATTAGCTAAAGTGGTGCTTCAGGTTAAAAACAGTTTCAGGTTAAGAAAGGACCTCCAGAACGAATTAAGTTCTTAACCCGAAGTACCACTGTACTTAAATGTTACATTTTTGTGAGAAGTTACAGGGGACGAGGCAGGGGGCCTTCTCGATAGGGGAACCCACCCTGTGGAACGCCCTCCCCTCAGATGTCAAGGAAATAACTATGCAACTTTTAAAGGACTTCTGAAGGCACCTCTGTATTGGGAAGTTTTTAATGTTTGATGTTTGATTATGTTTTTCTATTTGTTGGCTGGGGCCACCCAGTCAGATGGGCAGGGTAAAAATAATAAAATTATCATTATTGTTACTACAGGGTTCACTGCCTGAGATTCAAAAAGCCTGGCTCTTTTCTGGGATGGAGTTTGTTTGGTTCAGTTGTGGAATCTGTCAAGCAACTCTTTGGTAAAAAATTACTCTGAATCCTACATTTAAGAAGGCCTGGGCAGTTCAGACAGCCTGATCATGGTTTTAAACGACAGAACTGGAGGAAGAATATTCACAGGGAAAACAATCAATAGCCATCCCTCCAAGGTTTGCTTTGGGAGTGTTAACATCCCAGGTGCTGTGGGTGGCGCTGTTGAGCCCCATCGAAATATCAGAGGTTCATCATCTAGAGAGATGTCTTGAATTACAAAACAGATAGGATGATCCAATAGGGAGCCTTACCGAGAGAGTCCAAGATCCCACGATTCTCCTCCATGACTTCCTTATGGAGGGCTCTCTGGTCAGGATCCAGCAACGCCCACTCCTCGTCTGTGAAATGGACAGCCACATCTTCAAAGCACACTGGACCCTAACAGAACAGGAAAAAGGCTGTCCTCTTAGAGAACATTCACTTGGCTCTGTTGTTTTCTACAGCGGCCAGACCCCTCTCTGCCTTCCTCATCCCTCTCTCCTGCTGCAGCTTCTGCCTCGGAGTCTGGGCTGCTCTCTGCCACAGACTCCCTCTGCTCCCTGAGCCCTCTTCCCTCTCCAGCTTCAGACCCCTCCTCCTCCTCCTCCCAGTCGGCTCCCTCTTCTCTGGCTCCTCCCACCATTCCTCTGCATCCAACTGTGTCCAGCCAGTCTGCATCCAAGCAGTCCTTCCCCGGAAGGCTCCTTCCCCCTACCTGATCTGGGTCCACAGCTGCTGCCTCCCCTCCACCACCATGAAAAGATGAAGGAGCAGGTCTTGGTGGCATCATTCCGTCACCTGGGAGAGACCAAGGTAAGTGGAAACCGTGAGCGCCTGCTTCTCTCAGAGGTGAAACAGTGCATCTCTACGTACAGATGGGGCTTGTCCAAGTCTCCCCTGCTAGCTTCCGGTTCCGCTCTGCCTTAATGGCGGCAGCGGGAGATCGTTGGCAAAGGAAAAACAAGGATGACTGAGGGTAATTCTCCTTGCAAGTTTCCCCCAGGGACAGGGGGGAACGGGCTTCACTCCCAGTTTGTCTCGGTACCAGGCTCCGGCTCCGGCATGGATTGCGAGAGGCAGGAAGGCGCTGAGTGCAAAAGCCCTTCGCCTGCCGAAAACCCTCCTTCGCCGCCATTAAGAAGCAGAGGTTCTCCTGTCAATTAGAGCTCAATTTGGACTAATGTACAGGCGTTGCTGGAAGAGATGAGCTCATAAACTGCGGAATTGAACCAGCTGCAAGGTCTTTAAGGTTTGAATTTGAGAATAAACTAGTTGAAAATATCTATGTACAGGTGAGCAGGGATGAAACTGGACTGCAGATATGGAATATAACATCAAATGGAACAGTATGTGTGAAAACAAAAAGGAAAAAGGGAGGGAAGCTCTATTTTACAAAATGTTTACGGTGGAAAATTAGAGGTGACTCTTCCCCATCCTGTATTATATATAGACTGAACTGATTAATGCTAAAGGACATGGAATTTAATTTAATTGGATAAATGCGCATTTATCTTAGGCCAGACAGAGGGATGTAAGGAATCTGAAAGTTGTGAGGGAGCTGATAAGGTTCATTACTGAGTCTTTTGCAATTCTGACACATCCCTCTCTTTCCCAGGTGTAGAAGAAAAATGGCAAAAACTGATTATTTATTGGGATGGTGTGATTTTTGCAGCTGCTGTTAAAGTTGCCAAACAACGAAGCACAGGACAAAGCGATGGAGAATTTCTGAAACCACAATGGGATATTAGCTCCGCCCAAGGAATGATGGAGAACAGCAACAACCAGGAAAAGATAGACAGAACATTTTACAAGGACAGGAAGAAATATCACGAACAGAAAGATTGCCACACACGGGAAGAGTAAGGATATCACTGGAGTGCCTCACTTGTAGTTTTATATATTATTTGATGTTTCCATACGAATGGAAGTCATTAATACTGCAGTTGTTGTATAAAGGATTGTTATCTTGACAGGAGTGTAATTGAAATTAATAAGATTTTAGAATGGAGAAATCAAGAAAATCATCAAACCATCGTAATTTCGTAATTTCACATTGTTATAAGGAGGCTATTATTGGACTGTAATTGTAAACTAATCAAATTACTATCATAAACGTCTCCCCTGCTGAGTACATTTGTGCTCATATAATATTTATATATATATATATATATATATATATATATATATATATAATATAATATAATATAATATAATATATACATATAATAATTCTGCAAAAATACATCTACCCCCCCCCCCGAGCTCTGGGCTCCAGGTGTCTTCCCCCAAAAGATGTAAAGAACTCAGAGATTAGTTTCAAAACCAAGAGAATGTGACAAAATGGGGGAGAAAACACTCCTTCCTCCTTACCCAGAGGCCTCACTCTGGCGTCCAGCGGAGTCTTCTCTGCCTCAGAAGAATCAAGACCCCATTCTGCCAAAAGATCCTTCCTCTGAAAGAGCAACAAGGATTCAAAACAGAGAATGGGGAGAAGGGTTAGAGAAGGAATGGCAGAGGCAAGCGCTTTCGGGGGACAGAGGTGAAAGCTGCTTCCTGCTTCTGCTAGACTGGTGTCTGGGGTTGGCTGCCAGGACCATGAAACATTGGTCCTCAAGGATCTTCACTGGCTCCCAGAACGTTTCCAAGCACAATTCAAAGTGTTGGCCTCAAAGGCCCAGTATACCCAAAGGAGCGTCTCCATGAACTGAGGTCCAGTTCCGAGGGTCTTCTGCTGATTCCCTCACTGTGATAAGTGAAGTTACAGGGAACCAGGCAGAAGACCTTCTCCACAGTGGGACCCACCCTGGGGAATGCCCTCCCATCAGGTGATAAGGAGATAAGAAACTGCATAGCTTTTAGAAGACATCTGATGTCTTCTTATGCTTTTATATGTGCTGCAAGGCACCCAGCCACATGGGTGTGGTATTAATAAGAAGAAGAAGAGGAAGAAGAGCAAGAAGGAGAAGGAGCAGATCTGTTCCTAGATGCTTTCCAAAAAAGGAGGGGCCATTAGGAAATGATTTGGGAATACTCTCCCTCCTCTTTGGAGCCCCTTGGGAGTATCCAGAGGAAAGTCTCTCTCACCTGCTGCTCTGCCTGCTTCCTCTCCTCTGCCTGACTCAGGAGGAAACCTTCGGCCAGGGCCACCGCCTGGGAACTGGTCTCCGCTCCGCATTCCCTCACCCAGTTCTCCATCTCCAGAGGAAGGACAGCCAGGAACTGCTCCAAGATCACCAGGTCCAACATCTCAGCTTTCGTGTGCCTTTCCGGCTTCAGCCACTGATGGTCAAGGTGGTAGAGTTGGCTGCAAACCTCTCGGGGTCCTTTGGCCTCCTGGAAGCAGAACTGCCTGAGCTGCTGGCTCTGCACCTCTGAGCAAGGGGTGTCCTCCTCACCCAGTTCCTTCTTCACAGAGTTTTCCCGGAATTCCCCACTGCTCCCCGTTTCCATGGCACGGCCTCTTCCTGCTTCAGGGCCAGCTGAGTCTTCCTCATCCATCTGGGCTCTCCGGAAGTCTCCAAGAGATCGGAAGGAGCCCCTTGGTCCTCTGCCAAGTTCTGTGGGTACTAATGCGAGGTGCAGAAAATCATATGAATCAAACACACTATTCTATTGTAAGATGAAGAGGAGAAGAATGTTTCCTGAGGAAGCGTGGCTGAGTCTTGCTAGGAACCCGGGCTGGATTGCACCACAGCTCAGACTCCAAGCTGTCTGGGGGGAAAAGGGGGAGGGAGAAGTCATAACTGTGAGTGACAAGTGAGTGTAATCTGGAGCCAAGGCAACAGTGGGGGTCCCCCCCACCCCACTTCATAGTCCAGAGCTTCGCCCCAACCCAACCATATCTGCTTGGGTGGCTTGGTGAGCAGCAGGGCCCATGTCTAGCTCCAGCCACCGTCCCTTGGGGACTTCCTGCTCTGGATCCGAGGGGACGGTGGCAAGGCCCTCTGGGTGGAACTGCCCTGGAAGACGCCTCGGAAACTGGACTTTCAGTCAAAAAAAGAATTAGGGAGGGAAAATGGACGACATACAGAGATTTATGAATAGAGAGAGAAGGGAAGCTTCATGGTATTTCCCTCTTAATATACTTCTCCCTCATAATAATGTCCCTCTTAATATACTTCTCCCTCATAATAATGTCCCTCTTAATATACTTCTCCCTCATGTCCCTCTTAATATACTTCTCCCTCATAATAATGTCCCTCTTAATATACCGTATTTTTCGTTCTATAGGACGCACATTTTCCCCTCCAAAAATTAAGGGGAAATGTGTGTGCGTCGTATAGAGCGAATGCAGGCTACGCCGCTGAGCCCAAAGCCAGAACAGGAAGACGGAGCACTGCGGAGCGCTCCGTCCCGCTGCTCTAGCTTGGGGATGGCTGCGCGCAAACCTCTGCATTGCAGCGGGGTGCCTTCACGCCGCTGTCCTGCAGAAGCTAGCAAGGCTGTTCCCAAGCCAGAACAGCGAGACGGAGGGCTCCGTTTCGCTGCTCTAGCTTGGGCAGCGGGGCGTTGCACTCCAAAGGCTTCAGGGATCTTTGAGGCTGGCGGTGGGGGAAAGCAGCGCTTCCCCCCACCGCCAGCCCCACAAGCTCTGGTGAATGTACCTTGAACGCACCTTGTTTTAGAGGGGTAGAACAAGAAAAAAAAAATTTCCCCTGTTCTCCCCCTCCTATGAGCCGGTGCGTCCTATGGTCCGGTGCGTCCAATGGAGCGAAAAATACGGTACTTCTCCCTCATGTCCCTCTTAATATACTTCTCCCTCTGGTCCCTCTTAATATACTTCTCCCTCATAATACTGTCCCTCTTAATATACTTCTCCCTCACAATTATGCCCCTCCTAATGTCCTTCTCCCTCATAATAATGTCCCTCTTAATATACTTCTCCCTCATAATTATGTCCCTCTTAATATACTTCTCCCTCATAATAATGTCCCTCTTAATATACTTCTCCCTCATAATAATGTCCCTCTTAATATCCTTCTCCCTCATAATAATGTCCCTCTTAATATCCTTCTCCCTCATAATAATGTCCCTCTTAATATACTTCTCCCTCATGTCCCTCCTAATATACTTCTCCCTCATGTCCCTCTTAATATCCTTCTCCCTCATAATAATGTCCCTCTTAATATACTTCTCCCTCATGTCCCTCCTAATATACTTCTCCCTCATGTCCCTCTTAATATCCTTCTCCCTCATAATTATGTCCCTCTTAATATACTTCTCCCTCACAATAATGTCCCTCTTAATATCCTTCTCCCTCATAATAATGTCCCTCTTAATATACTTCTCCCTCATGTCCCTCTTAATATACTTCTCCCTCATGTCCCTCTTAATATCCTTCTCCCTCATAATAATGTCCCTCTTAATACACTTCTCCCTCATAATAATCTCCCTCCTAATATACTTCTCCCTCACAATTATGTCCCTCTTAATATCCTTCTCCCTCATAATAATGTCCCTCTTAATATACTTCTCCCTCATAATAATGTCCCTCTTAATATACTTCTCCCTCATAATAATGTCCCTCTTAATATACTTCTCCCTCATAATAATGTCCCTCTTAATATACTTCTCCCTCATGTCCCTCTTAATATATTTCTCCCTCATAATAATGTCCCTCTTAATATACTTCTCCCTCATAATAATGTCCCTCTTAATATACTTCTCCCTCATAATAATGTCCCTCTTAATATCCTTCTCCCTCATGTCCCTCTTAATATACTTCTCCCTCATAATAATGTCCCTCTTAATCTACTTCTCCCTCATGTCCCTCTTAATATACTTCTCCCTCATAATAATGTCCCTCTTAATCTACTTCTCCCTCATGTCCCTCTTAATATCCTTCTCCCTCATAATAATGTCCCTCTTAATATACTTCTCCCTCATGTCCCTCTTAATATCCTTCTCCCTCATAATAATCTCCCTCTTAATATACTTCTCCCTCATGTCCCTCTTAATATCCTTCTCCCTCATAATAATCTCCCTCTTAATATCCTTCTCCCTCATAATAATGTCCCTCCGAATGTCCTTCTCCCTCATGTCCCTCTTAATATCCTTCTCCCTCATAATAATCTCCCTCTTAATATCCTTCTCCCTCACAATAATGTCCCTCCGAGTGTCCTTCTCCCTCCTCCCTGTCTTCCAGTCCCACCTCCCTGGCCAGGGCCTGAGGTCCCTCTGCCTCCCTCCCGGACCCCCCAGCCTCTCTTCCCTCCCCTTCCCGCCTCCCGGGGCAGGGAGTTCCCCAGGCTTCCCCCGAGAGGAGACCCACCAGAGCCCGGCAGGCGAAGGCGAGGCCGGAAGGGACGGAGCGGCCCGCCTTCCTTTCCTGTCCTCTCTAGGAAGCCAGCTCGGCGCCCCTTCATCCTTCTCTCTCCCGTCAGGGGCGTCGCGCAGGCGCAGAGCTGCTCCATCCGGGGCCTGGCGAGCTGCTCCCTCTGAGGGGAAGAGGCCGGGAAGAAGCCGGGACTGGGCGCGTGTGCGTGTGAAGGGGGAACCCGTGTCCCGGAGAAGGAGCCCCTCTCTCTGCCTGGGGCTCCGGGGCTGCGAAGGGGCGTCTGGGCGGGGGAGAGAGGGGTCTTTGGCGGGCCAGATGGGGGACCCGGGGGTGTCTCTTCTCCGGGGGGCGAGTCTCTCTTGGGGGCCCCTGGGGGGCTGCGGGGCAGAGAGCCCTGTCCCAGCAAGAGGGGGTCCCGGGGGGGGGGCTGAAGGGGCAGCTGGAGGGGGGAGACATTGCCAGACATGGCTGGGGGGCCATTCTGTGTTGTCCCATCTGCTGCTTCGTGTCTGTATTTCAGCCATAAATATCCCATGTTCTTCTCTGTTAGTGAAGTCGCCTTTGAAGCAACACAGGAGCAGCCAAGGGGGTTTTCCTAGGAAGCCTTTTATTCCCCTCTGGTGACATTCTTAGAAGTTTGTGGGTGCCCAACCCCCGCAAAATACCTCCTAAATGTTGGAATTGGATTTAGACTTGGGTTGCCAACACCGGGTGCCAGACCCGTGTGGATGAAACGGTGTGTTTGACGCTCCTCATCCTCTGGAATCAGCGTGTCTTCACAGCTCCTTCAACCAGGCGAGGAAGGACGCCTGGATCCAGAATTGGCCCCCACGGTCACTGAGGGCCTCATGGTTGAAACCGTGTTTAGGGAAGACAATCTTACTCGGCTACGAGGGACGCCAGAGAAGAAGGGTTGCCATGTGTCCTCTTTTCCCAGGACACGTCCTCTTTTTCAGGGGTAAAATTTCTGTCCAGGTGGATTTTTGGTCAAAATGTCTCTGGCCAGACGTTCTGGAGGAGACATAACTGGGGGTGGAAGACTTGCGTTCCTCTTCTCTTCTCCTGCCCCCCCCCCTCAGCAAAACATCTCACAGCTTCTCTAGCCTACATATAGTAGGAGTACTTAAAAGGAGAGTCATCATCGCATCCTCGTTTTTGCTCCTCAAAATCTGCCCACCCTCCCAGAGAAGGGCAACCAAGGAGATGAAGACTCCGTCCTCTTCCTTCTGTGACGGCAGGTTGCTCTTGCTCCTTGTCCGCCTTCCAAATGAAGAACAGAATCCTAAAGTTGGAAGGGACCCCAAGGTCCATCTAGGCCAGGGGAGGCAACCTAAGGACCAGGGGCCGGATGTGGCCCAATCGCCTTCTCAATCCGGCCCCGGACAGTCCAGGAATCAGCGTGTTTTTACATGAGTAGAATGTGTCCTTTTACTTCAAATGCATCTCTGGGTTATTTGTGGGGCATAGGAATTGGTTCATTCCCCCCCAAAAATATAGTCTGGCCCCCACATGGTCTGAGGGACGGTGGACCGGCCCCCGACTGGAAAAGCTTGCTGACCCCGGATCTAGAGCTGTTTTTAAATGTCCCAACGCTGCCTGGCACTGGCCCCTCCAAATGCTCTTGTCTGGCTGGTCTTTCTTCACCCAGTCATGTCAAGGAGCAGCATGGGGGCTAAAAGGAGGAATAAATGGAGGACAATATCCCACTCCCCCCAGAAAAGCTCTTCTTTCTCTTTCTGTGGAGGCTCTAGGCCCCTCTTGAAGGAACTTTGCCTTGCTCCAATCAGGTTGTATATTTCCACCCCTTGGGACGGGACCCAAATATTTGACTTGCCTCATTTTGAAGCTTTGACCATTAGGCCTGCACACCATCAGCTTTTACAATGGTACCTCGGGTTAAGTACTTAATTCGCTCTGGAGGTCCATTTGTAACCTGAAACTGTTCTGGGGCCTCCTGCTGCCGCCGGAACATGATTTCTGTTCTCATCCTGAAGCAAAGTTCTTAACCCGAGGTACTATTTCTGGGTTAGCGGAGTCTGTAACCTGAAGCGTCTGTAATCTGAGGTACCACTGTACATACTTTACATTTGCTGAGGCAAAATCTCCACCCCCAACATTGCTTGTGGCAGTTCTGCCCTCGCCTTAATCTCCTCCATTTTGAAAGGAAGCATCTCTTTTTCATGGGCCATCTTGGCCTCCCTGTCTCTTTCTTCTTGGGCTCATCTCTCTCTCTCTCTCTCTCTCTCTCTGCCTGTATCTCTGCTAGATGAAGGGCAGCTGCCATTCTGGCCTCTTCTCTTTCTTTCTCTGCTTCAACCTTAGACAATTCCAATCTTAGCCTCATCATCTCTAATTCAATATATTAGGATTCTCCTCAGACGCAGCAGCTGGGTCATCCTGAGTCTCTTTGGCTTGGCGCTTGCTGGTCATTTTCTGACAGGAATTTTTTCTCTTTTTAATCAAAGAACTTCACTCCTTTATTAAACTGGTTGTTCTGTGTCTCTGGGTACGTTTCTGTGTGGGTTTTAACTTCGTATCACGGCTCTTTTCCCCCCGGCACCCTTGGGCCTGCCCTTCAGGGTTGTCGTTTTGAGACCCCACTTCCTCCCTGGGTTTCCAATTATTACTTTTTCTGGAAGGGACTGAGTATTACTGCTCCCCCTAAGTCTCCTTTGATTTCATCTCCCAAGATAGAGACTTCAGTTACTGTTTTCAGCCTAAATGAGCAGGAACCTCTTGAAAACGTTGCTCTAAACTGATCAGCTGTTTGAGCTCATCTGACTTTTCTCCCATCTGCCCAGAGCTTTGTCAATTCGGCTACCCAGTTGGGCCTAAGTCTCTCCTGGTTTCCTTTTAATTTCACGAAAGGCTTTTGGCTTTGTTCTGCAGTCAGTCCAAAGCTCACTTTCACTCTCTCTTTAAATGTGAGGGAATCAGAGGTTTCATCCTCTCTGAGATCTGAGTATATTTCACTCAAAATTCCACATATCTGTGGGCGTAAGTGCAGCATCCAGTTTTCCTCATGAATGTTTAAGTCTGCCAGTCCGCTCAAAACTAAATAGGATCTGTGTGGGTTTTAACTTCATATCCCACCTCTGCCCTCAATTAATATGCGAAGACGCAAGGGCTCTTTTCCCCCCGGCAGCCTTGGGCCCGTTCTCTCTCTTAAATATAGTGCACCCACCTCACAGAACACAATTTCCACAAATGCCCTCCAACTACGTCGGATTATCTTGTGGGGGACTTGCGTGAGGTAAAACTTACTAATTGGGAGTCTCAGGCAGGATTTCTTCAAATAAACATTAACGATTTTATTTAACAAGGAAGTTTATGACACGAGTGGATAAAACGTAGGATATTTCAGTTTACAATGTTATTCCCTTCAAGGTTTTCTCAGTTGTTTCTCACGTAATACTTTGGTTCTTAACAAGGTGGCACTTTCTGCCAGTTACACACCCCTTGGACAACCCTACTCCCAAGGTACTCCAAGCCAAAGACCCAAGGGATCTCTGGTTTGGGAGTCTTCTCTTTCTAGAAGGATCTCTCCCCTCCTGACTGGGATGAGAGCTCAGCAGCCGGTCTCTTTCCAGCTCCTCCTTCTCCTGGCTCAGCCTCCCAGTTCATTCCTGGCCTGATTTACTCTCCCAGGACACCACACACTGTCCTTCCCACTAAGCTCAGAGACTCCTTTCTCTAGCTGGTGATCTTTTCCTCAGAGTGGATGTTTCCACCCAGAACCAGCTCCTCTCACTCCCCATCTTCCCCACCTCCCTCCAAAGCTCCTAGCCATGGGGGGAACTGGGCCCAGGTCTCCCTCCTCCAGCTCCAGAGCTCTTAGTCTGTCTGCTAAACCACATGGGGTGTCTTTGGGTGTAATAATAATAATAATTTATTATTTATACCCCCGCCCATCTGGCTGGGCCTCCCCAGCCACTCTGGGCGGCTTCCAAAAAAATATTAAAATACTGTAATACATCAAATATTTAAAGCTTCCCTAAACAGGGCTGCCTTCAGATGTCTTCTAAAAGTCTGGTAGTTGTTGTTCTCTTTGACATCTGCTGGGAGGGTGTTCTACCACTGAGAAGGCCCTCAGCCAGAAGGCCCTCGGCGCTGGACCTCAGTGTACGGGTAGAATGATGGGGGCGGAGACGCTCCTTCAGGAACACTGGGCTGAGGCCATTTAGGGCTTTCAAGGTCAGCACCAATACTCTGAATTGTGCTCGGAAACGTACTGGGAGCCAATGTAGGTCTTTCAAGACTGGTGTTATATGGTCTCTGCGGCCGCTCCCAGTCACCAGTCTGGCTGCCACGTTCTGGATTAGTTGTAGTTTCCGAGTCACCTTCAAAGGTAGTCCCACATAGAGCACATTGCAGTAGTCCAAGCAGGAGATAACCAGAGCATGCACCACTCTGGCAAGGCATTCTGTAGGCCGATAGGGTCTCATCCTGCGTACCAGATGGGACAGAACCCTGAGGCACCCCACAAGTGAGAGCCCAGGGGTCTGAACACTCACCCCCCACCACCACTTTCTGAACACGGCCCAGGAGGAAGGAGCGGAACCACTGTATGACAGTGCCCCCAGCTCCCAGCCCCTCAAGACGGTCCAGAAGGATGTTATGGTCGATGGTGTCAAAAGCCGCTGAGAGATCCAGCAGAACTAGGACACAGCTCTCACCTTTGTCCCTAGCCCGCCGGAGATCATCGACCAGCGCGACCAAGGCAGTTTCAGTCCCATGATGAGGCCTGAATCCCGACTGGATCTGTATCTGGGAAGGGACTGCAGCAGAGCTGTGAAGTCACTGAGGGGGGAAGAGGAGACAAGAAGAGCAAGCTTTCTCTTGGCTAAAAACCAAACACCCCAGAAGGAGCAGGAAAGGCCCAGAGGGGGAGAGGCTCTGCAAGGACATCTCCCTGGGGGGCCTTTTCCTCACCAGGCTCTCCGGGCACCTTATAGGCTTTCGTCTCCAGGGCCAGATGAACTGCATCCAAGAGTATTAAAAGAACTGGCAGATGTGATCTCAGAACCACTGGCAGTCATCTTTGAGAATTCCTGGAGAACGGGCGAAGTCCCGGCAGACTGGAGGAGGGCAAATGTTGTCCCTATTTTCAAAAAGGGGAAAAGAGAGGACCCAAATAATTACCGCCCAGTCAGTCTGACATCAATACCAGGGAAGATTCTGGAGCAGATGATTAAGCAAACAGTCTGTGAGCACCTAGAAAGGAATGCTGTGATCACCAATAGTCAGCATGGATTTCTGAAAAATAAGTCATGTCAGACTAACCTGATCTCATTTTTGACAGAATTACAAGCCTGGTAGATGAAGGGAACGCAGTGGATGTAGCCTACCTTGATTTCAGCAAGGCATTTGACAAGGTGCCCCATGATATTCTTGTAAAGAAGCTGGGAAAATGCGGTCTTGACTATGCTACCACTCAGTGGATTTGTAACTGGCTGACTGACCGAACCCAAAGGGTGCTCATCAATGGTTCCTCTTCATCCTGGAGAAGAGTGACTAGTGGGGTGCCACAGGGTTCTGTCTTGGGTCCGGTCTTATTCAACATCTTTATCAACGACTTGGATGATGGACTCAAGGGCATCCTGATCAAATTTGCAGATGACACCAAACTGGGAGGGGTGGCTAACACCCCAGAGGACAGGATCACACTTCAAAACGACCTTGACAGATTAGAGAACTAGGCCAAAACAAACAAGATGAATTTTAACAGGGAGAAATGTAAAGTATTGCACTTGGGCAAAAAAATGAGAGGCACAAATACAAGATGGGTGACACCTGGCTTGAGAGCAGTACATGTGAAAAGGATCTAGGAGTCTTGGTTGACCACAAACTTTACATGAGCCAACAGTGTGACGCGGCAGCTAAAAAAGCCAATGCAATTCTGGGCTGCATCAATAGGAGTATAGCATCTAGATCAAGGGAAGTAATAGTGCCACTGTATTCTGCTCTGGTCAGACCTCACCTGGAGTACTGTGTCCAGTTCTGGGCACCACAGTTCAAGAAGGACACTGACAAACTGGAACGTGTCCAGAGGAGGGCAACCAAAATGGTCAAAGGCCTGGAAACGATGCCTTATGAGGAACGGCTAAGGGAGCTGGGCATGTTTAGCCTGGAGAAGAGGAGGTTAAGGGGTGATATGATAGCCATGTTCAAATATATAAAAGGATGTCACCTAGAGGAGGGAGAAAGGTTGTTTTCTGCTGCTCCAGAGAAGCGGACACGGAGCAATGGATCCAAACTACAAGAAAGAAGATTCCACCTAAACATTAGGAAGAACTTCCTGACAGTAAGAGCTGTTCGACAGTGGAATTTGCTGCCAAGGAGTGTGGTGGAGTCTCCTTCTTTGGAGGTCTTTAAGCAGAGGCTTGACAACCATATGTCAGGAGTGCTCTGATGGTGTTTCCTGCTTGGCAGGGGGTTGGACTCGATGGCCCTTGTGGTCTCTTCCAACTCTATGATTCTATGATTCTATGATTTTAATGCCAAGGACGCCCTGAAAGGACTTAGACCAGTCATGACGTGAAGGAGGCATTGAAGGAATAAATCATAATTTGGGTCAGCGCTGCTCCTCCTGTGCATCTGGCCAGAGCCATGGCTGCTTTCCTGAGGCCTTTCCTCTGCTTCTGCCCCCATGAAGGTTCCCTGATGGGAGGCTGTGGGGGCTGCAGACAGGCCAGCCCTTCAAGAGCAAAAGGGGGCCGTCTTGGAGGGGGGTAGGCATAATATTAAGCCTTACTGAGAGAGTCCGAAATCCCCCGATTCTCCTCCATGACTTCCTTATGGAGGGCTCTCTGGTCAGGATCCAGCAATGCCCATTCCACATCTGTGAAATGGAAGGCTACATCTTCAAAGCACACTGGACCCTAAAAGAAAAAGGTGAACTGTTACACTTTGTTGTTTTCTGCCTCTTAATTGATGTTCTGTATTAACTGGATTTTTTTCCTGCACATTTTATGGATGCATATTTTGATGTTTTAATGGAATTATTCGTTGTGTATTTTAATGAGAGGCATTAAGAAACTGGTGTTCTTCAAATCATTCTTTTAATCCTGTGCACAAACATTCCCGTGCGCCTACAGGTGCGCCTTCAAACAAGGAGGAGTTGCCATGTAAATGTGGACGTTTGCACCCATTTGACATACTAGTTGTGCAAAAATACATCTCTCTTTCTCTGGGCTCTTGGTCCCCTGTGACTTCTCCAATAAGATGAAAAGAATTCACAGATTAGTTTCAAAATCCACAAAATGTGACGAAACAGAGAAAGGACTCCTTCCTCCTTACCCAGAGGCCTCTCTCTGGAGTCCAAGGGAGTCTTCTCTGCCTCAGAGGAATCTGGACCCATTTCTGCTAACGGATCCTTCCCCTGAAAGAGCAACAAGGATTCAAGAGAGAGTGGGGAGAAGGATTAGAAAAGGAGCAGCTGATGCAAACACTTTAGGGCTATCCAATATCATTCCTCGGATGCTTTCCAAAAAAGGATGGGCAAATTAGTAGAGAATTGGGGGATACTCTCCCTCCTCTTCTAGAGTTGGCTGCAAATCTCTCGGGGTCCTTTGGCCTCCTGGGAGCAGAACTGCCTCAAATGCTGGCTCTGCACCTCTGAGCAGAGGGTGTCCTCCTGACCCGGGTTCTTCCTCACAGTGTTTTCCCAGAATCCCCCGCTGCTCCCATGTTGGATGGCATGGCCTCTTCCTGCTTCAGGGCCAGCTGAGTCTTGCTCATCCATCTCTGTTCCCAGGAGATCGGAAGGAGTCCCTAGGTCTTCTGCCAAGTTCTGCCTGTCCTAATGAGAGGTGCCAGAGAATCCTGTAAAGCAGTTGCATTCTTCTACTACCAGATTGATACACAGTCAGGAGAAGAGAAATGTTCCCTGGGCCAGCATGGATGAGTCTGAATCACAGCCCAGACTCGGAGTTCAAGCACCATATTCCCATATTCTGAAGACAGACTTCTGTCTTTGTTCTGAGGGCAACTCTCTCCCCCTTCAGAAGCATGGCTGCCTCCCACTGGGGGGCCTGGAGCCATCGCTAGCCCTCTGCTCCTCCCTGAATGGGCCTCATCCTCTTCTCAAGCCATCTCTTCCTCCTGTGGGAGGGAGTTCCATGGGTCTAACTGCGCACTGCGAGATGGAAGGACTTTGTTTAGCACAGAGGCCAAGTTTTTATTTCTGCCTCCAGATGTTTCCATCTGGCTGCCACCTGGGCTAAGGAACGTGGCTGATTCCTCAATCGCATCAGGGTTCCTTTGCAGGCCCTTGTCGACCTGACTCAGTGACCCCTCCCCAAAGGAGCAAGAGAAGAGTTGCAGACCTCCTGTTACTTGCAGCCTCCCTGGCTTTGCAGAGAGAAGGGGGGCAGAACCTCTTAGCCCTGGCTTGGGGATCCCCTTGCAGGAGCTGAGCAGAATCCCCACGGATCCCCATCATGACTCCCTGGCCCTCATGGCTGTTCTTCTGAGCCCTTGCAAAGCGGAGCTCTCCCTGCTCCCTTCTCTCTCTCTCTCTCTCTCTCAGGAGCCAGGGCCCCAGAGGGGTCTTCTTTGGGGGACCCTCCCCTGCAGCCCTGGGACCCCCCATCTCCCCAAGGCAATTCACCGGATCCCAGAAGGCGCCCCCAGGCAGCACTTGTGGAGCAGAGAGACAAAAGCCCTGATGGGGGCGGAGCTTGTGCTCTGGGGAGCCTCCTCCCTTTATTCCTCTCTAGGAAGCCAGCTTGGTGCCAGGGGGCGTGGCGCAGGTGCAGAGCTGCTCCATCGGGGGACTTTGGGGGCCTGGCGAGCTTCTCCCTCCGCGGGGAACAGATTTCTGCACATCTCAAGAGCAACAAGAATGTATTCCTTCCCACCCTTTGCTTGAGAAGCCAGAGGAAAACTGTGTTTGGCTCCAGGGTCCCTTGAGAGAGAGTTGGTTCCAACTCTGAGCAAAGAGGAAGGAAAAGGGGGTCCTGCAAGGAGAGGATGAGGGGAAGACCCCCTTTTCTAGGGGTGGGGGAGAGGGATTGGGCTCCCAGGTCAAGAAAGCACCTTGTATCCTGGCACTGAAAAGACACCCTCCCGACACACACTTTGTGGCATCTCCTTTCGGCAAAGGGTCAAAACATAGTTCCAACTTGGGCCAAGGGGAGTCTGGAGATGAGGAGGTTCCTAGCTTTGGAGAGACCTTGAAATTTGATTTTAAATCAAGATGGAAAGAATTTGCTGAAATAATTACTAAACTAGAACACAAAAACGGAGGTGTGAGGAGGTCAATGAAACAAGCAAATGGAAATTATGGATATGCAATTTGGGATTTGTGTTTTTTTTTCTTTTTTACTTTCTTTTGCTGTATTGTATTGGTTTTCATATTTTGTGCTTTTCTCTTTTTTATTGTTTTCTTTTTTGTATTGTAGTGTTGTTTTTCATGTTTTCTTTTTCTTGTAATTTCGAAATTATCAATAAATATTATTTTTTTAAAAAAAACAAAAACAAAACATAGTTCCAACTTGAAAACCACCTCCAGGACCAGGCACCCTCAATGGGCTTTGCACTACAACTCCCAACCGGGCCAGCCAGCAGAAGGCAGGGGGGATGGAAACAGCCTTCCAAAAGGTCCGGCCAGCTCCAGAGGCGACCCAAGGCTGCTCTCCAACTGGGCGCTGCTCCAGGCATCTGAGTTGCCCAGTTCAAGGGAGCTGGCGGGACTAAGAACCGGGGTTCCTGAATTGCAGGGGTTGGACTAGATGAGCCTGGAGTGTCCTCTTCCAGGATTCCTCTTCTGGCTGCCAATGCCACGGCTGGAAATTTCCCGTGAAGCTGCCCCCCCTCTTTCACAAGGAGCTCTCCCCCCCCCCCCCGTGTATTAAACTACCCTTTGACTGGCAACCATCTCCAATCTCCTTGCTGGACAATCCCAATCAAAGATGCATTAGATTCTCTGAAATCTACTCAGGAGTCCTGTAGTGACTTCATGCTCTTTATTGCAGCTTGTAAAACAGTGATTTAATTGCCCCCCAAACCTCAGGCTTTTATATACATTATTTACAGAATCAGTCCCGTCTGATTGGCTGATTCTGCTTCCCTCCTGGAGCCTGATTGGTCTTTTCCTGCAGGCCAATCAGTTGTTGCATTCTAGGATTCTACTTGCCTATTGTTCAAGAATCCAAGCTTAGTACATAACCCCCCTCCCCTCTAAGTTCCCGTTGCGCCCAGAAGGTTAGCATTCGTAGTCGTTGAGGTATGCCGAACCTATGTATGCCTTGTGGTCTTGGGTGCCTCTCGGTAGGGGTTCCTGGTTCTGGCTCTTGTTCCAGGGCTGCCGGCTGTGATGGGATCGTTGGGTTGGACGCTGCTCAGCCTCGGTCACTTCTGGACTTCCTAATTCTGCCTCCCTTTCCTGCTCCTCCTGCTCTATGGGCCTCACCCTTCTGCTATCCCCTTGGGATTCCTCTGCCCACCCCTCCTTGCAGTTTCCCCCCAGGAATCATCCGGAAGTTCAACAGTCCCAAGAAGGCTTGGAGTTCTGCCTTACCCTTAGGTGCAGGGGCGTCGCATGTAGCCCTCACCTTGTCCCTGATCAGGTGGACTTTAAGACTCCGCCAGGGTGGCGAGGACATGGCTGACCATTGGCACCGGGTATGCATGAGCCGTAAGGGCCTTGTTTATGGTACATTTGTAGTCTACGCAGATGTGGATTGAGCCATTGGGCTTGACGGGTGTGATGATTGGGGTTTCTCGGGGGCATTAGGCACGGGCTAGAGCACTCCTTGCTCCACAAGCCAGTCTAATTCCTCGCCAATGCGGGGTTTTGAGGGCGAACGGGACCTGGTGGGCCTTGAACTTGATGGGTCGTATGGCGGGGTCTAGTTGTAGGCCAACGGAGGGGCAGGGCAGTATATCACCCCAATGCCCCATCAAAAAGCTCTGGAAACTCTTTGCACATGGTGTCCACGTCCACGTGGGAGCTGGTGCGGTTCACCCCGGTGATGGCTAGCCCCAGTGCCCCAAACCACACCAACCCCAGTAAGCTAACGTAGCACCCCTTGACCACGATCAACTCCAACCGCCTCTTCCGCCCTCGATATTGTACATTGAAGGTTCCCGCCCCCATCGTGGGGACCTTGCGTTTGTGGAAGTCTCTCGGAGGGTGAATGGGGCTGGCCAAACTTGGAGCCGCCACTGGGACACAATTCCTTAATGTCCATGCCAAGATTATGGACAGGGCTGAGCCTGTATCAAGCTCCAGGCGGCACGGGGCTGCCTCTATCTGTGCCTCGATGTAAATTTTGTCCGCATTAGAATGAGGCAGCTGATATACCTGACAGTCTGTGATCTCCGTTGAGTTGCCTTGGTGTGTAAGACCACAGGGCCTGGGACTCTTGGGTGGGCCATCTGGTTCGAGGCGTCGGGCAGGGCAGGCACGGCACACCCGGGCGATGTGTCCCACTTTTCTGCATTGTCGGCATTCTGCGTTGGGAAATGGCAAATCCTCTGCTCGTGGCTCTCCCCGCAACTTGCACAGTTCCCGTCTTCCGGACGAAGCTGTCGTGGTGGGCATGCAGCTTATGTGCGCTGCTGCACTCAGTGCATGTCCTCCCTGTCGGATTCTGAGTCGTCGGTGAGGTCCTCATGGTGGATCCTAGGTTGGGACGACATGTTTGACTGGAATCCTTGCGCTGACCTCTCGGCAGCTTCAGTTGCTAAAGCCTCCTCTAGGGCAGCCTGGAGCGTCAGGTCCTTCTTGGCGTAGAGGCACCACTGCAGCTTCTCGTCCCTCAGGCCGCCCACGAAGCAGTAGCCAAGCATGTTCTCCAGCTCTGTGACGTTGCAGAGCCGAGCAGCCTGGCAGAGGGAGGTCACATTCCTGGTTATGGTTTCTCCGGAGACCTGCCGCTTTGCCTAGAAGGCATTTCGACACGCTACCCCTGAGGGTTGTTGCGAGAAGTGCCCCTTCAGCCGTTCTATTATCGTGTCACAATATTTGTGGGAGCAAGGAGGGCTCAGGCGATCTTGAACGTTTCTTCTCCACAGATGCTGAAGAAGGTTGCCCTCTACTTGGCTGTGTCTCATGACGTCCTTTGCCTCCAGGAGGAACTGGAAGCGGGTGGCGTATTCTTCCCAGTCTCCTGAGGCTGGGCTGAACGGCATGAAGCGGTTGTCTGTCGCCATTCTGGGTCCTTGGGTCCTGGAGCTGTAGCCTGGATGCGCGATGTGATGCTGTGTTGCCTTGGCAGCTGTGTGCTTTGCGCGGCAGACAGCTCAGCAGGATCCCACCTTCATTGCCAGTGAAATATATTCAGAGTCCTGTAGTGATTTCATGCTCTTTATTAAAGTTTGTAAAACAGTGATTTAATTGCCCCCCAAACCTCAGGCTTTTATATACATTATTTACACAATGAGTCCCATCTGATTGGCTGTTTCTGTTGGGATGCTGCCAGGGAGACAGAGGCATCAGGCCTCCATGTCGTCTCCAGACGATCTCCGGTCTCCCGTTGGAACAGCATCAGTCAATTAGCGACACGACCCTCAGACGCATTCCAAGACTCATGCACGCCCTTCTCGCAGAGTTTCCACAACGGAAGATTCACCCAGGAGAGCATATTTACAGCTTTATTCAATGTTGGTCAGAACAAAGGAAAAACATGACTGCTTGCATTCATGTCAAGGAAAACAGCCAGAACAAAAGCTATATACAAAACAGAAACTCCCAGTGAGCAGGAAGTAAACAGGCATGTGACGCAAAACAGCCTGTTCCCTTTCTTAAGGAGGAACGGAAATATCCTAACAGATTCTGCTTCCCCACTGGAGCCTGATTGGTCTTTTCCTGCAGGCCAATCAGTTGTTGCATTCTAGGATCCTACTTGCCCGCATGCCTTGAGGCCCCAAGATGGGTGGAGGAAGGCCTGGGGGGCAGCTGCTGGCTGGGACTTTGATTTGGGCAGGGTGGGAGCACAGGGAGAGGGAGACAGGAAGACCGGCCAGGGGTGGCACTGGGGGGATTTATTCACATTGGTTTTCTACCCAAAAGCCACCCCACCGGCTGTGAGGAGGGTGGCGCCTCTTCCATGAATTCCTCTTCCACTCCCAGCCTCTCCGCTCAAACCTTTGCTAAAATCCTGCTCTCCTCCCTCCTCTCCGTCTCAGAGGCTGGGCTTTCTGTCTCATCTCAAGAACCGCCAAAGCGCCCGCAATTGCCTCTTATCTTCCACCCAAACCGTCCACATCAATCCTAAGCGTCTCCTGTTCTGATTTCCATTTTTTGTCTTCCAGCTTTTCAGACTTCTCCCTTCCTTCCTTTCATGGAGATATCTAGTGCTTCTGTTTTCTTTGTCAGTGTCTCTACTTTAGTGGTCAAATTTGTCTCCATTTCATTATTTTTATCAATTCGGGCTAATAGCTTCTCCAAATTTAACACAGGCCTGGTGTAAACTGTTTTTGAACTGCCATATTCAAAATCTCCCTCTCCCTTGTTTTCAAAGCAGCCTATTTTCCAGCGGCACCTTATCAGTTTGTCAAGGTCACAGAATAACTCTTTCCCAAGAGATCCTGTTTCCTGCATTTTTCCAGCCCTCCCTCTTCCATCCAGCCTGATACCCAACACACATAAGATGTTTAACATAAAATCCAATTTCTTAAATTAAGATTCGAATTAAACAAATAAACCAAATAATTACTTTAAGAGAGGAACCATAAAACAGAAAAAAGAAAGAGGACATAGCAATTTAGATGTCCAGATAAGAGTGGTTGTCTTGCAGGAATTCAATTCTCTTTAAGTGGCTCAGAGTAGAAGAAATATTTTCCTTCAAATAGGAACGAACTTCTCCAAACCTGTCTTGATTTTAGCTTTTTCAGCCAGTCCTTTTAAGAGCTCCAATTCTATTTTTTAAAAGAACTTTAAAAATGAGACCAGACTTTCATAAATCCCTCCGATCACACTCTTGGCACTGAAATAGTTTCTACCCTGTGTGAATTCTCTGATGGGAAATGAGATTGTTGCTTTGACTGAAGCTCTTTCCACATTCCACACACTGATAGGGTTTCTCCCCTGTATGAATCCTCTGATGGGAAGTGAGATGGGAACTATGACTGAAGCTCTTTCCACATTCCATGCACTGATAGGGTTTCTCCCCTGTATGAATTCTACAATGGGAAGTGAAAACCTGGTTTTGACTGAAGCTCTTTCCACACTCCAAGCAGTGATATGGTTTCTCCCCTGTATGTATTCTACGATGGGAAGTGAGACTTTCTTTCCAGGTGAAGCTCTTTCCACATTCCATGCACTGAAAGGGTTTCTCCCCTGTATGAATTCTTTGATGGGAAGTGAGCTTGGCCCTCTGACTGAAGCTCTTTCCGCATTCCACGCACTGATAGGGTTTCTCCCCTGTATGAATCATTTGATGGGAAGTGAGATCTGAGCAATTTCTGAATCTCTTCCCACATTCCACGCACTGGTAGGGTTTCTCCCCTGTATGAATTCTCTGGTGGGCAATGAGATAGCGTCTGTCAATGAAGCTCTTTCCACACTCCATGCACTGATAGGGTTTCTCCCCTGTATGAATCCTTTGATGGGAAGTGAGCATGGCCCTTTGATTGAAGCTCTTTCCGCATTCCACGCACTGATAGGGTTTCTCCCCTGTATGAATGCTTTGATGGGAAGTGAGATTGGCACTCCGAGTGAAGCTCTTTCCACATTCTACGCACTGGAAGGGTTTCTCCCCTGTATGAATCCTTTGATGGGAAGTGATTTGGGAGCACTGACGGAAGCTCTTTCCACACTCCAAGCAATGATAGGGTTTCTCCCCTGTATGAATCCTTTGATGGGAAGTGAGTTGGGAGCTCTGACTGAAGCTCTTTCCACATTCCATGCACTGATAGGGTTTCTCCCCTGTATGAATCCTTTGATGGGAAGTGAGATGGTCCCTCCGAGTGAAGCTCTTTCCACATTCAACGCACTGATAGGGTTTTCCCCCTGTATGAATTCTATGATGGGAAGTGAGATCGTGGCTGTGACTGAAGTTCTTTCCACACTCCGAGCAGTGATAGGGTTTCTCCCCTGTATGAATCATTTGATGGGAAGTGAGTTGGGAGCTCTGACTGAAGCTCTTTCCACATTCTATGCACTGATAGGGTTTCTCCCCTGTATGAATCCTTTGATGTGAAGTGAGATGGGAACTCTGATTGAAGCTCTTTCCACATTCCACGCACTGATAGGGTTTCTCCCCTGTATGAATTCTTTGATGGGAAGTGAGACTTTCTTTCCTGGTGAAACTCTTTCCACATTCCAAGCACTGATAGGGTTTCTCCCCTGTATGAATTCTTTGATGGGAAGTGAGACTTTCTTTCCTGGTGAAGCTCTTTCCACATTCCAAGCACTGATAGGGTTTTTCCCCTGTATGAATCTTTTGATGGGAAGTGAGATGGGAGCTCTTACTGAAGCTCTTTCCACATTCCACGCACTGATAGGGTTTCTCCCCTGTATGAATTCTACGATGGGAAGTGAGATCGTTGCTGTTACTGAAGCTCTTTCCACACTCCAAGCAGTGGTAGTGTTTCTTCTCAAGGGGATTTCTTTGATGGGAAGTGGAATGGGAGCTCTGACTGAAGCTCTCTCCACAGTCTGAATCCTGATATGGATCCTCCACTGTGTGGATTTCATTGTAGTCTCCCTTGTTCTTCATTTCCAATTCATCACCACCTGAAACTAAGAGGCAAAAGGATTAGAGTCTCGGGAAGAAGTGCAGCCCCAAATTATGGAACAATGCTAATTAATGCTTGGGACAGGGGAAGAACCGAAGGGAGTTAGATGTTATAATGTTCCTTTTGTTCTGCAAAAATGTCTAGTTTTGTATACAAATCAAGTTGAATATTATATGTTTTCTCTCTCTAGTTTTTAAAAGTACAGTAACATCATTTTGTTCAAATTTAAATATGGATCCGTACTATCTTCATAAATAAAATGTGCTTTCATTATTATTTTAAAGGTGGCCAAAGCGGGAAAGTTCCCTGTTCAAAATTAAGATATACAGTGGTACCTTGGGTTACATATGCTTCAGGTTACATATGCTTCAGGTTACAGACTCTGCTAACCCAGAAATAATGCTTCAGTTTAAGAACTTTGCTTCAGGATAAGAACAGAAATCATGCCCCGGCGGCGCAGTGGCAACAGCAGGAGACCCCATTAGCTAAAGTGGTGCTTCAGGTTAAAAACAGTTTCAGGTTAAGAAAGGACCTCCGGAACGAATTAAGTTCTTAACCCGAGGTAAAACTGTATTTAATATGCTACGTTGTTCAATATGCAGTAATAAATCTAAACATATTGTAAGAGCTTGAGCAATATTTGGGAACATTGACTCTGGACTGACTTGGTCATAGTCAGCTACCTTGTGGTAGGGGAATGAAGTTCTGTGTGCTGAAAAACACATTTTGTATATTGAACAAATGTGTGTAGCAGCTGCCAAATTTAAATTTCTTTAGTGGCTAAAAATTTAATGATGATGTGCATCACCTTAAACCAATTTGGATGTTTTCTTAAATTCTCGACATCACAGAATGCAGCAGAAACTTGTCATATCAGTATTATTATTATTATTATTATTATTATTCAAGTTTCCTTACACTGGTATCTCAGGTTACATACGCTTCAGGTTACAGACACCGCTAACCTAGAAATAGCACCTCAGGTTAAGAACTTTGCTTCAGGATGAGAACAGAAATCGTGCTCTGGCAGCGCAGTGGCAGCAGGAGGCCCCATTAGCTAAAGTGGTGCTTCAGGTTAAGAACAGTTTCAGGTTAAGAACAGACCTCCAGAATGAATTAAGTTCTTAACCCGAAGTACCACTGTACTTAAATGTTACATTATTGTGAGAAGTTACAGGGGACGAGGCAGGGGGCCTTCTCGATAGGGGAACCCACCCTGTGGAACGCCCTCCCCTCAGATGTCAAGGAAATAACTATGCAACTTTTAAAGGACTTCTGAAGGCACCTCTGTATTGGGAAGTTTTTAATGTTTGATGTTTGATTATGTTTTTCTATTTGTTGGCTGGGGCCACCCAGTCAGATGGGCAGGGTAAAAATAATAAAATTATCATTATTGTTACTACAGGGTTCACTGCCTGAGATTCAAAAAGCCTGGCTCTTTTCTGGGATGGAGTTTGTTTGGTTCAGTCGTGGAATCTGTCAAGCAACTCTTTGGTAAAAAATTACTCTGAATCCTACATTTAAGAAGGCCTGGGCAGTTCAGACAGCCTGATCATGGTTTTAAACGACAGAACTGGAGGAAGAATATTCACAGGGAAAACAATCAATAGCCATCCCTCCAAGGTTTGCTGTGGGAGTGTTAACATCCCAGGTGCTGTGGGTGGCGCTGTTGAGCCCCATTGAAATATCAGAGGTTCATCATCTAGAGAGATGTCTTGAATTACAAAACAGATAGGATGATCCAATAGGGAGCCTTACCGAGAGAGTCCAAGATCCCACGATTCTCCTCCATGACTTCCTTATGGAGAGCTCTCTGGTCAGGATCCAGCAACGCCCACTCCTCGTCTGTGAAATGGACAGCCACATCTTCAAAGCACACTGGACCCTAACAGAACAGGAAAAAGGCTGTCCTCTTAGAGAACATTCACTTGGCTCTGTTGTTTTCTACAGCGGCCAGACCCCTCTCTGCCTTCCTCATCCCTCTCTCCTGCTGCAGCTTCTGCCTCGGAGTCTGGGCTGCTCTCTGCCACAGACTCCCTCTGCTCCCTGAGCCCTCTTCCCTCTCCAGCTTCCTCCTCCTCCTCCTCCTCCTCCCAGTCGGCTCCCTCTTCTCTGGCTCCTCCCACCATTCCTCTGCATCCAACTGTGCCCAGCCAGTCTGCATCCAAGCAGTCCTTCCCCACAAGGCTCCTTCCCCCTACCTGATCTGGGTCCACAGCTGCTGCCTCCCCTCCACCACCATGAAAAGATGAAGGAGCAGGTCTTGGTGGCATCATTCCGTCACCTGGGAGAGACCAAGGAAAGTGGAAACTGTGAGCGCCTGCTTCTCTCAGAGGTGAAACAGTGCATCTCTACGTACAGATGGGGCTTGTCCAAGTCTCCCCTGCTAGCTTCCGGTTCCGCTCTGCCTTAATGGAGGCAGCGGGAGATCGTTGGCAAAGGAAAAAAAGGATGACTGAGGGTAATTCTCCTTGCAAGTTGCCCCCAGGGACAGGGGGGAACGGGCTTCACTCCCAGTTTGTCTCGGTACCAGGCTCCGGCTCCGGCATGGATTGCGAGAGGCAGGGAGGCGCTGAGTGCAAAAGCCCTTCGCTGCCATTAAGAAGCAGAGGTTCTCCTGTCAATTACAGCTCAATTTGGACTAATGTACAGGCATTGCTGGAAGAGATGAGATCATAAACTGCGGAATTAAACCAGCTGCAAGGTCTTTAAGGTTTGAATTTGAGAATAAACTTCATTTGCTGCAAAAGACAGTGAGTGGGGGGAGGGGAGCCTATGGCTTTTTTATATAAAGTTTTCTTCTCTACATTAATGAATTGGTAGCCTGCGATTGAATACTAGTTGAAAATATCTATGTACAGGTGAGCAGGGATGAAACTGGATTGCAGATATGAAATATAACATCAAATGGAACTGTGTGTGTAAAAACCAAAAGGAAAAAGGGAGGGAAGCTCTATTTTGCAAAATGTTTACGATGGAAAATTAGAGGTGACTCTTCCCCATCCTGTATTATATACAGACTGAACTGATTAATGCTAAAAGGACTTGGAATTTAATCTAATTGGATAAATGCGCATTTATCTTAGGCCAGACAGAGGGATGTAAGGAATCTGAAAGTTGTGTAGGAGCTGATAAGGTTCATTACTGAGTCATTTGCAATTCTGACAGATCCCTCTCTTTCCCAGGCAGAGAAGAAAAATGGCAAAAACTGATTATTTATTGGGATGGTGTGATTTTTGCAGCCGCTGTTAAAGTTGCCAAACAACGAAGTACAGGACAGAGCGATGGAGAATTTCTGAAACCACAATGGGATATTAGTTCCGCCCAAGGAATGATGGAGAACAGCAACAACCAGGAAAAGATAGACAGAACATTTTACAAGGACAGGAAGAAACATCATGAACAGAAAGATTGCCACACAAGGGAAGAGTAAGGATATCACTGGAGTGCCTCACTTGTAGTTTTATATATTATTTGATGTTTCCATACAAATGGAAGTCATTAATACTGCAGTTGTTGTATAAAGGATGGTTATCTTGTCAGGAGTGTAATTGAAATTAATAAGATTTTGGAATGGAGAAATCAAGAAAATCATCAAACCATCGTAATTTCGTAATTTCACATTGTTATAAGGAGGCTATTATTGGACTGTAATTGTAAATTAATCAAATTACTATCATAAACGTCTCCCCTGCTGAGTACATTTGTGCTCATATAATATATGTATATATATAATATATATATATATAATCTAATCTAATCTAATCTAATCTAATATAATATAATATATACATATAATAATTCTGCAAAAATACATCTCCCCCCCCCCCCCCCCGAGCTCTGGGCTCCAGGTGTCTTCCCCCAAAAGATGCAAAGAAATCACAGATTAGTTTCCAAACCAAGAGAATGTGACAAAAGAGGAGAGAAAACACTCCTTCCTCCTTACCCAGAGGCCTCACTCTGGCGTCCAGCGGAGTCTTCTCTGCCTCAGAAGAATCAAGACCCATTTCTGCCAAAGGATCCTTCCTCTGAAAGAGCAACAAGGATTCAAAACAGAGAATGGGGAGAAGGGTTAGAGAAGGAATGGCAGAGGCAAGCGCTTTCGGGGGACAGAGGTGAAAGCTGCTTCCTGCTTCTGCTAGACTGGTGTCTGGGGTTGGCTGCCAGGACCATGAAACATTGGCCCTCAAGGATCTTCACTGGCTCCCAGAACGTTTCCAAGCACAATTCAAAGTGTTGGCCCCCGAGACAATTGGAAATTGCAGAGTTTGGAGAAAATGAAAGACAAAGTGCGAGATTGGTTACATTATGCTCAGATTAAAGAAGTTTTTAAAAATGATAAGAAACTAGGGTTCCAGGTGGAGAAATCGAAATTAGAAACAGAATTGTTAGAACCAAAGACTAAGATACTTTCAAGGATGTATAACTTGCTGTTGGAATGGAATACACAAGATGAAATGGTTAAATCGGCTATGATAAGGTGGGCACAGGATATTGGGCATAATATTATGTTTGAGGACTGGGAAAGGTTGTGGAGTAATGGATTGAAATTTACTGCATGTAATGCTTTGAAAGAAAATGTAATGAAAATGATTTATAGATGGTATATGACCCCAGTCAAACTCGCAAAATTTACCACCTGTCTGATAACAAGTGCTGGAAATGTAAAGAGTGTGAAGGAACGTTCTTTCACCTCTGGTGGACCTGCCCTAAAGTGAAGGCGTTCTGGGAAATGATTTATAATGAACTGAAAAAGGTATTTAAATATACTTTCACTAAGAAACCAGAGGCTTTCCTTTTGGGTATTGTCAGCCAAGGGGTGGCAAAGAAGGACCAGACATTTTTATGTATGCAACAACAGCAGCAAGGATACTACTCGCAAAACATTGGAAAACTCAAGATCTACCCACACTGGAAGAATGGCAGATGCAACTGATAGACTATATGCAACTGGCTGAAATGACTGGCAGAATCCGTGACCTGGGAGAAGAGAGAATCGAGGAGGATTGGAAGAAATTTAAGAACTATCTACAAAAGCATTGTGATTTGACTGAATGCTGAATAAGATGCTAGACTAAATAACTGAGCACCACTTAACTTAGAAGTTTTTAAGAAAGTAAGAAAAACTGTGAAAGTTTAACTCTTTATGAGAACTTTAAGATTATGAAATATCGAAGAGACATAAGAATTTAAATAAGATGATAAATTGCTGACAAAATGTTATAATGATGAAGGTGGGAGCGGGAGATGCGAGGAAGTCCAAAGAAAATGTGAAATTATGTTAAGACGAATGTTATATTGTTTATTACATTTATTCCTATTGTAAAATCCAATAAATTGCTTTAAAAAAAAAAAAAAATCAAAGTGTTGGCCTCAAAGGCCCAGTATACCCAAAGGAGCGTCTCCATGAACTGAGGTCCAGTTCGGAGGGTCTTCTGCTGATTCCCTCACTGTGATAAGTGAAGTTACAGGGAACCAGGCAGAAGACCTTCTCCACAGTGGGACCCACCCTGGGGAATGCCCTCCCATCAGGTGATAAGGAGATAAGAAAATGCATAGCTTTTAGAAGACATCTGATGTCTTCTTATGCTTTTATATGTGCTGGAAGGCACCCAGCCACATGGATGTCATAAATAATAATATGAAGAAGAAGAAGAAGAAGAAGAAGAAGAAGAGGAAGAAGAAGAAGAAGATCTGTTCCTAGATGCTTTCCAATAAAGGATGGGCCATTAGTAAAAAAGGATGGGCCATTAGGAAATGATTTGGGAATACTCTCCCTCCTCTTAGGAGCCCCTTGGGAGTATCCAGAGGAAAGTCTCTCTCACCTGCTGCTCTGCCTGCTTCCTCTCCTCTGCCTGACTCAGGAGGAAACCTTCGGCCAGGGCCACCGCCTGGGAACTGGTCTCCGCTCCGCATTCCCTCACCCAGTTCTCCATCTCCAGAGGAAGGACAGCCAGGAACTGCTCCAAGATCACCAGGTCCAACATCTGAGCTTTCGTGTGCCTTTCCGGCTTCAGCCACTGATGGTCAAGGTGGTAGAATTGGCTGCAAACCTCTCGGGGTCCTTTGGCCTCCTGGAAGCAGAACTGCCTGAGCTGCTGGCTCTGCACCTCTGAGCAAGGGGTGTCCTCCTCACCCAGGATCTTCTTCACAGAGTTTTCCCGGAATTCCCCACTGCTCCCCGTTTCCATGGCATGGCCTCTTCCTGCTTCAGGGCCAGCTGAGTCTTGCTCATCCATCTGGGCTCTCCGGAAGTCTCCAAGAGATTGGAAGGAGCCCCTTGGTCCTCTGCCAAGTTCTGTGGGTACTAATGCGAGGTGCAGAAAATCGTATGAATCAAACACACTATTCTATTAATATCCTTCTCCCTCATAATAATGTCCCTCCTGATATCCTTCTCCCTCATAATAATCTCCCTCTTAATATACTTCTCCCTCATAATAATCTCCCTCCTAATATACTTCTCCCTCACAATTATGTCCCTCTTAATATCCTTCTCCCTCATAATAATGTCCCTCTTAATATACTTCTCCCTCATAATAATGTCCCTCTTAATATACTTCTCCCTCATAATAATGTCCCTCTTAATATCCTTCTCCCTCATGTCCCTCTTAATATACTTCTCCCTCATAATAATGTCCCTCTTAATCTACTTCTCCCTCATGTCCCTCTTAATATCCTTCTCCCTCAGAATAATGTCCCTCTTAATATACTTCTCCCTCAGAATAATGTCCCTCTTAATATCCTTCTCCCTCATAATAATGTCCCTCTTAATATCCTTCTCCCTCAGAATAATGTCCCTCATAATATCCCCTTCTCCCTCATAATAATGTCCCTCTTAATATCCTTCTCCCTCATAATAATGTCCCTCCTAATATACTTCTCCCTCATAATAATGTCCCTCTTAATATCCTTCTCCCTCATAATAATCTCCCTCTTAATATCCTTCTCCCTCACAATAATGTCCCTCCCAATGTCCTTCTCCCTCACAATAATGTCCCTCTTAATATCCTTCTCCCTCACAATAATGTCCCTCCCAATGTCCTTCTCCCTCCTCACTGTCTTCCAGTCCCACCTCCCTGGCCAGGGCCTGAGGTCCCTCTGGCTCCCTCCCGGACCCCCCAGCCTCTCTTCCCTCCCCTTCCCGCCTCCCGGGGCAGGGAGTTCCCCAGGCTTCCCCCGAGAGGAGACCCACCAGAGCCCGGCAGGCGAAGGCGAGGCCGGAAGGGACCTCAGAGGGGAGGAGAGGAGGAGGAGCGGCCCGCCTTCCTTTCCTGTCCTCTCTAGGAAGCCAGCTCGGCGCCTCTTAACCCTTCTCTCTCCCGGCGGAGGAGCCCGGGGCGTCAAGCGGGCGGAGAGGAGGAGGCAGGGAAGAAGCAGGACCCAGAACCCGGGACTGGGCGCGTGTGCGTGTGAAGGGGGAACCCGTGTCCGGGAGGTGGAGCCCGTCTCTCTGCCTGGGGCTGCGAAGGGGCGTCTGGGCGGTGGAGAGAGGGGTCTTTGGGGGGGCAGATGGGGGACACGGGGTGTCTCTTCTCCGGGGGGCGAGTCTCTCTTGGGGGCCCCTGGGCGGGTCTGGGGGGGGCTGCGGGGCAGAGAGCCCTGTCCCAGCAAGAGGGGGTCCCGGGGGGGGGCTGAAGGGGCAGCTGGAGGGGGGAGACATTGCCAGACATGGCTGGGGGGCCATTCTGTGTTCTCCCATCTGCTGCTTCGTGTCTGTATTTCAGCCATAAATATCCCATGTTCTTCTCTGTTAGTGAAGTCGCCTTTGAAGCAACACAGGAGCAGCCAAGGGGGTTTTCCTAGGAAGCCTTTTATTCCCCTCTGGTGACATTCTTAGAAGTTTGTGGGTGCCCAACCCCCGCAAAATACCTCCTAAATGTTGGAATTGGATTTAGACTTGGGTTGCCAACACCGGGTGCCAGACCCGTGTGGATGAAACGGTGTGTTTGACGCTCCTCATCCTCTGGAATCAGCGTGTCTTCACAGCTCCTTCAACCAGGCGAGGAAGGACGCCTGGATCCAGAATTGGCCCCCACGGTCACTGAGGGCCTCATGGTTGAAACCGTGTTTAGGGAAGACAATCTTACTCGGCTACGAGGGACGCCAGAGAAGAAGGGTTGCCATGTGTCCTCTTTTCCCAGGACATGTCCTCTTTCTCAGGGGTAAAAGTTCTGTCCAGGTGGATTTTTTGGTCAAAATGTCTCTGGCCAGACGTTCTGGAGGAGACATAACTGGGGGTGGAAGACTTGCGTTCCTCTTCTCTTCTCCTGCCCCCCCCCTCAGCAAAACATCTCACAGCTTCTCTAGCCTACATATAGTAGGAGTACTTAAAAGGAGAGTCATCATCGCATCCTCGTTTTTGCTCCTCAAAATCTGCCCAGCCTCCCAGAGAAGGGCAACCAAGGAGATGAAGACTCCGTCCTCTTCCTTCTGTGACGGCAGGTTGCTCTTGCTCCTTGTCCGCCTTCCAAATGAAGAACAGAATCCTAAAGTTGGAAGGGACCCCAAGGTCCATCTAGGCCAGGGGAGGCAACCTCAGGCCCGGGGGCCGGATGCGGCCCAATCGCCTTCTCAATCCGGCCCCCGGATGGTCCGGGAATCAGCGTGTTTTTACATGAGTAGAATGTGTCCTTTTACTTAAATTGCATCTCTGGGTTATTTGTGGGGCATAGGAATTTGTTCATTCCCCCCCAAAAAATATAGTCCGGCCCCCCACAAGGTCTGAGGGACGGTGGACCGGCCCCCGGCTGGAAATGCTTGCTGACCCCGGATCTAGGGCTGTTTTTAAATGTCCCAACGCTGCCTGGCACTGGCCCCTCCAAATGCTCTTGTCTGGCTGGTCTTTCTTCACCCAGTCATGTCAAGGAGCAGCATGGGGGCTAAAAGGAGGAATAAATCGAGGACAATATCCCACTCCCCCCAGAAAAGCTCTTCTTTCTCTTTCTGTGGAGGCTCTAGGCCCCTCTTGAAGGAACTTTGCCTTTCTCCAATCAGGTTGTATATTTCCACCCCTTGGGACGGGACCCAAATATTTGACTTGCCTCATTTTGAAGCTTTGACCATTAGGCCAGCACACCATCAACTTTTACAATGGTACCTCGGGTTAAGTACTTAATTCGCTCTGGAGGTCCATTTGTAACCTGAAACTGTTCTGGGGCCTCCTGCTGCCGCCGGAACATGATTTCTGTTCTCATCCTGAAGCAAAGTTCTTAACCCGAGGTACTATTTCTGGGTTAGCGGAGTCTGTAACCTGAAGCGTCTGTAATCTGAGGTACCACTGTACATACTTTACATTTGCTGAGGCAAAATCTCCACCCCCAACATTGCTTGCGGCAGTTCTGCCCTTGCCTTAATCTCCTCCATTTTGAAAGGAAGCATCTCTTTTTCATGGGCCATCTTGGCCTTCCTGTCTCTTTCTTCTTGGGCTCATCTCTCTCTCTCTCTCTCTCTCTCTCTCTCTCTCTCTCTCTCAGCCTGTATCTCTGCTAGATGAAGGGCAGCTGCCATTCTGGCCTCTTCTCTTTCTTTCTCTGCTTCAACCTTAGACAATTCCAATCTTAGCCTCATCATCTCTAATTCAATATATTAGGATTCTCCTCAGACGCAGCAGCTGGGTCATCCTGAGTCTCTTTGGCTTGGCGCTTGCTGGTCATTTTCTGACAGGAATTTTTTCTCTTTTTAATCAAAGAACTTCACTCCTTTATTAAACTGGTTGTTCTGCGTCTCTGGGTACGTTTCTGTGTGGGTTTTAACCTCAGTATCACGGCTCTTTTCCCCGGCACCCTTGGGCCTGCCCTTCAGGGTTGTCGTTTTGAGACCCCACTTCCTCCCTGGGTTTCCAATTATTACTTTTTTCTGGAAGGGACTGAGTATTACTGCTCCCCCCTAAGTCTCCTTTGATTTCATCTCCCAAGGTAGAGACTTCAGTTACTGTTTTCAGCCTAAATGAGCAGGAACCTCTTGAAAACGTTGCTCTAAACTGATCAGCTGTTTGAGCTCATCTGACTTTTCTCCCATCTGTCCAGAGCTTTGTCAATTCGGCTACCCAGTTGGGCCTAAGTCTCTCCTGGTTTCCTTTTAATTTCACGAAAGGCTTTTTGGCTTTGTTCTGCAGTCAGTCCAAAGCTCACTTTCACTCTCTCTTTAAATGTGAGGGAATCAGAGGTTTCATCCTCTCTGAGATCTGAGTATATTTCACTCAAAATTCCACATATCTGTGGGCGTAAGTGCAGCACCCAGTTTTCCTCATGAATGTTTAAGTCTGCCAGTCCGCTCAAAACTAAATAGGATCTGTGTGGGTTTTAACTTCATATCCCACCTCTGCCCTCAATTAATATGCGAAGACGCAAGGGCTCTTTTCCCCCCGGCAGCCTTGGGCCCGTTCTCTCTCTTAAATATAGTGCACCCACCTCACAGAACACAATTTCCACAAATGCCCTCCAACTACATCGGATTATCTTGTGGGGACTTGCGTGAGGTAAAACTTACTAATTGGGAGTCTCAGGCAGGATTTCTTCAAATAAACATTAACGATTTTATTTAACAAGGAAGTTTATGACACGAGTGGATAAAACGTAGGATATTTCAGTTTACAATGTTAGTACCTTCAATGTTTTCTCAGTTGTTTCTCACGTAATACTTTGGTTCTTAACAAGGTGGCACTTTCTGCCAGTTACACACCCCTTGGACAACCCTACTCCCAAGGTACTCCAAGCCAAAGACCCAAGGGATCTCTGGTTTGGGAGTCTTCTCTTTCTAGAAGGATCTCTCCCCTCCTGACTGGGATGAGAGCTCAGCAGCCGGTCTCTTTCCAGCTCCTCCTTCTCCTGGCTCAGCCTCCCAGTTCATTCCTGGCCTGATTTACTCTCCCAGGACACCACACACTGTCCTTCCCACTAAGCTCAGAGACTCCTTTCTCTAGCTGGTGATCTTTTCCTCAGAGTGGATGTTTCCACCCAGAACCAGCTCCTCTCACTCCCCATCTTCCCCACCTCCCTCCAAAGCTCCTAGCCATGGGGGGAACTGGGCCCAGGTCTCCCTCCTCCAGCTCCAGAGCTCTTAGTCTGTCTGCTAAACCACATGGGGTGTCTTTGGGTGTAATAATAATAATAATTTATTATTTATACCCCGTCCATCCGGCTGGGCCTCCCCAGCCACTCTGGGCGGCTTCCCAAAAAATATTAAAATACTGTAATACATCAAATATTTAAAGCTTCCCTAAACAGGGCTGCCTTCAGATGTCTTCTAAAAGTCTGGTAGTTGTTGTTCTCTTTGACATCTGCTGGGAGGGTGTTCTACCACTGAGAAGGCCCTCAGCCAGAAGGCCCTCGGCGCTGGACCTCAGTGTACGGGTAGAATGATGGGGGCGGAGACGCTCCTTCAGGAACACTGGGCTGAGGCCATTTAGGGCTTACAAGGTCAGCACCAACACTTTGAATTGTGCTTGGAAATGTCCTGAGAGCCAGTGTAGGTCTTTCAAGACGGGTGTTATATGGTCTCTGCGGCCGCTCCCAGTCACCAGTCTGGCTGCCACATTCTGGATTAGTTGTAGTTTCCGAGTCACCTTCAAAGGTAGTCCCACATAGAGCACATTGCAGTAGTCCAAGCAGGAGATAACCAGAGCATGCACCACTCTGGCAAGGCATTCTGCAGGCCGATAGGGTCTCATCCTGCGTACCAGATGGGACAGAACCCTGAGGCACCCCACAAGTGAGAGCCCAGGGGTCTGAACACTCACCCCCCACCACCACTTTCTGAACACGGCCCAGGAGGAAGGAGCGGAACCACTGTATGACAGTGCCCCCAGCTCCCAGCCCCTCAAGACGGTCCAGAAGGATGTTATGGTCGATGGTGTCAAAAGCCGCTGAGAGATCCAGCAGAACTAGGACACAGCTCTCACCTTTGTCCCTAGCCCGCCGGAGATCATCAACCAGCGCGACCAAGGCAGTTTCAGTCCCATGATGAGGCCTGAATCCCGACTGGATCTGTATCTGGGAAGGGACTGCAGCAGAGCTGTGAAGTCACTGGGGGGGGAGAGGAGACAAGAAGAGCAAGCTTTCTCTTGGCTAAAAACCAAACACCCCAGAAGGAGCAGGAAAGGCCCAGAGGGGGAGAGGCTCTGCAAGGACATCTCCCTGGCGGGCCTTTTCCTCACCAGGCTCTCCGGGCACCAGATAGGCTTTCATTTTAATGCCAAGGACGCCCTGAAAGGACTTAGACCAGTCATGACGTGAAGGAGGCATTGAAGGAATAAATCATAATTTGGGTCAGCGCTGCTCCTCCTGTGCATCTGGCCAGAGCCATGGCTGCTTTCCTGAGGCCTTTCCTCTGCTTCTGCCCCCATGAAGGTTCCCTGATGGGAGGCTGTGGGGGCTGCAGACAGGCCAGCCCTTCAAGAGCAAAAGGGGGCCATCTTGGAGGGGGGTAGGCATAATATTAAGCCTTACTGAGAGAGTCCGAAATCCCCCGATTCTCCTCCATGACTTCCTTATGGAGGGCTCTGTGGTCAGGATCCAGCAATGCCCATTCCACGTCTGTGAAATGGAAGGCTACATCTTCAAAGCACACTGGACCCTAAAAGAAAAAGGTGAACTGTTACACTTTGTTGTTTTCTGCCTCTTAATTGATGTTCTGTATTAACTGGATTTTTTTCCTGCACATTTTATGGATGCATATTTTGATGTGTTAATGGAATTACCGGTATTCATTGTGTATTTTAATGAAGGGCATTAAGAAACTGGTGTTCTTCAAATCATTCTTTTAATCCTGTGCACAAACATTCCCGTGCGCCTACAGGTGCGCCTTCAAACAAGGAGGAGTTGCCATGTAAATGTGGACGTTTGCACCCATTTGACATACTAGTTGTGCAAAAATACATCTCCCTTTCTCTGGACTCTTGGTCCCCTGTGACTTCTCCAATAAGATGAAAAGAAATCACAGATTAGTTTCAAAATCCACAAAATGTGACGAAACAGAGAAAGAACTCCTTCCTCCTTACCCAGAGGCCTCTCTCTGGAGTCCAAGGGAGTCTTCTCTGCCTCAGAGGAATCTGGACCCATTTCTGCTAACGGATCCTTCCCCTGAGAGAGCAACAAGGATTCAAGAGAGAGTGGGGAGAAGGATTAGAAAAGGAGCAGCAGATGCAAACACTTAAGGGCTGTCCAATATCATTCCTTGGATGCTTTCCAAAAAAGGATGGGCAAATTAGTAGAGAATTGGGGGATACTCTCCCTCCTCTTCTAGAGTTGGCTGCAAATCTCTCGGGGTCCTTTGGCCTCCTGGGAGCAGAACTGCCTCAAATGCTGGCTCTGCACCTCTGAGCAGAGGGTGTCCTCCTGACCCAGGTTCTTCCTCACAGTGTTTTCCCAGAATCCCCCGCTGCTCCCATGTTGGATGGCATGGCCTCTTCCTGCTTCAGGGCCAGCTGAGTCTTGCTCATCCATCTCTGTTCCCAGGAGATCGGAAGGAGTCCCTAGGTCTTCTGCCAAGTTCTGCCTGTCCTAATGAGAGGTGCCAGAGAATCCTGTAAAGCAAATGCATTCTTCTACTACCAGATTGATACACAGTCAGGAGAAGAGAAATGTTCCTGGGCCAGCATGGATGAGTCTGAATCACAGCCCAGACTCGGAGTTCAAGCACTATATTCCCATATTCTGAAGACAGACTTCTGTCTTTGTTCTGAGGGCAACTCTCCCCCCTTCAGAAGCATGGCTGCCTCCCACTGGGGGGCCTGGAGCCATCGCTAGCCCTCTGCTCCTCCCTGAATGGGCCTCATCCTCTTCTCAAGCCATCTCTTCCTCCTGTGGCAGGGAGTTCCATGGGTCTAACTGCGCACTGGGAGATGGAAGGACTTTGTTTAGCACAGAGGCCAAGTTTTTATTTCTGCCTCCAGATGTTTCCATCTGGCTGCCACCTGGGCTAAGGAACGTGGCTGATTCCTCAATCGCATCAGGGTTCCTTTGCAGGCCCTTTTCTTCATGACTCAGTGACCCCTCCCCAAAGGAGCAAGACAAGAGTTGCAGACCTCCTGTTACTTGCAGCCTCCCTGGCTATGCAGAGAGAAGGGGGGCAGAACCTCTTAGCCCTGGCTTGGGGATCCCCTTGCAGGAGCTGAGCAGAATCCCCACGGATCCCCATCATGACTCCCTGGCCCTCGTGGCTGTTCTTCTGAGCCCTTGCAAAGCGGAGCTCTCCCTGCTCCCTTCTCTCTCTCAGGAGCCAGGGCCCCAGAGGGGTCTTCTTTGGGGGACCCTCCCCTGCAGCCCTGGGACCCCCCATCTCCCCAAAGCGACTCACCGGATCCCAGAAGGCGCCCCCAGGCAGCACTTGTGGAGCAGAGAGACAAAAGCTCGGATGGGGGCGGAGCTTGTGCTCTGGGGAGCCTCCTCCCTTTATTCCTCTCTAGGAAGCCAGCTTGGTGCCAGGGGGCGTGGCGCAGGTGCAGAGCTGCTCCATCGGGGGACTTTGGGGGCCTGGCGAGCTTCTCCCTCCGCGGGGAACAGATTTCTGCACATCTCAAGAGCAACAAGAATGTATTCCTTCCCACCCTTTGCTTGAGAAGCCAGAGGAAAACTGTGTTTGGCTCCAGGGTCCCTTGAGAGAGAGTTGGTTCCGACTCTGAGCAAAGAGGAAGGAAAAGGGGGTCCTGCAAGGAGAGGATGAGGGGAAGACCCCCTTTTCTAGGGGTGGGGGAGAGGGATTGGGCTCCCAGGTCAAGAAAGCACCTTGTATCCTGGCACTGAAAAGACACCCTCCCGACACACACTTTGTGGCATCTCCTTTCGGCAAAGGGTCAAAACATAGTTCCAACTTGGGCCAAGGGGAGTCTGGAGATGAGGAGGTTCCTAGCTTTGGAGAGACCTTGAAATTTGATTTTAAATTCATTTTGGATTATATCGAGGACTGTGGGGAGTGGGACTGTGGGGAACAGGTGAGTTGGATGAAGGGTGATGAAGACAATTTTGGGTTGGAATCCCCCAGAGACCTACTCCTCAATGAGAAAGGAAATAAACTAAGACAGAGACCAACAAGAGACAAGGAAAAGGGCAAGTACAAACAAGATGAAGAAGAATTGCAGAAGGGACATGGAAGAGATTTAAGGGCCTCGGACATGAGGCTTCCAGGTTGATGGACTAGATGGAATGGACAATAAGGACTGACATGACCCGAGACCAGGAAGAAGAGACGCTGGATGATGATTGGAAGAGAATTTATAATGGAAATTTCTTATTTTAGAATCAGCTAATGAATATTAGGGAAAATGTGGGAATGAAACTATATGACTCTAGCAGAAATGATATCAGGAGCTATGTATATTTGAAATTTAAAATTTAAGTCTTAAGGCACTTAGGGGTAAGATAAGGTTAAATAAATTAAGGTAATCTGAATAACAGAATATGGGGAAAGATGGTAAGGATTTGTTGAGTTAATTATTAGGTTAAATTGTTAAAATAAATTTTATAACAAAAATTGAGAAAGATGGAAAGAATTTGCTGAAATAATTACTAAACTAGAACACAAAAATGGAGGTGTGAGGAGGTCAATGAAACAAGCAAATGGGAATTATGGATATGCAATTTGCGATTTGTGTTTCCCCCCCTTTTTTTCTTCTTTTTTACTTTTGCTGTATTGTCGTATTGGTTTTCATATTTTCTGCTTTTCTCTTTCTTTATTGTTTTCTTTTTTTTCATTGTAGTGTTGTTTTTGATTTTTTCTTTTTCTTGTAATTTCAAAATTCTCAATAAATATTATTTTAAAAAAACAAACAAAAACAAAACATAGTTCCAACTTAAAAACCACCTCCAGGACCAGGCACCCTCAATAAGCTTTGGACTACAACTCCCAACCGGGCCTGCCAGCAGAAGGCAGGGGGGATGGAAACAGCCTTCCAAAAGGTCCGGCCAGCTCCAGAGGCGACCCAAGGCTGCTCTCCAACGGGGCGCTGCTCCAGGCATCTGAGTTGCCCAGTTCAAGGGAGCTGGCGGGACTAAGAACCGGGGTTCCTGAATTGCAGGGGTTGGACTAGATGAGCTCGGAGTGTCCTCTTCCAGGATTCCTCTTCTGGCTGCCAATGCCATGGCTGGAAATGTTCCCTAAAGCTGCCCCCTCTTTCACAAAGAGCTCTCCCCTGTATTAAGCTACCCTTTGACTGGCAACCATCTCGAATCTCCTTGCTGGACAATCCCAATCAAAGATGCATTAGATTCTCTGAAATATACTCAGGAGTCCTGTAGTGACTTCATGCTCTTTATTGCAGCTTGTAAAACAGTGATTTAATTGCCCCCCAAACCTCAGGCTTTTATATACATTATTTACACAATCAGTCCCGTCTGATTGGCTGATTCTGCTTCCCTCCTGGAGCCTGATTGGTCTTTTCCTGCAGGCCAATCAGTTGTTGCATTCTAGGATTCTACTTGCCTATTGTTCAAGAATCCAAGCTTAGTACATAACCCCCCTCCCCTCTAAGTTCCCGTTGCGCCCAGAAGGTTAGCATTCGTAGTCGTTGAGGTATGCCGGTCACCTATGTATGCCTTGTGGTCTTGGGTGTCTCTCAGTAGGGGTTCCTGGTTCTGGCTCTTGTTCCAGGGCTGCCGGCTGTGATGGGATCGTTGGGTTGGACGCTGCTCAGCCTCGGTCACTTCTGGACTTCCTAATTCTGCCTCCCTTTCCTGCTCCTCCTGCTCTATGGGCCTCACCCTTCTGCTATCCCCTTGGGATTCCTCTGCCCACCCCTCCTTGCAGTTTCCCCCCAGGAATCATCCGGAAGTTCAATAGTGCCAAGAAGGCTTGGAGTTCTGCCTTACCATTAGGTGCAGGGGCATCGCATATAGCCCTCACCTTGTCCCTGATCAGGTGGACTTTAAGACTCCACCAGGGTGGTGAGGACATGGCTGACCATTGGCACCGGGTATGCATGAGCCGTAAGGGCCTTCTTTATGTTACGTTTGTAGTCTACACAGATGTGGATTGAGCCATTGGGCTTGACGGGTGTGATGATTGGGGTTTCTCGGGGGCATTAGGCACGGGCTAGAGCACTCCTTGCTCCACAAGCCAGTCTAATTCCTCGCCAATGCGGGGTTTTGAGGGCGAACGGGACCTGGCGGGCCTTGAACTTGATGGGTCGTATGGCGGGGTCTAGTTGTAGGCCAACGGAGGGGCAGGGCAGTATATCACCCCAATGCCCCATCAAAAAGCTCTGGAAACTCTTTGCACATGGCGTCCACGTCCACATGGGAGCTGGTGCGGTTCACCCCGGTGATGGCTAGCCCCAGTGGCCCAAACCACACCAACCCCAGTAAGCTAACGTAGCACCCCTTGACCACGATCAACTCCAACCGCCTCTTCCGCCCTCGATATTGTACATTGAAGGTTCCCACCCCCATCGTGGGGACCTTGCGTTTGTGGAAGTCTCTCGGAGGGTGAATGGGGCTGGCCAAACTTGGAGCCGCCACTGGGACACAATTCCTTAATGTCCATGCCAAGATTATGGACAGGGCTGAGCCTGTATCAAGCTCCAGGCGGCACGGGGCTGCCTCTATCTGTGCCTCGATGTAAATTTTGTCCGCATTAGAATGAGGCAGCTGATATACCTGACAGTCTGTGATCTCCGTTGAGTTGCCTTGGTGTGTCAGACCACAGGGCCTGGGACTCTTGGGTGGGCCATCTGGTTCGAGGCGTCGGGCAGGGCAGTCACGGCACACCCGGGCGATGTGTCCCACTTTTCTGCATTGTCGGCATTCTGCGTTGGGAAATGGCAAATCCTCTGCTCGTGGCTCTCCCCGCAACTTGCACAGTTCCCGTCTTCCGGACGAAGCTGTCGTGGTGGGCATGCAGCTTATGTGCGCTGCTGCACTCAGTGCATGTCCTCCCGGTCGGATTCTGAGTCGTCGGTGAGGTCCTCATGGTGGATCCTAGGTTGGGACGACATGTTTGACTGGAATCCTTGCGCTGACCTCTCGGCAGCTTCAGTTGCTAAAGCCTCCTCTAGGGCAGCCTGGAACGTCAGGTCCTTCTTGGCGTAGAGGCGCCACTGCAGCTTCTCGTCCCTCAGGCCGCCCACGAGGCAGTCGCCAAGCATGTTCTCCAGCTCTGTGACGTTGCAGAGCCGAGCAGCCTGGCAGAGGGAGGTCACATTCCTGGTTATGGTTTCTCCGGAGACCTGCCGCTTTGCCTAGAAGGCATTTTGACACGCTACCCCTGAGGGTTGTTGCGAGAAGTGCCCCTTCAGCCGTTCTATTATCGTGTCGCAATATTTGTGGGAGCAAGGAGGGCTCAGGCGATCTTGAACGTTTCTTCTCCACAGATGCTGAAGAAGGTTGCCCTCTTCTTGGCTGTGTCTCATGACGTCCTTTGCCTCCAGGAGGAACTGGAAGCGGGTGGCGTATCCTTCCCAGTCTCCTGAGGCTGGGCTGAACGGCATGAAGCGGTTGTCTGTCGCCATTCTGGGTCCTTGGGTCCTGGAGCTGTAGCCTGGATGCGCGATGTGATGCTGTGTTGCCTTGGCAGCTGTGTGCTTTGCGCGGCAGACAGCTCAGCAGGATCCCACCTTCATTGCCAGTGAAATATATTCAGAGTCCTGTAGTGATTTCATGCTCTTTATTGCAGTTTGTAAAACAGTGATTTAATTGCCCCCCCAAACCTCAGGCTTTTATATACATTATTTACACAATGAGTCCCATCTGATTGGCTGTTTCTGTTGGGATGCTGCCAGGGAGACAGAGGCATCAGGCCTCCATGTCGTCTCCAGACGATCTCCGGTCTCCCGTTGGAACAGCATCAGTCACTTAGCGACACGACCCTCAGACGCATTCCAAGACTCATGCACGCCCTTCTCGCAGAGTTTCCACAACGGAAGATTCACCCAGGAGAGCATATTTACAGCTTTATTCAATGTTGGTCAGAACAAAGGAAAAACATGACTGCATTCATGTCAAGGAAAACAGCCAGAACAAAAGCTATATACAAAACGGAAACTCCCAGTGAGCAGGAAGTAAACAGGCATGTGACGCAAAACAGCCTGTTCCCTTTCTTAAGGAGGAACGGAAATATCCTAACAGATTCTGCTTCCCCACTGGAGCCTGATTGGTCTTTTCCTGCAGGCCAATCAGTTGTTGCATTCTAGGATCCTACTTGCCCGCATGCCTTGAGGCCCCAAGATGGGTGGAGGAAGGCCTGGGGGGCAGCTGCTGGCTGGGACTTTGATTTGGGCAGGGTGGGAGCACAGGGAGAGGGAGACAGGAAGACCGGCCAGGGGGTGGCACTGGGGGGATTTATTCACATTGGTTTTCTACCCAAAAGCCACCCCACCGGCTGTGAGGAGGGTGGCGCCTCTTCCATGAATTCCTCTTCCACTCCCAGCCTCTCCGCTCAAACCTTTGCTAAAATCCTGCTCTCCTCCCTCCTCTCCGTCTCAGAGGCTGGGCTTTCTGTCTCATCTCAAGAACCGCCAAAGCGCCCGCAATTGCCTCTTATCTTCCACCCAAACCGTCCACATCAATCCTAAGCATCTCCTGTTCTGATTTCCATTTTTTGTCTTCCAGCTTTTCAGACTTCTCCTCCTTTCCTTTCATGGAGACATCTAGTGCTTCTGTTTTCTTTGTCAGTGTCTCTACTTTAGTGGTCAAATTTGTCTCCATTTCATTATTTTTATCAATTCGGGCTAATAGCTTCTCCAAATTTAACACAGGCCTGGTGTAAACTGTTTTTGAACTGCCATATTCAAAATCTCCCTCTCCCTTGTTTTCAAAGCAGCCTATTTTCCAGCGGCACCTTATCAGTTTGTCAAGGTCACAGAATAACTCTTTCCCAAGAGATCCTGTTTCCTGCATTTTTCCAGCCCTCCCTCTTCCATCCAGCCTGATACCCAACACACATAAGATGTTTAACATAAAATCCAATTTCTTAAATTAAGATTCGAATTAAACAAATAAACCAAATAATTACTTTAAGAGAGGAACCATAAAACAGAAAAAAGAAAGAGGACATAGCAATTTAGATGTCCAGATAAGAGTGGTTGTCTTGCAGGAATTCAATTCTCTTTAAGTGGCTCAGAGTAGAAGAAATATTTTCCTTCAAAGAGAAACGAACTTCTCCAAACCTGTCTTGATTTTAGCTTTTTCAGCCAGTCCTTTTAAGAGCTCGTGTGAGGAAAACCTGAGCTTACAGGGTTAAACAGCTCAGAGTGTACGCTCTGCCTACAAGTGGGAGGGGGGAAAAGCTACGTCAGTTCCGAGAGACTAAAGTCTTTGTTCTGTCTCTCTACTTTCGCTTTTGAGGAGAGAGGACGTGTTTTCGCGATGCTGTTCGCTGTGATAGATAATGGATAGCCTGCTGTAAATAAAGCTGCTTTTAGCTGCTAATATCCTGAGTGGACTTCATTTAAGCACACTGAAGAATGCACTGGAGTGTTTTGGCTTCCTCTAGCCGCTGACGAACTCTGCTATGCTCAGAAGTATCGGAATGTGCCCTTTGGAATGCAGAGGCCTACGCAATGGGGGAGCGTGCCGGACGCTTATCTGAGCAATAAATCAAGATATCCCAGAGGTTATGGAGGCAGTAATTGCAATTAGAGGAAGCCTGCCTTTGATGTGCTGTGTGCTTAAGAAGGCTGGAAACTGAGAAGCTGTTGTTTTGCTGCCGGAATGCAAAAGTCCTGCTTTGAGGCTTTGCCTGGGAGAAAAGCAGGCAAGCTGTGTGCTGCAAAGCTGGATGCAAGCTGTGTGCTGCAAGGAGCCACTGGAGGCCTCTCCTTTGAAGCTGGCTGGTACGCGTGAGTACTTCAAAGCCCCCAATGATGGGAGCACTGGGGGAGGAGATGGCTGAGCTCCAGGACTTTTATGATGTCCCGTTTGAAAAGCTCACAACCCAGTCCTGGGATATCTGGGTTAGAAGAGTCAGGGGGTGGTTTTTGGCCACTGGGTTCTGGAGTATAGCCCAGAAGGAGCCAGCCCCACCCATGCCAGTTGCTGCTGAAGATGGAGGAGCAGAACTGGAGGCTGCACTCCTGGAAGATAGAGAGCTGAGAATGCAAAGGGAGCTCTGCATGTTGAGAGCAAGCGTGGACGCTATCCTGTTGCCCCACCTGGAGGGCATTGAGTCGGCTCAGGCCGCCTGGCAGGTGCTGAGGAGTCTGTGTGAGAACTCAGCAGGAGCCCAGGGCCGGGAGGAAGCCGAGAGCAGGGAGGAAGCTGAGAGCCCAGAGGGGGCTGCTGGCCATGTTCCTAAAGTTACAGCTGGGAGTAGCTGCTTTGTCTCCGAGGGGCCGTGTGATGTTGAGGCCTACAACCAGAGTGCTGGGGAGCGTGCAGGCCCAGGCTGTGCACCCAAAGGTGGGGGTGCAGGGAACAAAGAAATGGCTGAAGAAGGAGCTGTGAGAGCTGTTGCTACGCGTCGCCGCTGTTATCGCTGTGGCTCCCCCTCCCATCTGGTGAGAGAATGTCCAGTGGAGGAACAGCCCAAGGCCGTCTCCCGTAGCAACCAGATAAAGAGCTCGTCTTCAAAGCGTGGGAAAGGCAAGCCGAAGGCAGCTGGCAGAGACACTGAACGTAAACATTTGGCTGCCTCTATGGCTGTAGTCAAAAGTTGTCAACAGGATGCTGAGCTGGCTTTTGTGGTAGACTCAGGATCATCGCATCATCTTGTGCCATCTGGTGGATTCCTGGAGAACTGCACCTCTGTAAAATCTGGGAAGACTGTCTGTTTAGCAGATGGGACTCGACACCCACTCACGCAGAGTGGCTCACTGTTTTGTTCTTTCTTGCAGGACTCAATACAGGCTTTTGTTGTTCCAGGACTGTCCTGCGCGTTGCTGTCTGTCAGTGCACTTCTTGCTGAGAACTACAGAGTGTGTTTTGAGAACAATAAGTGTTCTATTTCCAAGAATGGACAGCACCTAGTCAGTGTTGAATGCAAAGACAGGTTGTTTGTGATAAATGCTTCTTTTGCAGGTCCAGATGACACGGATGACACGGAGGAGGCTCAAGCGCAGTGTGCCAATGTTCCAGTTCATGATGCGTGTGCCCATCTCTGGCACAGACGTATGTCACACGTTTCGTGGGGGTCGGTGAGAAGGATCCCAGAGTATACGCAAGGGTGCAAAATGAAACCATGTGCTAAGTTTCTAGATTGCAGAGCGTGCAAGTCCGCCAAGGTGAAAACGTGCACATACCCTAGGTCTGAGAGGGTGACCACTAGGGCTTTTCAATTAATTCATGCAGATTTGTGTGGACCGTTTTCTGTGAGCAGTTTGGGCGGAGCCAAATATTCGCTGGTTCTGACTGATGACCATACTAGGAATTCTTGGAGTTTTTTGCTTCGGCGCAAAGATGAAGCTGCGCCGCTAATCAAAGACTGGATTGCGGCTGTGGAACTGCAGTTTTCCACACGGGTGCAAAACTTTCAGAGCGATCGCGGTGGGGAGTTCACCGGGTCTGCACTGCAAAGTTTCTTCCGCAAAAAGGGGATTCAACACAGGTTGACCTCTCCACACAGTCCCCAACAGAATGGGATCGCGGAACGCAGGAACAGGACTCTAGGGGAGATGTCCGCAGCTCTTTTGTTTGATGCCGGGCTCCCACAGCGTTTTTGGGGGGAGGCTTGGAGAACGGCCAACTTTGTTCTGAACAGGTCGTTCAATTCAGTGGTAGGTGACACACCGTATTTTTTGCTTCATGGCAAGAAACCGAAAGTGCACTACTTCCGCGTTTTTGGCTGTGAGGCTTGGGTCCTCATACCAAAGGCCAAACGCAAGAAAGGTGAACCCAGGTCCCAGAAGATGATTTTTGTGGGTATGAGCCAGGGACCAAGGGGTGGAGGTTTGCGTATCCGTCAGGGAATCAGTCCAGGATTCTGCTCAGCAACAGTGCTGAATTCTGTGAGCAGAGTGGCTGGGCAAGGATACATGGGAACCCTGACATCCTGTCAGAGAGTCTGCTAGACTCTGCTGATGAAGGAGAGGAAGAGGTTGAACCTGCTGCTGAGGTTCAGAGTCCAGACCCAGTGCAGGCAGAGGGGAGAACTTCTCCCAAGGCTGTGAAGAGTGAGCAACGCAGTGCTCCATCTTCCCCCACAGGTTCGGCTGAGAAGTCCAGAAGGCGCAGTAAGTCAGAGGGGGAGCTCTCTGATGCCAAGGACGTTCTGGCTGGCCCTAGTGGGTCAGAGGGGGTTCCTGAAGTAGTGCTGCGCCGTTCAGCAAGGACGACCAAGGGGAAACCTCCTGAAAGGTTTGCCGTCACTAGTGTGTGGGTCGGAATGGCACAGTGTGAACCCGAGAGTTTTGAGGATGTTCAGAAACTGCCTCAGGAAGAAGCCAGGAAATGGCATGAGGCGATGCAGAAGGAGATGAACTCAATGGAGTCTCTAGGTGTGTTCTCCCTCACGAAGTTGCCGGTGGGTGAAAAGGCAGTGGGTAGTCGCTGGGTTTACCGTCTTAAGCCCACAGCGACAGGAGAACCGCAGTATAAGGCCAGATTAGTGGCGAGAGGATTCACGCAGCAAAGGGGGGTTGCATTATACGGAGAGTTATGCGCCCACGTGTAGGAGTGAGTCTCTACGCTTGGTTTTGGCCATCGCTGCACAAAGAGGTTTGCTGGTGCATCACTTTGATGTGGATGTTGCTTACTTGAACTCAGACCTCCAGGAGGATCTGTACATGCTTCCTCCTCCTGGGTTTGAGGGCAATGAGCGAGGTACTGTGTGGAAACTTCACAAGTCAATTTACGGCCTGAAGCAGTCGGCCAGGAATTGGAACTTGTGCCTGAATGAAGCTTTGGAGAAGCTAGGTTTCAGGAAGAGTCTTGCTGACAGTTGCCTGTTCCTTAGAGGATCAGGAGACTCACAGGAACTGGTGTTGTTTTATGTTGATGACATCATCCATGTTGGAAAGGCAGACAAACAGGTGCAGAAGTTTGCCAAAGAGCTTGGGAAACGGTTTCAGCTCAAGAACCTGGGTGCAGTAAAGATCTACCTAGGCGTCCAGATAGCGAGAACTGAGGATGGTAGCTTCTTGCTCAGTCAGAAAGGCAAGATTGAGCAGTTGCTGGAGAAGTTCAGAATGTCCGATTGTGCAGGAGTTCGGACACCCATGGAGACGAACTTCGTGAAAGATAGCCAGCAAGCAGAGAGTGCTGAGTTTGAGAATGCTGAGCTCTTTCAGTCAGCTCTAGGTAGTCTGTTGTATCTGTCCCAATGGAGCAGACCAGACATTGCCTTTGCTACCAACCTGCTAAGTAGGGAAGCGTCAAAGCCCAGTGTGAGTGCTTGGCACGGTATCAAGCGGGTACTGCGCTACCTGCAGCATACCAAAGACTTCTGTCTTAAGCTGCCAGCTGAAGGTGAGGCGAAGCTCACATGCTATGCGGACAGTGATTGGGCGAATTTGCAGGACCGCAAGTCTGTGTCTGGGTTGGTGATAAAGTTTGGGAAGTCACTAGTTGGGTGGAAGTCCCGGAAGCAAAGTCTCATTGCGCTGTCTTCTACTGAGGCTGAATTCAGTGCACTGTCAGACTTGTGCCGAGAACTAGAGTTCTATAGATGCTTGGTGCAAGAGATCTATGGGGATTGTAGCTTGCCCATCACGGTTTGGGAAGACAATCAGCCTTGTTTGAAGTTGGCTGAATCTGCGCAATTTAAAGCGAGAACCAAGCATTTGGACATACGTTTCCGAAATGTGTGTCAGAGTGTTCAGTCAGGTTTGATACGACTGAAGTACTGTGCCAGTCACAGTAACCTGGCCGATGGATTTACCAAACCTTTAAGCTTCCAGCGTCATGGGGAGTTTTGTGGTGGTTTGGAGTTGGGGGTAAGTTCTGTACTTACTGTCCCCACAGTAGCGCAGAGCGAGAGGGGGTGTGAGGAAAACCTGAGCTTACAGGGTTAAACAGCTCAGAGTGTACGCTCTGCCTACAAGTGGGAGGGGGGAAAAGCTACGTCAGTTCCGAGAGACTAAAGTCTTTGTTCTGTCTCTCTACTTTCGCTTTTGAGGAGAGAGGACGTGTTTTCGCGATGCTGTTCGCTGTGATAGATAATGGATAGCCTGCTGTAAATAAAGCTGCTTTTAGCTGCTAATATCCTGAGTGGACTTCATTTAAGCACACTGAAGAATGCACTGGAGTGTTTTGGCTTCCTCTAGCCGCTGACGAACTCTGCTATGCTCAGAAGTATCGGAATGTGCCCTTTGGAATGCAGAGGCCTACGCAATGGGGGAAGCGTGCCGGACGCTTATCTGAGCAATAAATCAAGATATCCCAGAAGCTCCAATTCTATTTTTTAAAAGAACTTTAAAAATGAGACCAGACTTTCATAAATCCCTCCGATCACACTCTTGGCACTGAAATAGTTTCTACCCTGTGTGAATTCTCTGATGGGAAATGAGATTGTTGCTTTGACTGAAGCTCTTTCCGCATTCCACGCACTGATAGGGTTTCTCCCCTGTATGAATCATTTGATGGGAAGTGAGATCTGAGCAATTTCTGAATCTCTTCCCACATTCCACGCACTGGTAGGGTTTCTCCCCTGTATGAATTCTCTGGTGGGCAATGAGATAGCGTCTGTCAATGAAGCTCTTTTCACATTCCAAGCACTGATAGGGTTTCTCCCCTGTATGAATCCTTTGATGGGAAGTGAGCATGGCCCTTTGATTGAAGCTCTTTCCGCATTCCACGCACTGATAGGGTTTCTCCCCTGTATGAATGCTTTGATGGGAAGTGAGATTGGCACTCCGAGTGAAGCTCTTTCCACATTCCACGCACTGAAAGGGTTTTTCCCCTGTATGAATTCTTTGATGTGCAGTGAGATGGGAGCCCTGACTGAAGCTCTTTCCACACTCCAAGCAGTGATAGGGTTTCTCCCCTGTATGAATCCTTTGATGGGAAGTGAGATTGGCACTCCGAGTGAAGCTCTTTCCACATTCCACGCACTGAAAGGGTTTTTCCCCTGTATGAATTCTTTGATGTGCAGTGAGATGGGAGCTCTGACTGAAGCTCTTTCCACACTCCAAGCAGTGATAGGGTTTCTCCCCTGTATGAATCCTTTGATGGGAAGTGAGATGGTCCCTCTGAGTGAAGCTCTTTCCACACTCCAAGCACTGATAGGGTTTCTCCCCTGTATGAATCATTTGATGGGAAGTGAGATCGTGGCTTTGACTGAAGTTCTTTCCACACTCCAAGCAGTGATAGGGTTTCTCCCCTGTATGAATCCTTTGATGGGAAGTGATTTGGGAGCTCTGACGGAAGCTCTTTCCACACTCCAAGCAGTGATAGGGTTTCTCCCCTGTATGAATCCTTTGATGGGAAATGAGTTGGAAGCTCTGACGGAAGCTCTTTCCACACTCCAAGCAGTGATAGGGTTTCTCCCCTGTATGAATCCTTTGATGGGAAGTGAGAAGGTCCCTCCGATTGAAGCTCTTTGTACATTCTACGCACTGATAGGGTTTCTCCCCTGTATGAATTCTTTGATGGGAAGTCAGACTTTCTTTCCTGGTGAAGCGCTTTCCACATTCCAAGCACTGATAGGGTTTCTCCCCTGTATGAATCCTTTGATGGGAAGTGAGTTGGGAGCTCTGATTGAAGCTCTTTCCACATTCCACGCACTGATAGGGTTTCTCCCCTGTATGAATTCTACGATGGGAAGTGAGATCGTTGCTGTTACTGAAGCTCTTTCCACACTCCAAGCAGTGGTAGTGTTTCTTCTCAAGGGGATTTCTTTGATGGGAAATGGAATGGAAGCTCTGACTGAAGCTCTCTCCACAGTCTGAATCCTGATATGGATCCTCCACTGTGTGGATTTCATTGTGGTCTCCCTTGTTCTTCATTTCCAATTCATCACCACCTGAAACTAAGAGGCAAACGGATTAGAGTCTCGGGAAGAAGTGCAGCCCCAAATTATGGAACAATGCTAATGCTTGGGACAGGGGAAGAACTGAAGGGAGTTAGATGTTATAATGTTCCTTTTGTTCTGTAAAAATGTCTAGTTTTGTATACAAATCAAGTTGAATATTATATGTTTTCTCTCTCTAGTTTTTAAAAGTACAGTTTAACCTGGTAACGTCATTTTGTTCAAATTTAAATATGGATCTGTACTATCTTCATAAATAAAATGTGCTTTCATTATTATTTTAAAGGTTTCCAAAGCGGGTACAGTGGTACCTCGGGTTACATACGCTTCAGGTTACATACGCTTCAGGTTACAGACTCTGCTAACCCAGAAATAATGCTTCAGTTTAAGAACTTTGATTCAGGACAGGAACAGAAATCATGCCCCGGCGGCGCAGTGGCAACAGCAGGAGACCCCATTAGCTAAAGTGGTGCTTCAGGTTAAAAACAGTTTCCGGTTAAGAAAGGACCTCCAGAACGAATTAAGTTCTTAACCCGAGGTACAACTGTATTTAATATGCTACGTTGTTCAATATGCAGTAATAAATTTAAACAAATTGTAAGAGCTTGAGAAATATTTGGGAACATTGACTCTGGACTGACTTGGTCATAGTCAGCTACCTTGTGGTAGGGGAATGAAGTTCTGTGTGCTGAAAAACACATTTTGTATATTGAACAAATGTGTGTAGCAGCTGCCAAATTTAAATTTCTTTAGTGGCTAAAAATTTAATGATGATGTGCATCACCTTAAACCAATTTGGATGTTTTCTTAAATTCTCGACATCACAGAATGCAGCAGAAACTTGTCATATCAGTATTATTATTATTATTATTATTATTATTATTCAAGTTTCCTTACGCTGGTATCTCAGGTTACATACGCTTCAGGTTACAGACTCCGCTAACCTAGAAATAGCACCTCAGGTTAAGAACTTTGCTTCAGGATGCGAACAGAAATCGTGCTCTGGCAGCGCAGCGGCAGCAGGAGGCCCCATTAGCTAAAGTGGTGCTTCAGGTTAAGAACAGTTTCAGGTTAAGAACAGACCTTCAGAACGAATTAAGTTCTTAGCCCGAAGTACCACTGTACTTACATGTAACATTATTGTGAGAAGTTACAGGGGACGAGGCAGGGGGCCTTCTCGGTAGGGGCACCCACCCTGTGGAACGCCCTCCCATCGGATGTCAAGGAAATAACTATGCAACTTTTAGAGGACTTCTGAAGGCACCTCAGTATCGGGAAGTTTTTAATGTTTGATGTTTGATTATGTTTTTCTATTTGTTGGCTGGGGCCACCCAGTCAGATGGGCAGGGTAAAAATAATAAAATTATCATTATTGTTACCACAGGGTTCACTGCCTGAGATTCAAAAAGCCTGTCTCTGTTTTGGGATGGAGTTTGTTTGGTTCAGTCGTGGAATCTGTGCCATCTCCAATGTCAAGCGACTCTTTGGTCAGCCAGAGAGAGACAGAAGCGAGAACAAAAGCAGGAAACTTGACTGAAGCTACTTCAACACCCCAAATCACTCTGAATCCTACATTTAAGAAGGCCTGGGCAGTTCAGACAGCCTGATCATGGTTTTAAACCGCAGAACTGGAGGAAGAATATTCACAGGGAAAACAATCAATAGCCATCCCTCCAAGGTTTGCTGTGGGAGTGTTAACATCCCAGGTGCTGTGGGTGGCGCTGTTGAGCCCCATCAAAATATCAGAGGTTCGCCACATAGAGAGATGTCTTGAATTACAAAACAGATAGGATGATCCAATAGGGAGCCTTACCGAGAGAGTCCAAGATCCCACGATTCTCCTCCATGACTTCCTTATGGAGAGCTCTCTGGTCAGGATCCAGCAACGCCCACTCCTCGTCTGTGAAATGGACAGCCACATCTTCAAAGCACACTGGACCCTAACAGAACAGGAAAAAGGCTGTCCTCTTAGAGAACATTCACTTGGCTCTGTTGTTTTCTACAGCGGCCAGACCCCTCTCTGCCTTCCTCATCCCTCTCTCCTGCTGCAGCTTCTGCCTCGGAGTCTGGGCTGCTCTCTGCCACAGACTCCCTCTGCTCCCTGAGCCCTCTTCCCTCTCCAGCTTCCTCCTCCTCCTCCTCCTCCCAGTCGGCTCCCTCTTCTCTGGCTCCTCCCACCATTCCTCTGCATCCAACTGTGTCCAGCCAGTCTGCATCCAAGCAGTCCTTCCCCACAAGGCCCCTTCCCCCTACCTGATCTGGGTCCACAGCTGCTGCCTCCCCTCCACCACCATGAAAAGATGAAGGAGCAGGTCTTGGTGGCATCATTCCTCCACCTGGGAGAGACAAAGGTAAGTGGAAACCGTGAGCGCCTGCTTCTCTCAGAGGTGAAACAGTGCATCTCTAAGTACAGATGGGGCTTGTCCAAGTCTCCCCTGCTAGCTTCCGGTTCCGCTCTGCTTTAATGGAGGCAGCGGGAGATCGTTGGCAAAGGAAAAACAAGGATGACTGAGGGTAATTCTCCTTGCAAGTTCCCCCAGGGACAGGGGGGAATGGGCTTCACTCCCAGTTTGTCTCGGTACCAGGTTCCGGCTCCGGCATGGATTGCGAGAGGCAGGGAGGCGCTGAGTGCAAAAGCCCTTCACCTGCCGAAAACCCTCCTTCGCTGCCATTAAGAAGCAGAAGTTCTCCTGTCAATTAGAGCTCAATTTGGACTAATGTACAGGCGTTGCTGGAAGAGATGAGATCATAAACTGCGGAATTAAACCAGCTGCAAGGTCTTTAAGGTTTGAATTTGAGAATAAACTTCATTTGCTGCAAAAGACAGTGAGTGGGGGGAGGGGAGCCTATGGCTTCTTTATATAAAGTTTTCTTCTCTACATTAATGAATTGGTAGCCTGCGATTGAATACTAGTTGAAAATATGCAACTGGGTAAATCTCCAGGCCCAGACGGCTTGACCTCTAGATACTACAGATCCTTAAAAGATTGGTTAATTCAACCACTGAAAGAGGTCTGCAACGAAATAATGGAGGGGAGGAGGGCACCAGAGTCGTGGAAAGAAGCATATATTACACTTGTACCAAAAACAGAGGCTGAAAAGACACAACTAAAGAACTACCGCCCAATATCATTACTTAATGTGGATTACAAAATTTTTGCAGATATTTTGGCGAAGAGATTTAAAAAGTGCTGTTGGAAGAGATTCATCAAGACCAAGCGGGCTTTCTCCCAAGAAGACACTTGTCTGATAACCTAAGGAATATAATTGATATTTTGGAAAAATTAGAAGTGAATATAAACACTAAAGCAGTGTTGATATTTGTAGACGCGGAGAAAGCCTTTGACAATATTTCTTGGAATTTTATGAAGAAGAATCTTCAGGGTATGGGGGTAGGCCAAGGTTTTGAGAATGGTATAAGTGCAATTTATTCAGAACAAAAGGCTAAACTAATTGTAAATAACGTTGTGACGGAAGAACTTAAAATTGAAAAAGGGACACGACAAGGGTGCCCAATTTCCCCTCTTCTTTTATTTCGGTCCTGGAGGTGTTGCTGAACATGATTAGAAGGGACCAGTTGGTTAAAGGTATACAGGTCGGAACTAAACACTATAAATTGAGAGCATTTGCAGATGACTTAGTATTGACGTTACAGGAGCCAGAATCTAGTACAAAAAAGGGTTTTAGAACTGATTCAAGAATTTGGTCAAGTGGCAGGATTTAAATTGAACAAATTAAAAACCAAGGTTTTAGAGAAAAATTTAACACCGTTTGAAAGAGAGGTTTCAGAATGAGACAGGGTTAACAGTGGTTAAGAAAGTTAAATACCTGGGGATTAGCATGACAGCAAAAAATGGGAATTTATTTAAAGATAATTATGAAAAATGTTGGTCAGAAGTGAAAAAGATTTAGAAATTTGGTCAAACTTGAAGCTTTCACTGCTAGGCCGTATTGCTGCGATAAAAATGAATGTATTGCCTAGAATGTTGTTTTTGTTTCAAACTTTGCAGATTGTGGACAAAATGGACTGTTTCAAGAGGTGGCAGAAAGATATTTCTAGATTTGTCTGGCAGGGCAAGAAACCTAGAATAAAATTTAAAATACTAACAGATGCAAAGGAAAGAGGTGGATTTGCCCTGCCAGACCTCAAACTTTATTATGAATCAGCAGCTTTTTGCTGGTTGAAAGAATGGCTACTTCTTGAAAACACTGACATTTTGGATTTGGAAGGTTTTAATAATGTATTTGGATGGCATGCATATTTATGGTATGATAAGGTCAAAGCACACAAAGCATTTAAAAACCACATTGTCAGGAAAGCGCTATTTAATGTTTGGATAAGATATAAGGATTTGCTAGAAAATAAAACCCCAAGGCGGCTGTCACCAATGGAAGCGAAAGCCTTGAAAAGGGTCAATATGGAGGTCAAATGGCCGAAATATTGGGAAATTTTGGAACAAGACGGAGATAGACTGAAATTGCAGAGTTTTGAAAAACTAAAAAACAAAGTGCGAGACTGGCTCCATTATTATCAAATAATGGAGGTATTTAAACTAGACAGGAAAATTGGCTTCCAGGTGGAAAAATCAAAATTAGAAACAGAATTGTTAGAACCCAATACTAAGAATCTGTCAAGAATGTATAACTTGCTGCTGAAATGGAATACTCAAGATGAAACGGTAAAATCGGCTATGATTAAATGGGCACAGGACGTAGGACACAACATTATGTTTGCTGACTGGGAACAGTTATGGACCACAGGCATGAAGTTCACGGCATGTAATGCCTTAAGAGAGAATATTATGAAAATGATATACAGGTGGTACATAACCCCAGTCAAGCTTGCGAAAATCTATCACTTGCCCGATAACAAATGTTGGAAATGTAAAGAAATTGAAGGTACATTTTTTCACCTTTGGTGGACGTGCCCAAAGATTAAGGCTTTCTGGGAAATGATATATAATGAATTAAAAAAGGTATTCAAATATACCTTCCCCAAGAAACCAGAGGCCTTTCTCCTGGGCATAGTCGGCCAAATGGTGTTAAAAAGGATAGAACTTTCTTTATGTATGCAACAACAGCAGCAAGAATACTCATCGCAAAGTATTGGAAGACACAAGAACTTCCCACGCTGGAGGAATGGCAGATGAAACTTATGGACTATATGGAATTGGCGGAAATGACTGGCAGAATCCGTGACCAGGGAGAAGAGTCGATGGAGGAAGACTGGAAGAAATTCAAAGACTATCTTCAGAAACACTGCAAAATTAAGGAATGTTAGAGTGATGTTGGACTGAAAATAAATGGTTTCCAGCTGTACAGGTTAAAGGTAAAGATAGATTAAGATTTAAGATCAAGATTAAAGATGTTTAAAGAAATGGAAATTGGATAATAAAAGGGAAAAATTTAAAGGTATATGACATTAAGAATAAGGATTATGTTTAAAAAAGTTGAAGTTATATATTTTAATATTTTATTAAATTAAAGATTGGGTTCAAAAAAGTGGAAAAGAAACTGCTGGACAAATAACGTAGATTGGAATACAAAAGAGGGAGGTATGAGGAAGTCCAGAAAATAAGTAATTTAAATTTGGGAATGGAAAAGAGAGTTTGTTTTTAATTGTTATGTTTTGCGTTTTTATTGTTAAACTTTGTATTGTTTTTTTGTGTGTGTTGTTTTTTCTTTTTTCTTTGTTTAAAACTTTAATAAAAATTATTTAAAAAAAAAAAAGAAAATATCTATGTACAGGTGAGCAGGGATGAAACTGGACTGCAGATATGGATTAAAACTTCAAATGGAACTGTGTGTGTAAAAACAAAAAGGAAAAAGGGAGGGAAGATCTATTTTACAAAATGTTTACGATGGAAAATTAGAGCTGACTCTTCCCCATCCTGTATTATATACAGACTGAACTGATTAATGCTAAAAGGACTTGGAATTTAATTTAATTGGATAAATGCGCATTTATCTTCGGCCAGACAGAGGGATGTAAGGAATCTGAAAGTTGTGAGGGAGCTGATAAGGTTCATTACTGAGTCAATTGCAGTTTGACCGATCCCTCTCCTTCCCAGGCAGAGAAGAAAAATGGCAAAAACTGATTATTTATTGGGACAGTGTGATTTTTGCAGCCGCTGTTAAAGTTGCCAAACAACGAAGTACAGGACAGAGCGATGGAGAATTTCTGAAACCACAATGGGATATTAGCTCCGCCCAAGGAATGATGGAGAACAGCAACAACCAGGAAAAGATAGACAGAACATTTTACAAGGACAGGAAGAAATATCACGAGCAGAAAGATTGCCACACATGGGAAGAGTAAGGATACAGCTGGAGTGCCTCACTTGTAGTTTTATATATTATTTGATATTTCAATACGAATGGAAGTCATTAATATTGCAGTTGTTGTATAAAGGATTGTTATCTTGACAGGAGTGTAATTGAAATTAATAAGATTTTGGAATGGAGAAATCAAGAAAATCATCAAACCATCGGTTTTAGCATGTGGGGGGCAGCCTATATTATATAATTTGGTATCTTAAAGATTGGTATTAGTAATTGTATTGTAATTTCACATTGTTATAATAAGGCTATTATTGGACTGTAATTGTGAACTAATCAAATTAATATCGGAAACGTCTCCCCTGCTAAGTACATTTGGACTCATTTGTACCCATTTCATATAATAGTTGTGCAAAAATACATCTCCCCCCCTCTGAGCGCCAGGTGTCCTCCCCCAAAAGATGTAAAGAACTCACAGATTAGTTTCAAAACCAAGAGAATGTGACAAAACGGGGGAGAAAACACTCCTTCCTCCTTACCCAGAGGCCTCACTCTGGCGTCCAGCGGAGTCTTCTCTGCCTCAGAAGAATCAAGACCCATTTCTGCCAAAAGATCCTTCCTCTGAAAGAGCAACAAGGATTCAAAACAAAGAATGGGGAGAAGGGTTAGAGAAGGAATGGCAGAGGCAAGCGCTTTCGGGGGACAGAGGTGAAAGCTGCTTCCTGCTTCTGCTAGACTGGTGTCTGGGGTTGGCTGCCAGGACCATGAAACATTGGTCCTCAAGGATCTTCACTGGCTCCCAGAACGTTTCCCAGCACAATTCAAAGTGTTGGCCTCAAAGGCCCAGTATACCCAAAGGAGCGTCTCCATGAACTGAGGTCCAGTTCCGAGGGTCTTCTGCTGATTCCCTCACTGTGATAAGTGAAGTTACAGGGAACCAGGCAGAAGACCTTCTCCACAGTGGGACCCACCCTGGGGAATGCCCTCCCATCAGGTGATAAGGAGATAAGAAAATGCCTAACTTTTAGAAGACATCTGATGTCTTCTTATGCTTTTATGTGCTGGAAGGCACCCAGCCACATGGGTGTCATAAATAATAATAATAATATGCTTTCCAAAAAAGGATGGGCCATTAGGAATTGATTTGGGAATACTCTCCCTCCTCTTTGGAGCCCCTTGGGAGTATCCAGAGGAAAGTCTCTCTCACCTGCTGCTCTGCCTGCTTCCTCTCCTCTGCCTGACTCAGGAGGAAACCTTCGGCCAGGGCCACCGCCTGGGAACTGGTCTCCACTCCGCATTCCCTCACCCAGTTCTCCATCTCCAGAGGAAGGACAGCCAGGAACTGCTCCAAGATCACCAGGTCCAACATCTGAGCTTTCGTGTGCCTTTCCGGCTTCAGCCACTGATGGTCAAGGTGGTAGAGTTGGCTGCAAACCTCTCGGGGTCCTTTGGCCTCCTGGAAGCAGAACTGCCTGAGCTGCTGGCTCTGCACCTCTGAGCAAGGGGTGTCCTCCTCACCCAGGATCTTCTGCATGGAGTTTTCCCAGAATTCCCCACTGCTCCCCGTTTCCATGGCATGGCCTCTTCCTGCTTCAGGGCCAGCTGAGTCTTCCTCATCCATCTGGGCTCTCCGGAAGTCTCCAAGAGATCGGAAGGAGCCCCTTGGTCCTCTGCCAAGTTCTGTGGGTACTAATGCAAGGTGCAGAAAATCGTATGAATCAAACACACTATTCTATTGTAAGATGAAGAGGAGGAGAATGTTTCCTGAGGAAGCGTGGCTGAGTCTTGCTAGGAACCAGGGCTGGATTGCACCACAGCTCAGACTCCAAGCTGTATGGGGGGGAAAGGGGGAGGGAGAAGTCATAACTGTGAGTGACAAGTGAGTGTAATCTGGAGCCAGGGCAACAGTGGGGGTCTCTCCCAAACCCACTTCATAGTCCAGAGCTTCGCCCCAACCCAACCATCTCTGCTTGGGTGGCTTGGTGAGCAGCAGGGCCCATGTCTAGCTCCAGCCACCGTCCCTTGGGGACTTCCTGCTCTGGATCCGAGGGGACGGTGGCAAGGCCCTCTGGGTGGAACTGCCCTGGAAGACGCCTCGGAAACTGGACTTTCCATCAAATAAAGAATTAGGGAGGGAAAATGGCCGACATACAGAGATTTATGAATAGAGAGAGAAGGGAAGCTTTGTGGTATTTCCCTCTTAATATACTTCTCCCTCATAATAATGTCCCTCATAATATCCCCTTCTCCCTCATAATAATGTCCCTCTTAATATACTTCTCCCTCAGAATAATGTCCCTCTTAATATACTTCTCCCTCATAATAATGTCCCTCTTAATATACTTCTCCCTCATGTCCCTCTTAATATCCTTCTCCCTCAGAATAATGTCCCTCTTAATATCCTTCTCCCTCATAATTATGTCCCTCTTAATATACTTCTCCCTCATAATAATGTCCCTCTTAATATCCTTCTCCCTCACAATTATGTCCCTCTTAATATCCTTCTCCCTCACAATTATGTCCCTCCTAATATACTTCTCCCTCATGTCCCTCTTAATATACTTCTCCCTCATAATAATGTCCCTCTTAATATACTTCTCCCTCATGTCCCTCTTAATATCCTTCTCCCTCATAATAATGTCCCTCCTAATATACTTCTCCCTCATAATAATCTCCCTCTTAATATACTTCTCCCTCACAATAATGTCCCTCTTAATGTCCTTCTCCCTCATGTCCCTCTTAATATACTTCTCCCTCATAATAATGTCCCTCTTAATATACTTCTCCCTCATAATAATGTCCCTCTTAATATACTTCTCCCTCACAATAATGTCCCTCTTAATATCCTTCTCCCTCATGTCCCTCTTAATATACTTCTCCCTCATAATAATGTCCCTCTTAATATCCTTCTCCCTCACAATAATGTCCCTCCGAATGTCCTTCTCCCTCATGTCCCTCTTAATGTCCTTCTCCCTCATAATAATGTCCCTCTTAATATACTTCTCCCTCAGAATGTCCCTCTTAATATACTTCTCCCTCAGAATAATGTCCCTCTTAATATACTTCTCCCTCATAATAATGTCCCTCTTAATATCCTTCTCCCTCATAATAATGTCCCTCCGAATGTCCTTCTCCCTCATGTCCCTCTTAATATCCTTCTCCCTCATAATAATGTCCCTCCGAATGTCCTTCTCCCTCATGTCCCTCTTAATATCCTTCTCCCTCATAATAATGTCCCTCTTAATATCCTTCTCCCTCACAATAATGTCCCTCCCAATGTCCTTCTCCCTCACAATAATGTCCCTCCCAATGTCCTTCTCCCTCACAATAATGTCCCTCCGAGTGTCCTTCTCCCTCCGCACTGTCTTCCAGTCCCACCTCCCTGGCCAGGGCCTGAGGTCCCTCTGCCTCCCTCCCGGACCCCCCAGCCTCTCTTCCCTCCCCTTCCCGCCTCCCGGGGCAGGGAGTTCCCCAGGCTTCCCCCGAGAGGAGACCCACCAGAGCCCGGCAGGCGAAGGCGAGGCCGGAAGGGACCTCAGAGGGAAGGAGGAGGAGGAGGAGCGGCCCGCCTTCCTTTCCTGTCCTCTCTAGGAAGCCAGCTCGGCGCCTCTTAACCCTTGGCGAGCCGGGCGCGCCCCGCTCATCCTTCTCTCTCCCGGCGGAGGAGCCCGGGGCGTCAAGCGGGCGGAGAGGAGGAGGCAGGGAAGAAGCAGGACCCAGAACCCGGGACTGGGCGCGTGTGCGTGTGAAGGGGGAACCCGTGTCCGGGAGGTGGAGCCCGTCTCTCTGCCTGGGGCTGCGAAGGGGCGTCTGGGCGGTGGAGAGAGGGGTCTTGGGGGGGGCCAGATGGGGGACCCGGGGGTGTCTCTTCTCCGGGGGGCGAGTCTCTCTTGGGGGCCCCTGGGCGGGTCTGGGGGGGCTGCGGGGCAGAGAGCCCTGTCCCAGCAAGAGGGGGTCCCGGGGGGGGGGGCTGAAGGGGCAGCTGGAGGGGGGAGACATTGCCAGACATGGCTGGGGGGCCATTCTGTGTTCTCCCATCTGCTGCTTCGTGTCTGTATTTCAGCCATAAATATCCCATGTTCTTCTCTGTTAGTGAAGTCGCCTTTGAAGCAACACAGGAGCAGCCAAGGGGGTTTTCCTAGGAAGCCTTTTATTCCCCTCTGGTGACATTCTTATAAGTTTGTGGGTGCCCAACCCCCGCAAAATACCTCATAAATGTTGGAATTGGATTTAGACTTGGGTTGCCAACACCGGGTGCCAGACCCGTGTGGATGAAACGGTGTGTTTGACGCTCCTCATCCTCTGGAATCAGCGTGTCTTCACAGCTCCTTCAACCAGGCGAGGAAGGACGCCTGGATCCAGAATTGGCCCCCACGGTCACTGAGGGCCTCATGGTTGAAACCGTGTTTAGGGAAGACAATCTTACTCGGCTACGAGGGACGCCAGAGAAGAAGGGTTGCCATGTGTCCTCTTTTCCCAGGACATGTCCTCTTTCTCAGGGGTAAAAGTTCTGGCCAGACGTTCTGGAGGAGACATAACTGGGGGTGGAAGACTTGCGTTCCTCTTCTCTTCTCCTGCCCCCCCCCTCAGCAAAACATCTCACAGCTTCTCTAGCCTACATATAGTAGGAGTATTGAAAGTGAGAGTCATCATCGCATCCTCGTTTTTGCTCCTCAAAATCTGCCCACCCTCCCAGAGAAGGGCAACCAAGGAGATGAAGACTCCGTCCTCTTCCTTCTGTGACAGCAGGTTGCTCTTGCTCCTTGTCCGCCTTCCAAATGAAGAACAGAATCCTAAAGTTGGAAGGGACCCCAAGGTCCATCTAGGCCAGGGGAGGCAACCTAAGGACCAGGGGCCGGATGTGGCCCAATCACCTTCTCAATCCGGCCCCCGGGAATCAGCGTGTTTTTACATGAGTAGAATGTGTCCTTTTACTTAAAATGCATCTCTGGGTTATTTGTGGGGCATAGGAATTTGTTCATTCCCCCCAAAAAAATATAGTCCGGCCCCCCACATGGTCTGAGGGACGGTGGACCGGCCCCCGGCTCGAAAAGCTTGCTGACCCCGGATCTAGGGCTGTTTTTTTTTTTTTAAATTAATATTTATTAAAGTTTCAGAAAAAATAAAATCACATTAATAAACAAGAGAAATTTGAGAAGAAAAAAGAAAAATACACAATACAAAATACAAAATACAAAAGGATAAAAAAAGAAAAAAAAACCAGTTAAAAACAATTCCGTCTTTTCATAACTTCCTTTACATTTACTTGTTTCCCGGACTTCCTCATACCTCCCTCTTTTGTATTCCAATTCCGGTTGTTAATCCAGCAATTTCTTTCCCTCCTTTTTAGTCCCAATCCTTAATCTTAATATATAATGACATTAGATTTTTACCTATTTGAAACCAATTTTTCCATTCTTTTAACTTTTTTAATCCTAATCCTTAATCTTAATATATTTATAGCTTTAAAACCTATACAGCTAGAAGCCATTTAACTTCAATCCAACATCATTCTAACATTCATTAATTTTGCAATGTTTCTGTAAATCTTTGAATTTCTTCCAATCTTCTTCCACCGACTCTTCTCCCTGGTCACGGATTCCGCCAGTCATTTCCGCCAATTCCATATAGTCCCTCAATTTCATCTGCCATTCCTCCAGTGTGGGTAACTCTTGTGTCTTCCAATGCTTTGCGATGAGTATTCTTGCTGCTGTTGTTGCATACATAAAGAAAGTTCTATCCTTTTTTAACACCATTTGGCCGACTATGCCCAGGAGAAAGGCCTCTGGTTTCTTCAAGAAGGTATACTTAAATACCTTTTTTAATTCATTATATATCATTTCCCAGAAAGCCTTGATCTTTGGGCACGTCCACCAAAGGTGAAAGAATGTACCTTCAGTTTCTTTACATTTCCAACATTTATTATCAGGCAAATGATAGATTTTTGCAAGCTTGACTGGGGTCATGTACCACCTGTATATCATTTTCATAATATTCTCTCTTAAGGCATTACATGCCATAAACTTCATACCTGTGGTCCATAACTGTTCCCAGTCAGCGAACATAATGTTATGTCCAACATCTTGTGCCCATTTAATCATAGCAGATTTCACCGTTTCATCCTGAGTATTCCATTTCAGCAGCAAGTTATACATTCTTGACAAATTCTTAGTTTTGGATTCTAACAGTTCTGTTTCTAATTTTGATTTTTCCACCTGGAAGCCAATTTTCTTGTCCAAATTGTATGCCTCCATTATCTGATAATAATGAAGCCAGTCTCGCACTTTGTTTTTTAGTTTTTCAAAACTCTGCAATTTCAATCTGTCTCCATCTTGTTCCAAAATTTCCCAATATTTCGGCCATTTGACCTCCATATTGAGCTTTTTCAAGGCTTTCGCTTCCATTGGTGACAGCCACCTTGGAGTTTTGTTTTCCAGTAAATCCTTGTATCTTATCCAAACATTAAACAATGCTTTCCTGACAATATGGTTTTTAAATGCTTTATGCGCTTTGACCTTATCATACCACAGATATGCATGCCATCCAAACACATTATTAAAACCTTCTAGATCCAAAATGTCTGTGTTTTCAAGAAGCAGCCATTCTTTCAACCAGCAGAAAGCTGCTGATTCATAGTAAAGTTTAAGGTCTGGCAGGGCAAATCCACCTCTTTCCTTTGCATCTGTTAGTATTTTAAATTTTATTCTGGGCTTCTTGCCCTGCAAGACAAATCTAGAAATATCTCTCTGCCACCTCTTGAAACAGTCCATTTTGTCCACAATTTGCAATGTTTGAAACAAAAACAACATTCTATGCAATACATTCATTTTTACAGCAGCAATACGACCCAGCAGTGAAAGCTTCAAGTTTGACCAAATTTCTAAGTCTTTTTCACTTCAGCCCAACATCTTTCATAGTTATCTTTGAATAAGTTCCCATTTTTTGCTGTCAAGTTAATCCCCAGATATTTAACTTTCTTGACCACTGTTAAACCTGTCTCATTCTGAAACCTCTCTCTCTCTATTGGTGTTAAATTTTTCTCTAAGACCTTAGTTTTTACTTAATTCAATTTAAATCCTGCCACTTGACCAAATTCTTGAATCAGTTCTAAAACCCTTTTGGTACTAGATCCTGGCTCCTGTAACGTCAATACTAAGTCATCTGCAAATGCTCTCAATTTGTACTGTTTGGCTCCAACCTGTATACCCTTAACCAACTGATCCCTTCTAATCATGTTCAGCAGAACCTCCAGGACCAAAATAAAAAGCAGTGGGGAGATTGGGCAACCTTGTCGTGTTCCTTTTTCAATCTTAAATTCTTCCGTCACCACATTATTTACAATTAATTTAGCCTTTTGTTCTGAATAAATTGCACTTATACCGTTTTCAAAGCCTTGGCCTACCCCCATACCCTGTAGGTTCTTCTTCATAAAACTCCAAGAAATATTGTCAAAGGCTTTCTCCGCGTCCACAAATATCAAAACTGCTTTAGTATTTATATTCACTTCTAGTTTCTCCAAAATGTCAATTATGTTCCTCATGTTATCAGACAAATGTCTACCCGGGAGAAAGCCTGCTTGGTCTTTATGAATCTCTTCCAACAACACTTTTTTCAGTCTCTTCACCAAAGTGTCTGCAAAAATTTTGTAATCCACATTAGGTAATGATATGGGACGGTAGTTCTTAAGCTGCGTCTTTTCAGTCTCTGTTTTCGGTACAAGTGTAATATAAGCTTCTTTCCACGACTCTGGTGCCCTTTTCCCCTCCATTATTTCATTGCAAACCTCTTTCAAAGGTTGTATTAACCATTCTTTCAAGGATCTGTAATATCTAGAAGTCAGTCCATCCGGTCCTGGAGATTTACCCAATTGCATATTCTGAATGGCACCTTCTATCTCCTGTTCAGTTATTTTGTAGTTCAACATTAATTTATTTTCTTGAGAGATTTTTTGTAATCCATTTGTTTGCAAAAATCTATTTACATCTGTTTCTTTCAGTGGCCCTTGTGTATATAGTTGTTTAAAGTACCTCTGGAAACAATTTCTAATCTCAGCTGGGTTCTGTATATTCCTTCCTTCCACTTCTAAATTTGTAACTGTATTTAATTTTTGTCTTTTTTTCATTTGCCAAGCCAACAGTTTCCCACATTTATTAGCCGACTCGAATGTCTTTTGTCTCATTTGTTTGATTTTCCATTCTATCTCCTGATTCGTCATTTTCATGTATTGTACTTGGTATAGCTTTAATTCTCTCAGAATCTCTTGGGATTTTGGTTTTGTTCTCAATCTTTTTTCACTTTCCTTTATTTTCTCCAGTATTTTATCCTTCTTCTCATTTTGAATTCTCTTCTTTAATGCATTCTGTTGTATCAAGAACCCTCTCATAACCGCTTTACTTGCGTCCCAGATTACTCTTTTTTCCACATTGGTATTCATATTTATCTCAAAATAGTCTCTCAAGGTTTTTTGGGCCTTCTTTAGCACTTCTACATCTCTAAATAAGGTGTCATTCATCCTCCATCTAAAGGAGCCAGTTGGTATTAGTTTCATTTCCATCTTGACAGCATTATGGTCGGAGCAAGTTTTCGGGCAGATTTCCGCTTTTCTTGTCTTTGGTGCCATTCCTCTAGTTACCCATATTTGGTCAATTCTAGTCCATGTCATTTTGGCTTCAGAAAAGAAGGTTCCCTCTTTAGCCATGGGGTTTCTTGTTCTCCAAATATCAACTAGATCCAAGTTGTCTGTCATCTCAAAGAAGGTTTTCGGTAGTCTACCATCCTTGGTGACTACCTGTCTTTGTGCCTTGTCCATATGTGTAGATACCACTCCATTCATGTCTCCCATCAAAATCATGTTATAATCCAAATAGTCCATCAGAGTCTCATGCAACTTCTTAAAAAAGTCAGATTTCCCCTCATTTGGTGCATAAATCCCTACTATCAAGAATTTTTCTCCTTGTGTCTGAATTTCAATTGCCACAAATCTTCCTTGGTCATCTTTAAAAATAAATTTCGGTAATAGTCTGTCCTTTGCATAAATCACAACTCCTCTTTTTTTTACTTTATCCGATGAGATAAACTCCTGACCAAGTCTTTTATTTATCAATAATTTCCTGTGTAACCTTGTTATATGTGTTTCTTGTAGGCAAATCAAGTCCAATTGTTCCTTTTTTAATAAATGAAACACAGATTTCCTTTTCTGGGGAGAGTTCAAACCATTACAATTCCAACTTAATAGTTGCAGGGCCATGATGTAATTATTTTGCTTCTCCTCCAACAGCACCCAGTGCCTGTTCCTGTTCCGTCGGTGGTATCACGTTTCTCAGGCGGTCTTTTAGTTCCAGAGATAGTCCTGGTGTGTCTAAAGTTTCACTTACAATTGCTCTTAACTCTCCTGTAACTTTCTTCTATAGGTCTTCTCCGTGGTCTCTCCAAAATTTGTCTTTGTCGTCTTCTGATCTTATTTTTATCTTCTTTCCTTTGTAGCTAAAGGATAGGCCTTGAGGAAATTCCCACCTAAAGATGATTCCGTTGCTTCTCAGCAGGGTGACCAAGTCTTTGTAATTAAACCTGAGATCCAGAAGATGTTTCGGAATATCCTTGAATATCTCCACTTTTGACTGTTGTATTTCCAAAGTCTTCTGGAAATGCAGACTCAGAATCTTGTCTCTCTCTTCTTTTGTTCGGAGGGTGATCAAACAGTCTCTCACCCTGTTCTTTCTCCCTCCTTTTCCAAGTCTAAAAGCACTCACTATCTTAAAACTATCTTTCCCCAAATCTGGGTTCCAAAAATCTAGAAATTCCTGCGTGAGAAATTCAACCAAATTGTCTTTCTCCACTTCAGGTACAGCCCTGACCCTTAAGTTCACTTGTTTCTCCTTCAACTCGATCATAGACAGAATTGACTTATGGTCTTCAAGTTGTTTATGTAGCGGTGGTATCTTCCCTTGAACCACTGTAGCAGTAGCTGTAGCAATTTCCCTAGCCTCTTCGGCAGTCTTACGTGTCGAAGCAGATTCCTGTAATAATTTCTGAATAGTTTCTGTATTAGTATTTACTTTCTGTCCCAAATTAGTGATACTTGCCGTATTTTGGTTAATACTTGTCGTATTTTGATCAATCTTATCCGATGCCTTGGCTACTTGTTTACTAATTCTATCCAAAGATTCATTAATTTTAGCTAGTGCCTGAGCCAGGGCATCGTCACTTGCCATACCTTTAGTTTTAGGTTGTGCCGATGAGGTTGCTGTTGGAACTCCGGGGGGGCCAGATGTCGAAGCCCTCCTTTGTAATCCACCGTCTGTGCGAAATACTCTGCCAGACCTTGTTGCTTGTAACAAATCTATCTTCTCTTTCCCATCTGCCATAACCCTCAAGATAAAACTCAAGGTCAGTCACACAGTCAGAGTCAAAGTTGTTTTGAAATGGAAAGTTCCGAGAAAAATGTTGTGGGAGATTTCCTCAGGCCAGCTGCAGTTGTAACTAGTTCCAAATTCCACTAGGGGGACACTGTAACAGTCATAAAGTTCTTAAAGTAATTTACTTCTCCCTGTAGTCCCCCAATTCACCAGAAAGACAACAATCTATCTCAGGCTGTTACTTTAAAACCAGGAGATACCTATCAGCAATATTGTAACCAAGTTGTATTTCAGATGCAGAGCTAGCTGTCAAAATACGTTCAAAGACAGTGCATTCTCTAGTAAGCTTCTTACTGACACTGGGAACCCGTTCCGGGCGTTTTGAGCGGTGGTTTTTGTCTCCTCTTCCTCTCTTTTTCTTAGGGAAACAACGTTCAAAGCTTCTTCCCCTCCTCCCCCAAATTGAAGGGGGGAAATCCCAGTTTGATGATCGGATTGTAATCCTTTTGCGCGTCTTTTAAAGCTTCCGCTTTCAAGTTCAATGCTTTGTTCTACAGTGGTGCCCCGCAAGACGAACGCCTCGCAAGACGAAAAACTCGCAAGACGAAAGGTTTTTTCGTTTTCGAGTTGCTTCGCAAGACGAATGTCCCTATGGGCTTGCTTTGCAAGACAAAAACGTCTTGCAAGTTTGTTTCCTTTTTCGTAAAACCGTTAAAACCCAGGGTGCATTGCTGGAAGAGGTGCAGTTGCGACTTGACCTTGAGGAGCAACACATTGCACGCGGTGTGGTGGCCTTTCTGAGCTTTTTAAAGAGTTTGCTGGATTTTTGAAGCTTTTCCAAAACTTCTTCTGCAGCTGTTTGGTAAGTTAAACTTTTGAAACTTTTTTTGGGTTTTTTGGATTTTGGGTTGGGGTGTTTAGAATTCAAGGACTTGGTGTTGGGGAGGGGTTTGCAAGAATCTGGGAGCTTGTGTGTCTTTTTTCTGCATTTTTATGATTTTCTGTGACCATTGGGCCATGTTTATTTTTTTTAAAAAAAAAATCTGGGTTTTGAATTTCTGAATTTCTGTGTGCTGGGTGGATGGGGGAACAGCTGGGGAGGGGTTTGCAAGAATCTGGGAGCTTGTGTGGTTTTTTTTGAATTTTTATGGTTTTCTGTGACCATTGGGCCATGTTTTTTTTTTTTTGAAAAAAATTTCTGGGTTTTGAATTTCTGTGTGCTGGGTGGATGGGGGAACAGCTGGGGAGGGGTTTGCAGGAATCTGGGAGCTTGTGTGGTTTTTTTTTGAATTTTTATGGTTTTATGTGACCATTGGGCCATGTTGTTTTTTTTTAAAAAATTTCTGGGTTTTGAATTTTGAATTTCTGTGTGCTGGGTGGCTGGGGAACACTTGAGGAGGGGTTTGCAACAGTTGGGGAGGGTTTGCAACAGTTGGGGAGGGGCTGGGGAACAGTTGAGTTTTTGAAGACTTTGGTGATTTTTAAAGCTTTCCCAAAACATCTTTTGCAGCCATTTAAGGATTTTGAAGACTTTGGTGATTTGCAGCCATTTCGTAAGTTAAACTTTTAAAACTTTTTGGGGGTTTTTGGATTTTGGGTTGGGTGTTTGGAATTCAAGGACTTGGTTCTGGGTTTGAATTGCTGATTTTTTTTCCTTTTTCTGAGTTTACAAAGGTAACAGCTGTGCTGCCATGGGACCCAAGAAGACTGCTGCTGCTGCGGAGGCCGGTGAGAGGAAGAAGAAGAAGGTGACGCTGGAGATGAAGAAGGAGATCATCCGGAAGCACGACGGTGGAATGCGTGTGACGGACCTCGCCAGGGAGTACGGCAGGAACCCATCGACCATCGGGACCATCCTGAAGATGAGGGAGAAGATCCTTGCGACTGATGCAGCCAAGGGAGTCACCAGGATCGTGAAGAACCGCCCAGCTGTTCTGGAGGAGGTCGAGAAGTTGCTGCTCATCTGGTTAGAAGAGAAGCAGCGTGCAGGGGACACAGTGACTGAGGCCGTCATTTGTGAGAAGGCCAAGGCCTTGCACGCAGACCTCATCCGGGAACAGCCAGGAACCTCGGCCGAGCCAGAAGTCTTCAAGGCAAGCAGAGGCTGGTTTGACCGGTTCAAGGCAAGATCCGGAATCCACAGCGTGGTCAGGCATGGAGAGGCTGCCAGTTCTGATGTTCCTGCGGCTGAAGACTTTGCCTTGGAGTTCCTGGAGGTTGTGAAGACGGAGGGCTACGTTCCACAGCAGGTCTTCAACTGCGACGAGACCGGGCTGTTTTGGAAGAGGATGCCCAAAAGGACTTTCCTCACACAGGAGGAGGCCAAGTTGCCTGGCCATAAGCCCATGAAGGACCGTCTGACCCTGCTCTTCTGTGCCAACGCAAGCGGCGACCTGAAGATCAAGCCCCTGCTGGTGTACCACTCGGAGAACCCACGGGCCTTCAAGAAACACAAGGTCGACAAGGAGCGGCTGAGTGTCATGTGGCGATCCAACAGCAAGGCTTGGGTCACACGTGTGCTGTTTGTGGACTGGGTCAATCTTGCCTTTGGCCCTGCTGTCAAACAGTACCTGCTGGACAACGACCTGCCGCTGAAGGCTTTGCTTCTGATGGACAATGCTCCTGCTCATCCTAAAGGCCTTGAGGTGGACTTGTTGGAGGAGTTCAGCTTCATCAACATCATGTTCCTGCCGCCTAACACCACGCCACTGCTCCAGCCGATGGATCAGCAGGTCATCGCCAATTTCAAGAAACTCTACACCAAGGAGCTTTTCAGGCGATGCTTCGAGGTGACTGATTGCACCACCATCACCCTGCGGGAATTCTGGAAGGACCACTTCGACATCGTCACCTGCTTGAAGATGATCACCACGGCCTGGAACGGGATCAGCCAGAGAAATTTGAATTGCGCTTGGCGCAGCCTGTGGCCGGACTGTGTGGCACCAAGTGACTCTGATGCACCAGAGTCGACAGTGGTGCAGGACATTGTTGCCTTGGGGAGGACCATGGGCCTGGAGGTCACAGAGGAGGATGTCTGCGAGCTGGTGGAGGAGCACGACCACGAGCTGACCACCCAGGAGCTGGTTGAACTGCAGTCAGAGGTTGCGCAGGAGCAGGCCTCGCTGGAAGAGGAGGAAGCAACTGAGGAACGGCCGTCCTCCAAAGAACTGAGGGACATTTGCCAGAAGTGGAAGGAGGTGCAGGCTTTTGCAGAGCGGCACCACCCTATCAAGCACGTGGCACATGACCAAGCGAACACTTTTGATACGACGGTCATGTTGCCTCTCAGGGAGCTGCTGAAAAGGCGGATGAAGCAGCAGACCATGGACAGGTTCCTCAGCAAGAAGCAAAGAGTGGAAGAGGAACCTTCTTCGAGTGGTCCCCCAGAGTCTTAGAAAATGTAATGTACCCTTTTTGGATTTTTAAATGTTTTTCCTGTCATGTTTAGAAACTTAATTTATTGTTCCTTCAATTTTTGATATGCTCTTTAAAGTATGTGTGACTTTAAAGAGCAGTTAATAAACTCTTGTTGTACCAAATTTGGCTTTAATTGGACTTTTTTTGACCATAGGAACGCATTAATTGAATTTCAATGCATTCCTATGGGAAACCATGCTTCGCAAGACGAAAAATTCGCTAGACGAAAAAACTCGCGGAACGAATTAATTTCGTCTTGCGAGGCACCACTGTATTTACAAGAGCGGAAGGCAGACTTCCTTTTTATACCTCTCCGCTTCGGTAGCCAATTTTGTACAGTTCCTTTAATTATAAAGTTATCCTACTCACGGATCATTGTTTTCGGAGCCAAATTGTCAAGGAAAAAGGCAGCGCTCTCCGGCAACAGCTGCGCGGCTTCACTCCACAGAAGAAGCAGACGACTCACAGCACAGCGCCACTTCCCCGCTCTGTTCCGGAGCCCGTTGCCGGGTTCCTTTGCAGATTGGGGGGGGCGCAGACAGTGCCCGCCGAGCCCCAGGGTCACAGGCTTCACCCGCCTGTGATTTAAGGGGTCCCCGCTGCGCCGAAGCGGTGTCGGACCCGATTTCTGTGGAGCAGGTTCCCTCCGAATCAGAGGGAATCCGCCATTACCGTTGGTGCCACCTCCGGAAGTCTCCTAGGGCTGTTTTTAAATGTCCCAACGCTGCCTGGCACTGGTCCCTCCAAATGCTCTTGTCTGGCTGGTCTTTCTTCACCCAGTCATGTCAAGGAGCAGCATGGGGGCTAAAAGGAGGAATAAATGGAGGACAATATCCCACTCCCCCCAGAAAAGCTCTTCTTTCTCTTTCTGTGGAGGGTCTAGGCCCCTCTTGAAGGACCTTTACCTTGCTCCAATCAGGTTGTATATTTCCACCCCTTGGGACGGGACCGAAATATTTGACTTGCCTCATTTTGAAAACTGGCATTTTGAAACTTTGACCATTAGGCCTGCACACCATCAGCTTTTACAGTGGTACCTCGGGTTAAGTACATAATTCGCTCTGGAGGTCCACATGTAACCTGAAACTGTTCTGGGGCCTCCTGAAACTGTTCATGTGCCGCCAGAACATGATTTCTGTTCTCATCCTGAAGCAAAGTTCTTAACCCGAGGTACTATTTCTGGGTTAGCGGAGTCTGTAACATGAAGCGTCTGTAACCCGAGGTACCACTGTACATACTTTACATTTGCTGAGGCAAAATCTCCACCCCCAACATTGCTTGCGGCAGTTCTGCCCTCGCCTTAATCTCCTCCATTTTGAAAGGAAGCATCTCTTTTTCATGGGCCATCTTGGCCTCCCTGTCTCTTTCTTCTTGGGCTCATCTCTCTCTCTCTCTCTCTCTCTCTCTCTCTCTCTCTCTCAGCCTGTATCTCTGCTAGATGAAGGGCAGCTGCCATTCTGGCCTCTTCTCTTTCTTTCTCTGCTTCAACCTTAGACAATTCCAATCTTAGCCTCATCATCTCTAATTCAATATATTAGGATTCTCCTCAGACGCAGCAGCTGGGTCATCCTGAGTCTCTTTGGCTTGGCGCTTGCTGGTCATTTTCTGACAGGAATTTTTTCTCTTTTTAATCAAAGAACTTCACTCCTTTATTAAACTGGTTGTTCTGTGTCTCTGGGTACGTTTCTGTGTGGGTTTTAACTCGTATCACGGCTCTTTTCCCCCCGGCACCCTTGGGCCTGCCCTTCAGGGTTGTCGTTTTGAGACCCCACTTCCTCCCTGGGTTTCCAATTATTACTTTTTCTGGAAGGGACTGAGTATTACTGCTCCCCCTGAGTCTCCTTTGATTTCATCTCCCAAGGTAGAGACTTCAGTTACTGTTTTCAGCCTAAATGAGCAGGAACCTCTTGGAAACATTGCTCTAAACTGATCAGCTGTTTGAGCTCATCTAACTTTCCTCCCATCTGTCCAGAGTTTTGTCAATTCGGCTACCCAGTTGGGCCTAAGTCTCTCCTGGTTTCCTTTTAATTTCACGAAAGGCTTTTTGGCTTTGTTCTGCAGTCAGTCCAAAGCTCACTTTCACTCTCTCTTTAAATGTGATGGAATCAGAGGTTTCATCCTCTCTGAGATCTGAGTATATTTCACTCAAAATTCCACATATCTGTGGGCGTAAGTGCAGCGTCCAGTTCTCCTCATGAATGTTTAAGTCTGCCAATCCGCTCAAAACTAAATAGGATCTGTGTGGGTTTTAACTTCATATCCCACCTCTGCCCTCAATTAATATGCGAAGACGCAAGGGCTCTTTTCCCCCCGGCAGCCTTGGGCCCGTTCTCTCTCTTAAATATAGTGCACCCACCTCACAGAACACAATTTCCACAAATGCCCTCCAACTACGTCGGATTATCTTGTGGGGGACTTGCGTGAGGTAAAACTTACTAATTGGGAGTCTCAGGCAGGATTTCTTCAAATAAACATTAACGATTTTATTTAACAAGGAAGTTTATGACACGAGTGGATAAAACGTAGGATATTTCAGTTTACAATGTTATTTCCCTTCAAGGTTTTCTCAGTTGTTTCTCACGTAATACTTTGGTTCTTAACAAGGTGGCACTTTCTGCCAGTTACACACCCCTTGGACAACCCTACTCCCAAGGTACTCCAAGCCAAAGACCCAAGGGATCTCTGGTTTGGGAGTCTTCTCTTTCTAGAAGGATCTCTCCCCTCCTGACTGGGATGAGCCAGCAGCCGGTCTCTTCCAGCTCCTCCTTCTCCTGGCTCAGCCTCCCAGTTCATTCCTGGCCTGATTTACTCTCCCAGGACACCACACACTGTCCTTCCCACTAAGCTCAGAGACTCCTTTCTCTAGCTGGTGATCTTTTCCTCAGAGTGGATGTTTCCACCCAGAACCAGCTCCTTTCACTCCCCATCTTCCCCACCTCCCTCCAAAGCTCCTAGCCATGAGCTCTTAGTCTGTCTGCTAAACCACATGGGGTGTCTTTGGGTGTAATAATAATAATAATTTATTATTTATACCCCCGCCCATCTGGCTGGGCCTCCCCAGCCACTCTGGGCGGCTTCCAAAAAAATATTAAAATACTGTAATACATCAAATATTTAAAGCTTCCCTAAACAGGGCTGCCTTCAGATGTCTTCTAAAAGTCTGGTAGTTGTTGTTCTCTTTGACATCTGCTGGGAGGGTGTTCTACCACTGAGAAGGCCCTCAGCCAGAAGGCCCTCGGCGCTGGACCTCAGTGTCCGGGTAGAATGATGGGGGCGGAGACGCTCCTTCAGGTACACTGGGTTGAGGCCATTTAGGGCTTACAAGGTCAGCACCAACACTTTGAATTGTGCTTGGAAATGTCCTGAGAGACAGTGTAGGTCTTTCAAGACGGGTGTTATATGGTCTCAGTGGCCGCTCCCAGTCACCAGTCTGGCTGCCACATTCTGGATTAGTTGTAGTTTCCAGGTCACCTTCAAAGGTAGTCCCACATAGAGCACATTGCAGTAGTCCAAGCGGGAGATAACCAGGGTATGCACCACTCTGGCGAGGCAGTCTGCAGGCAGATAGGGTCTCATCCTGCGTACCAGATGGAGCTGGTAAACAGCTGCCCTGGACACAGATTTGACCTGTGCCTCCATGGACAGCTGTGAGTCCAAAATGACTCCCAGGCTGCGCACCCGGTCCTTCAGGGGCACAGTTGCCCCATTCAGGACCAGGGAGTCCTCCACACCCGCCCGCCTCCTGTCCCCCCAAAACAGTACTTCTGTCTTGTCAGGATTCAATCTCAATCTGTTCGCCGCCATCCATCCTCCAACCGCCTCCAGACACTCACACAGGACCTTCACCGCCTTCACTGATTCTGATTTGAAAGAGAGGTAGAGCTGGGTATCATCCGCATACTGATGAACGCCCAGCCCAAACCTCCTGATGATGTCTCCCAGTGGCTGCATGTAAATGTTGAAAAGCATGGGGGAGAGGACAGAACCCTGAGGCACCCCACAAGTGAGAGCCCACTCATCCCCCACCACCACTTTCTGAACACGGCCCAGGAGGAAGGAGCGGAACCACTGTATGACAGTGCCCCCAGCTCCCAGCCCCTCAAGACGCTCCAGAAGGATGTTATGGTCGATGGTGTCAAAAGCCGCTGAGAGATCCAGCAGAACTAGGACACAGCTCTCACCTTTGTCCCTAGCCCGCCGGAGATCATCAACCAGTGCGACCAAGGCAGTTTCAGTCCCATGATGAGGCCTGAATCCCGACTGGAAGGGATCCAAATGGTCCGCTTCTTCCAGGCGTGCCTGGAGTTGTTCAGCAACCACTCGCTCAATCACCTTGCCCAAGAATGGAAGATTTGAGACTGAGCGATAGTTGGCCATCGTGGCCGCATCTAAAGATGGTTTTTTAAGAAGCGGTTTAATAACCGCCTCTTTTAGCAGGTCTGGGAAGGCTCCCTCACGGAGGGAAGCATACACCACCCCACGAAGCCCATCGCCCAGCCCTTCCCGGATAGCTTTTATAAGCCAGGATGGGCAAGGATCCAGGAGACAGGTGGCTGGCTTCACTTGTCCAAGCAGCCTGTCCACATCCTCGGAGGTAACCAATTGGAATTGATCCCACGCAATTTGACTAGACAGGACTCTAGCACTCTCCTGCCCCGGCCGTGCTCCCACGGTGGAGTCTACCTCTTCTCGAATCTGAGTGACTTTATCTGCAAAAAACTTTGCAAAATCATTGCAGGAGATCATGTGGCCCGTACTGGGCCCTGATGTCGCAGGTGGTTCCGCTAAATTGTAAACCACCTGAAAAAGTCTCCTGCTGCTGTTTGAGAGGCAGTGTGGTGTAGTGGTTAAGAGCGGTAGTCTCGTAATCTGGGGAACCGGGTTCGCGTTTCCGCTCCTCCACATGCAGCTGCTGGGTTGTTATGATATGAGTACTACGCAGCTGCGAACAAGCAGTTCGATCTTTACATCACATGATGGGTCTAAGCGTGGGACAGGATGTTCCAGGCGATTCTCAGGGTTATGTACTCTGTGTAATATGAGACCTTCCTGTTGTTTGTGTCCAGGAGGACTTTCTCAGTTGCTCGGAGGATTCTGAGTGAGCAGACATGTTTTTGTACAGTGTACAGTCAGGAATAAAATAGAGATGAAGTAGACCACTTTCTGACTGTTTTCTTTCTCCTGCTGCTATGCAAGGGGGAAGGGGGTGTGCACCTTTCATCAGGGAGGTGTCGCCTATTCAGATCTCCCTGGTCTGCCAGGATGCCAGCCAGGGTAGGTTACCGGCAACAGGCCCCGACAAGCCTGGGAAGAGGAGCCAGCCTTTCCCGAGGGGGCCAGTTTCCAACATGGGTGACCTTGGGCTAGACACACTTCTTTGAAGTCTCTCAGCCCCACTCACCTCACAGAGTGTTTGTTGTGGGGGAGGAAGGGAAAGGAGAACGTTAGCCGCTTTGAGACTCCTTAAAGGAAGTGAAAGGCGGGATATCAAATCCAAACTCTTCTTCTTCTTTCTGCAGATGCAATAGAGGCGGCAAAGAAAGTCTTCTTCGCCGTCGCTATCGCCCCTTGGTAGGCTCAACGTAGAGCTCTAACCTGTGTCCGGTCAGATTCGGAATGGGTCATCCACCACCGGCGCTCTAGCCATCTCAACAATTGTTTCATTGCCCTCAGATCCGTGGAAAACCACGGGGCTGTCCGGGCTCCATGCAATCGGAGAGGGCGCTTCGGAGCCAAACAGTCAATAGCCCTGGTTAACTCCACATTCCAGCGGGCCACCAGGGAATCAGCTGAAAGGCCATCAACATGGGATGAAGCATCCCCTACCACTCTCTGGAAACTATTTGGATCCATTAAGTGGCGGGGGCGGACCATCCAAATCAGTCCCACCTCCCTGCAGAGGGGAAGGGTCACAGAGGGCACTTCTTTTGTTTCGCTTTTACTTAGTGTCAGATCACCAACATCCATAGAGGTAAACACCAGGTCCAAGGCATGTCCGCGGCTATGGGTTGTGCCAGACTTATTCAGGGACAGCCCCATGGAGGCCATGCTTTCCACGAAGTCCCGAGCGGCCCCTTGTAAGGTCGTGTTGGCATGGATGCTAAAATCCCCTAGGACAACCAAGCTAGGTGTCTCCAGGAGAACATCCGCACAACCTGAAGCAGCTCAGGCAGGGAATCCTTGATGCAGCGTAGGATATTCTCCTAGATGCAGTGTAGGATATTCTCCTAGATGCAGTGTAGGATATTCTCCTAGGTGCCCCAACCTGCCACTTCCCCTGAGCTTATTGCAGCCTGATGGCAACAAACAGGTGTGTGTGTCCTGTTTGTTGGCAAGTAAAGCAACACCCCCCTGGTCGGATGGAGGGACTCGCCTCTTGAATGGTGGAAAGGACCATCCAGCCACGTAGCTGGTCAGGGGCCCAGGTCCCTCCTGAATCTTCTTCCGAGGGTCTCAGGATGGGTGATGAATTTCGGGGAATTGGATTGGCAGGCAGTGCCCCTCTGCATTTGTCCCTGCCCTGCCCTGCCCCAGCGCATCATGGCCCTCGGAAGCCACTCCTGAGAGGACCTGTTCTCCTCCCCAGCCTCCCTTTGATTCCATGGGCCTTTCAGAGTGGGACCTCCCTTTTCCCCACTCTCTCTCTAGGACACCTGGCTCACAACAAGGCCAGCTTGACTTCCCAATGTTCCTGTAAGTGAGGAGAAAATGCTTGCCATTTCTGTTTGCCACTGTGCAGTGCCTTGGAGTCCCAAGACTCTGTTTACATTCCACACATTCCATACTGTTGGAAGTCTCACGGGAGACGGATGGGACATTCGTGGTTTCCTGTTCCTTTGTTCCTTTGTTGTTCAGTTGCTCTCTGCTCTCACAGAGAGGGGATGTATTTTTCTGCCTGCGTAGCTAGATAATAAAACTCCTAGCAATGTAGCCCAAACCTCTCGTCTCTTCCCTGTGCTGGAAACTCTGCTGAATGGGGAATGTGCATGGAGCCTTATCGGATGCTCAGGTCGTCAATCACGTTGAGGCGATTCCAGAAGATGAGCTTTATCAGCTCAGTCGAACGGAGATCCCCAGAGGAACTACCAGGGAAGAAGTTCCATTGAACTCAGTGCAATGAGTTCTGGGCAGACCTGCAGAATTCTCCAGTTCTAGGATTCCACGACACCCCAGATCACTCTCTGTATCTGGGAAAGGACTGCACCAGAGCTGTAAAGTCACTGGGGGGGGGGGGAGAGGAGACAAGAAGAGCAAGCTTTCTCTTGGCTAAAAACCAAACACCCCAGAAGGAGCAGGAAAGGCCCAGAGGGGGAGAGGCTCTGCAAGGACATCTCCCTGGGGGGCCTTTTCCTCGCCAGGCTCTCCGGGCACCAGATAGGCTTTCATTTTGATGCCAAGGACACCCTGAAAGGACTTAGACCAGTCATGACGTGAAGGAGGCTTTGAAGGAATAAATCATAATTTGGGTCAGCGCTCCTCCTCCTCCTCCTGTGCATCTGGCCAGAGCCATGGCTGCTTTCCTGAGGCCTTTCCTCTGCTTCTGCCCCCATGAAGGTTCCCTGATGGGAGGCTGTGGGGGCTGCAGACAGGCCAGCCCTTCAAGAGCAAAAGGGGGCCATCTTGGAGGGGGGTAGGCATAATATTAAGCCTTACTGAGAGCGTCCGAAATCCCCCGATTCTCCTCCGTGACTTCCTTATGGAGGGCTCTGTGGTCAGGATCCAGCAATGCCCATTCCACGTCTGTGAAATAGAAGGCTACATCTTCAAAGCACACTGGACCCTAAAAGAAAAAGGTGAACTGTTACACTTTGTTGTTTTCTGCCTCTTAATTGATGTTCTGTATTAACTGGATTTTTTTCCTGCACATTTTATGGATGCATATTTTGATGTGTTAATGGAATTACCGGTATTCATTGTGTATTTTAATGAAGGGCATTAAGAAACTGGTGTTCTTCAAATCATTCTTCTAATCCTGTGCACAGACATTCCCGTTTGCCACATGGAAGGATCCCTTCTTCTGTCCCTCTGTGCCGTTCTTGCCGGGTGGGGAGTGTTGGGATCCCAGAATGCTGTGTGAGATAGTAAGTCTGCAGGCTTGAGTCTGCTAGCTGATGCAACTGGCTGATGCAATCGGCCTGCAATACTTTCTATGCAAGTGCAGGGTCAGAATGATGTGGGTCAGAATAATGTGCTGTCAGTTGATTGGCTGTCCTTGGCTTAAAAGGGAAACCTGTCCAGCAGTAAAGGTGGTGGTGCAGAGGAGTGTGGTCAGAGAGAGAGAGTCTTCCTCTTTGCCTTAAGGTGCAGCCAGGTACTCCGTTTGACTGTATGAACTGCTTGTGTATTATAGCCTGTAGATATTTGTATATATAGAGCTCACAATAAATATACTGCACTGAAGAACCTGGAACTCTAAGCATTTCTGCTAAAGCGCCGCAAAGATTTCGCGACAGGGAGGACCCTCCTGAAGCCCTATAGACATCTCCAAGGTGCGCAGGGGAATGAGAGGGGGAAAGCCCCACTGTGGGACTGATGGGGTGAATCCTGGCCACTCTTTGGTATGGTGTGTGAACTGCTTAGAAGCCTATTTGAGCCTTCAATCCTCCTTCCTTGGCGGTTCCTCCCGCCATTCCTCTGTGTCCACCAGTCCATGACATCCTCTCTCCCCACATGGCCCCTTCCTCCTACCTGCTCTGGGTCCACAGGGGCAGCTTCCCCTCCGCCACCAAGAAAAGATGGACAAGCAGGTCTTGCTGGCATCGTTCCGCCTCCTGCGAGAGAAGAAGGTAAGTGGGAAGCCAAGAGCGCATGCTTCACTCCGAAGGAAAACTACAGGTGCGCCTTCAAACAAGGAGGAGTTGCCACGTAAATGTGGACGTTTGCACCCATTTGACATACTAGAGTGCAAAAACACATCTCTCTTTCTCTGGGCTCTTGGTCCTCTGTGAATTCTCCAATAAGATGAAAAGAAATCACAGATTAGTTTCAGAATCCACAAAATGTGACCCAACAGAGAAAGAACTCCTTCCTCCTTACCCAGAGGCCTCTCTCTGGAGTCCAAGGGAGTCTTCTCTGTCTCAGAGGAATCCGGACCCATTTCTGCTAACAGATCCTTGCCCTGAGAGAGCAACAAGGATTCAAGAGAGAGTGGGGAGAAGGATTAGAAAAGGAGCAGCTGATGCAAACACTTTAGGGCTGTCCAATATCATTCCTTGGATGCTTTCCAAAAAAGGATGGGCAAATTAGTAGAGAATTGGGGGATACTCTCCCTCCTCTTCTAGAGTTGGCTGCAAATCTCTCGGGGTCCTTTGGCCTCCTGGGAGCAGAACTGCCTCAAATGCTGGCTCTGCACCTCTGAGCAGAGGGTGTCCTCCTGACCCAGGTTCTTCCTCACAGTGTTTTCCCAGAATCCCCCGCTGCTCCCATGTTGGATGGCATGGCCTCTTCCTGCTTCAGGGCCAGCTGAGTCTTGCTCATCCATCTCTGTTCCCAGGAGATCGGAAGGAGTCCCTAGGTCTTCTGCCAAGTTCTGCCTGTCCTAATGAGAGGTGCCAGAGAATCCTGTAAAGCAAATGCATTCTTCTACTACCAGATTGATACACAGTCAGGAGAAGAGAAATGTTCCCTGGGCCAGCATGGATGAGTCTGAATCACAGCCCAGACTCGGAGTTCAAGCACCATATTCCCATATTCTGAAGACAGACTTCTGTCTTTGTTCTGAGGGCAACTCTCTCCCCTTCAGAAGCATGGCTGCCTCCCACTGGGGGGCCTGGAGCCATCGCTAGCCCTCTGCTCCTCCCTGAATGGGCCTCATCCTCTTCTCAAGCCATCTCTTCCTCCTGTGGCAGGGAGTTCCATGGGTCTAACTGCGCACTGGGAGATGGAAGGACTTTGTTTAGCACAGAGGCCAAGTTTTTATTTCTGCCTCCAGATGTTTCCATCTGGCTGCCACCTGGGCTAAGGAACGTGGCTGATTCCTCAATCACATCAGGGTTCCTTTGCAGGCCCTTTTCTTCATGACTCAGTGACCCCTCACCAAAGGAGCAAGACAAGAGTTGCAGACCTCCTGTTACTTGCAGCCTCCCTGGCTTGGGGATCCCCTTGCAGGAGCTGAGCAGATTCCCCATGGATCCCCATCATGACTCCCTGGCCCTCATGGCTGTTCTTCTGAGCCCTTGCAAAGCGGAGCTCTCCCTGCTCCCTTCTCTCTCTCAGAAGCCAGGGCCCCAGAGGGGTCTTCTTGGGGGGACCCTCCCCTGCAGCCCTGGGACCCCCCCATCTCCCCAAGGCAATTCACCGGATCCCAGAAGGCGCCCCCAGGCAGCACTTGTGGAGCAGAGAGACAAAAGCCCGGATGGGGCGGAGCTTGTGCTCTGGGGAGCCTATTCCTCTCTAGGAAGCCAGCTCGGTGCCCCTTGACCCTTTTGCTGGTCCCTCTCTGCCTGCGGAGGAGCCCCGGGCGTGGCGCAGGTGCAGAGCTGCTCCATCAGGGGACTTTGGGGGCCTGGCGAGCTTCTCCCTCCGCGGGGAACAGATTTCTGTACATCTCAAGAGCAACAAGAATGTATTCCTTCCCACCCTTTGCTTGAGAAGTAAAACTCTGCAAGGGTTTGGCTCCAGGGTCCCTTGAGAGAGAGTTGGTTCCGACTCCCTGAGCAAAGAGGAAGGAAAAGGGGGTCCTGCAAGGAGAGGATGAGGGGAAGACCCCATTTGCTAGGGGTGGGGGAGAGGGATTGGGCTCCCAGGTCAAGAGAGCACCTTGTATCCTGGCACTGAAAAGACACCCCCCCACACACACTTTGTGGCATCTCCTTTTGGCAAAGGGTCAAAACATAGTTCCAACTTGAAAACCACCTCCAGGACCAGGCACCCTCAATGGGCTTTGCACTACAACTCCCAACCGGGCCTGCCAGCAGAAGGCAGGGGGGATGAAAACAGCCGCCCAAAAGGTCCGGCCAGCTCCAGAGGCGACCCAAGGCTGCTCTCCAACGGGGCGCTGCTCCAGGCATCTGAGTTGCCCAGCTCAAGGGAGCTGGCGGGACTAAGAACTGGGGTTCCTGAATTGCAGGGGTTGGACTAGATGAGCTTGGAGTGTCCTCTTCCAGGATTCCTCATCTGGCTGCCAATGCCACGGCTGGAATGTCTCCCAAAACTGCCCCCCCTTTCACAAGGAGCTCTTCCTCCCCCCCCGTGTCTTAAACTACCCTTTGACTGGCAACCATCTCGAATCTCCTTGCTGGACAATCCCAACCAAAGATGCTTTAGATTCTCTGAAATCTACTCAGGAGTCCTGTAGTGATTTCATGCTCTTTATTGCAGCTTGTAAAACAGTGACTTAATTGCCCCCAAACCTCAGGCTGTTATATACATTATTTACACAATTAGTCCCATCTGATTGGCTGATTCTGCTTCCCTCCTGGAGCCTGATTGGTCTTTTCCTGCAGGCCAATCAGTTGTTGCATTCTAGGATCCTACTTGCCATTTGTTCTAGGATCCAAGCTTAGTACATAACCCCCCTCCCCTCGAAGTTCCCGTTGCGCCCAGAAGGTTAGCATTCCTAGTCGTTGAGATATGCCGGTCACCTATGTATGTCTTGTGGTCTTGGGTGTCTCTCAGTACGGGTTCCCGGTTCTTGCTCTTGTTCCAGTGCTGCCGGCTGTGACGGGGTCGTTGGGTTGGACGCCGCTGGTCCACTCGGTTGTGGTTCTGGTTCCTGTGGCTGCTTGGCCTCGGTCACTTCTGGACTTCCTAGTTCTGCCTCCCTTACCCGCTCCTCCTGCGGGTTTTCCTCAAAACAGGGTGGGGGTTAGAGAGGGCTTAGTCTTCCAAACAACCCTTTATCCATTAGTTAGTAAACAAGCTTCCCAGTGCAAGGAGAGGAAAGCAGACCTCTGAGCCCAGCCTGGCCCCCCACCAAATTCTGCCCGCCTGCCTTGAGGCCCCAAGATGGGTGGAGGAAGGCCTGGAGGGCAGCTGCTGGCTGGGACTTTGATTGGGGTAGGGTGGGGGCACAGGGAGAGGGAGACAGGAAGACCGGCCAGGGGGTGGCACTGGGGGGATTTATTCACATTGGTTTTCTACCCAAAAACCACCACCCCGGCTGTGAGGAGGGTGGCGCCTCCTCCATGAATTCCTCTTCCACTCCCAGCCTCTCCGCTCAAACCTTTGCTAAAATCCTGCTCTCCTCCCTCCTCTCCGTCTCAGAGGCTGGGCTTTCTGTCTCATCTCAAGAACCGCCAAAGCGCCCGCAATTGCCTCTTATCTTCCACCCAAACCGTCCACATCAATCCTAAGCGTCTCCTGTTCTGATTTCCATTTTTTGTCTTCTTTTCCAGCTTTTCAGACTTCTCCCTTCCTTCCTTTCTTGGAGATACCTAGTGCTTCTGTTTTCTTTGTCAGTGTCTCTACTTTAGTGGTCAAATTTGTTTGTTTGTTTTTTTAATGATATTTATTAGAGTTTCACATGAAAAAAACATCTTAATAATAATAATAATAAAAAAGGAATTTTAAAAATGGAAAGAGAAAACACCATACAAAGTACAAAATACAAAATACAAAAAGAAAAAAGAAAAAACAGTTAAAAACAATTCCATCTTTTCATCACAACTTTTACATTTACTTATTTCCCGGACCTCCTCATACCTCCCTCTTTTGTATTCCAGTTCAATTTGTTTGTCCAGCAATTCCTTTCCCTCCTTTTTAATCCCATCCTTAATCTTAATATAATATAACATTAAATTTTAATCTAATAAAAACCAATTTTCCATTTCTTTTGACTTTTTTTGTCCTAATCCTTACTCTTAATCTATATATAACTTTAAAGCCTGTACAGCTAGAAGCCACTTAATTTCAATCCAACATCACTCTAACATTCTTTAATTTTGCAATATTTCTGTAAATAGTCTTTAAATTTCTTCCAATCTTCTTCCACCGACTCTTCTCCCTGGTCACGGATTCTACCAGTCATTTCCGCCAATTCCATATAGTCCATCAATTTCATCTGCCATTCCTCCAGTGTGGGTAGCTCTTGTATCTTCCAATACTTTGCGATAAGTATTCTTGCTGCTGTTGTGGCATACATAAAGAAAGTTCTATCCTTTTTTAACACCGATTGGCCGACTATGCCCAGGAGAAAGGCCTCTGGTTTCTTCAAGAAGGTATATTTAAATACCTTTTTAATTCATTATATATCATTTCCCAGAAAGCCTTAATCTTTGGGCACGTCCACCAAAGGTGAAAAAATGTACCTTCAATTTCCTTACACTTCCAACATTTATTATCAGGCAAATGGTAGATTTTTGCAAGCTTGACTGGGGTTATGTACCACCTGTATATCATTTTCATAATATTCTCTCTTAGGGCATTACATGCCGTAGATTTCATGCCTGTGGTCCATAACTGTTCCCAGTCAGCGAACATAATGTTGTGTCCAACGTCTTGTGCCCATTTAATCATAGCAGATTTCACCGTTTCATCCTGAGTTTCAGCAGCAAGTTATACATTCTTGACAAATTCTTAGTTTTGGGTTCTAACAGTTCTGTTTCTAATTTTGATTTTTCCACCTGGAAGCCAATTTTCTTGTCCAAATTAAATGCCTCCATTATCTGAAAATAATGAAGCCAGTCTCGCACTTTGTTTTTTAATTTTTCAAAACTCTGCAATTTCAGTCTATCTCCATCTTGTTCCAAAATTTCCCAATATTTCGGCCATTCAACCTCCATATTGAGCTTTTTCAAGGCTTTCGCTTCCATTGGTGACAGCCACCTTGGAGTTTTGTTTTCCAATAAATCCTTGTATCTTATCCAAACATTAAACAGTGCTTTCCTGACAATGTGATTTTTAAATGCTTTATGTGCTTTGACCTTATCATACCACAGATATGCATGCCATCCAAATACATTGTTAAAACCTTCTAGGTCCAAAATGTCAGTGTTTTCAAGAAGCAGCCATTCTTTCAACCAGCAAAAAGCTGCTGATTCATAATAAAGTTTGAGGTCTGGCAGGGCAAATCCACCTCTTTCCTTTGCATCCGTTAGTATTTTAAATTTTATTCTGGGCTTCTTGCCCTGCCAGACAAATTTAGAAATATCTTTCTGCCACCTCTTGAAACAATCCATTTTGTCCACAATTTGCAAAGTTTGAAACAAAAACAACATTCTAGGCAATACATTCATTTTTACCGCGGCAATACGGCCCAGCAGTGAAAGCTTCAAATTTGACCAAATTTCTAGATCTTTTTTCACTTCAGGCCAACATTTTTCATAGTTATCTTTAAATAAATTCTCATTTTTTGCTGTCATGTTAATCCCCAGGTATTTAACTTTCTTAACCGCTGTTAAACCTGTCGCATTCTGAAACCTCTCTCTCTCCATTGGTGTTAGATTTTTTCTCTAAAACCTTAGTTTTTAACTTGTTCAATTTAAATCCTGCAACCTGACCAAATTCTTGAATCAGTTCTAAAACCCTTTTGGTACTAGATTCTGGCTCCTGTAACGTCAGTACTAAATCATCTGCAAATGCTCTCAATTTGTACTGTTTAGCTCCGACCTGTATGCCTTTAACCAACTGGTCCCTTCTAATCATGTTCAGCAAAACCTCCAGGACCGAAATAAAAAGTAGTGGGGAAATTGGGCAACCTTGTTATGTCCCTTTTTCTATTTTAAGTTCTTCCGTCACCACATTATTTACAATTAATTTAGCCTTTTGTTCTGAATAAATTGCACTTATACCATTTTCAAAGCCTTGGCCTACCCCCATACCCTGTAGGTTCTTCTTCATAAAGCTCCAAGAAATATTGTCAAAAGCTTTCTCCGCATCCACAAATATCAAAACTGCTTTAGTATTTATATTCACTTCTAGTTTTTCCAGAATATCAATTATATTCCTCAAGTTGTCAGACAAATGTCTTCCTGGGAGAAAGCCTGCTTGATCTTTATGAATCTCTTCCATCAACACTTTTTTAAAACTCTTAGCCAAAATGTCTGCAAAAATATTGTAATCCACATTGAGTAATGATATGGGGCGGTAGTTCTTAAGCTGTGTCTTTTCAGTCTCTGTTTTCGGTACAAGTGTAATATATGCTTCTTTCCACGACTCTGGTGCTCTTTACCCCTCCATTATTTCATTACAGACCTCTTTCAAAGGTTGTATTAACCATTCTTTCAAGGATCTGTAATATCTAGAAGTCAATCCATCCGGTCCTGGAGACTTACCCAACTGCATATTTTGGATGGCACCTTCTATCTCCTGTTCAGTTATTTTATAGTTCAACATTAGTTTATTTTCTTGAGAGATTTTTTGTAATCCATTTGTTTGCAAAAATTGATCTATATCAGTTTCTTTCAGTGGCCCTTGTGTATATAGTTGTTTAAAGTACCTCTGGAAGCAATTTCTAATCTCAGCTGGGTTCTGTATATTCCTTCCTTCCACTTCTAAATTCGTAACTGTATTTAATTTTTGTCTTTTTTTCATTTGCCAAGCCAACAGTTTCCCACATTTGTTAGCCGACTCAAATGTCTTTTGTCTCATTTGTTTAATTTTCCATTCTATTTCCTGATTCATCATTTTCATATATTGTACTTGATGTAACTTTAATTCTCTCAAAATCTCTTGAGATTTTGGATTTGTTCTCAATCTTTTTTCACTTTCCTTTATTTTCTCCAATATCTTATCCTTCTTCTCATTTTGTTTTTTTTTTAATTTTTTATTAAAGTTTTGAACAACAAAGAAACAAAAAAGAAGAACATACACCATATATATAACAAAAACACACAAAAAAAGCAAAATTCAACAATAAAAGAGCAAAAAACATAACAATTAAAAACAATATCTCTTTTCCATTTCCGTTTTTTAGTTACTTATTTTCTGGACTTCCTCATATCTCCCTTTTTTGTATTCCAATCCAAATTATTTGTCCAGCAATTTCTTTTCCACTTTTTTAATCCCAATCTTTAGCTTTAATAAAATATTAAAATATATAACTTCAACTTCTTTAAACCTGATCTTTTGTCTTAGTATCATATAATGTTAATATTTTTCCTCTTAATATCAAATTTCCATTTCTTTAAACATCTTCAATCCTAATCTTTAATCTTAGTCTATCATTAACTTTAACCTGTACAGCTGGAAACCGCTTATTTTCAGTCCAACATCACTCTAACATTCTTTAATTTTGCAATATTTCTGAAGATAGTCTTTGAATTTCTTCCAATCTTCCTCCATCGACTCTTCTCCCTGGTCACGGATTCTACCAGTCATTTCCGCCAATTCCATATAGTCCATAAATTTCATCTGCCATTCCTCCAGCGTGGGAAGTTCTTGTGTCTTCCAATACTTTGCGATGAGTATTCTTGCTGCTGTTGTTGCATACATAAAGAAAGTTCTATCCTTTTTAACACCATTTGGCCGACTATGCCCAGGAGAAAGGCCTCTGGTTTCTTAGGGAAGGTATACTTAAATACCTTTTTCAATTCATTATATATCATTTCCCAGAAAGCCTTAATCTTTGGGCACGTCCACCAAAGGTGAAAAATGTACCTTCAGTTTCTTTACATTTCCAACATTTGTTATCGGGCAAGTGATAGATTTTTGCAAGCTTGACTGGGGTTATGTACCACCTGTATATCATTTTCATAACATTCTCTCTTAAGGCATTACATGCCGTAAATTTCATACCTGTGGTCCATAACTGTTCCCAGTCAGCAAACATAATGTTATGTCCAATGTCCTGTGCCCATTTAATCATAGCCGATTTTACCGTTTCATCCTGAGTATTCCATTTCAGCAGCAAGTTGTACATTCTTGACAAATTCTTAGTTTTGGGTTCTAACAATTCTGTTTCTAATTTGGATCTTTCCACCTGGAAGCCATTTTTCCTGTCCAATTTGAATGCCTCCATTATCTGATAATAATGAAGCCAGTCTCGCACTTTGTTTTTTAGTTTTTCAAAACTCTGCAATTTCAGTCTATCTCCGTCTTGTTCCAAAATTTCCCAGTATTTCGGCCATTTGACCTCCATATTGAGCTTTTTCAAGGCTTTCGCTTCCATTGGTGACAGCCACCTTGGGGTTTTGTTTTCTAGCAAATCCTTATATCTTAACCAAACATTAAATAGCGCTTTCCTGACAATGTGGTTTCTAAATGCTTTATGTGCTTTGACCTTATCATACCATAGATATGCATGCCATCCAAATACATTATTAAAACCTTCCAAATCCAAAATGTCAGTGTTTTCAAGAAGTAGCCATTCTTTCAACCAGCAAAAAGCTGCTGATTCATAATAAAGTTTGAGGTCTGGCAGGGCAAATCCACCTATTTCCTTTGCATCTGTTAGTATTTTAAATTTTATTCTTGGCTTCTTGCCCTGCCAGACAAATTTAGAAATATCTTTCTGCCACCTCTTGAAACAATCCATTTTGTCCACAATCTGCAACGTTTGGAACAAAAACAACATTCTAGGCAATACATTCATTTTTATCGCAACAATACGGCCCAGCAGTGAAAGCTTCAAATTTGACCAAATTTCTAAACTCATTTTTAATTCTCTTCTTTACTGCGTTCTGTTGTATCAGGAACCCTCTCATAACCACTTTACTTGCGTCCCAGATTACTCTTTTTTCCACATTGGTGCTCAAATTTATCTCAAAATAGTCTCTCAAGGTTTTTTGGGCCTTCTTAAGCACTTCTTCATCTCTAAATAAGGTGTCATTCATCCTCCATCTAAAGGAGCCAGTTGGTGTTAGTTTCATTTCCATCTTGACAGCATTATGGTCGGAGCAAGTTTTCAGGCAGATTTCCACCTTTCTTGTCTTTGGTGCCATTCCTCTAGTTATCCATATTTGGTCAATTCTTGTCCATGTCATTTTGGCTTCAGAAAAGAAGGTTCCCTCTTTAGCCATGGGGTTTCTTGTTCTCCAGATATCAACTAAGTCCAAGTTGTCTGTCATCCCAAAAAAGGTTTTCGGTAGTCTACCATCCTTGTGTACCAAGGTCTTTGTGCCTTGTCCATATGTGTAGATACCACTCCATTCATGTCTCCCATCAAAATCATGTTGTAATCCAGGTAGTCCATCAAAGTCTCATGCAACTTCTTAAAAAAATCAGATTTCCCTTCATTTGGTGCGTAAATTCCTACTATCAAAAATTTTTCTCCTTGTGTTTGAATTTCAATTGCCACAAATCTTCCTTGGTCATCTTTAAAAATAAATTTCGGTGATAGTCTGTCCTTTGCATAAATCACAACCCCTCTTTTTTTAACTTTCTTTGTCAGTGTCTCTACTTTAGTGGTCAAATTTGTCACCATTTAATGATTTTTATCAATTCGGGCTAATAGCTTCTCCAAATTTAACACAGGCCTGGTGTTAACTGTTTTTGAACTCCCATATTCAAAATCTCCCTCTCCCTTGTTCTCAAAGCAGCCTATTTTCCAGCAGCACCTTATCAGTTTGTCAAGGTCACAGAATAACTCTTTCCTAAGAGATCCTGTTTCCTGCATTTTTCCAGCCCTCCCTCTTCCTTCCAGCCCGATACCCAACACACATAAGCTGTTTAACATAAAATCCAATTTCTCAAATTAAGATTTGAATTAAACAAATAAACCAAATAATTACTTTAAGAGGGGAACCATAAAACAGAAAAAAAGAATGTGTTCAAGAGGACAAAGCAATTTTGGTGTCCAGATAAGAGTGGTTGTCTTGCAGGAATCCAATTCTCTTTAAGTGGCTCAGAGTAGAAGAAATATTTTCCTTCAAAGAGAAACGAACTTGTCCAAACCTGTCTTGATTTTAGCTTTTCCAACCAACTCTAAGTCCTTTTAAGAGCTCCAATTGTGTTAAGAACTTTAAAAATGAGACCAGACTTTAATAAATCCCTCTGATCACACTCTTGGCACTGAAATAGTTTCTACCCTGTGTGAATTCTCTGATGGGAAATGAGATTGTTGCTTTGACTGAAGCTCTTTCCTCATTCCACGCACTGTTAGGGTTTCTCCCCAGTATGGATTTTGTGATGGGCTGTGAGACTTTCTTTCCTGGTGAAGCTCTTTCCACATTCCAGACACTGATAGGGGTTTTCCCCTGTATGAATTCTTTGATGGGAAGTGAAACTTATTTTCCAGGTGAAGCTCTTTCCACATTCCACGCACTGATACAGTTTCTCCCCTGTATGAATCCTTTGATGGGAAGTGAGTTTAGCACTATTAATGAATCCCTTTCCACATTCCACACACTGATATGGTTTCTCCCCTGTATGAATTCTTTGATGGGAAGTGAGTTCAGAGCTTGTCCTGAAGCTCTTTCCACATTCCAAGCACTGATAGGGTTTCTCCCCTGTATGAATCCTTTGATGGGAAGTGAAACTGTGCTTTCTAATGAAGCTCTTTCCACATTCCACGCACTGAAAGGGTTTCTCCCCTGTATGAATTCTTTGATGTGAAGTGAAACTTTGCTTTCTAATGAAGCTCTTTTCACATTCCACGCACTGAAAGGGTTTCTCCCCTGTATGAATCCTTTGATGGGAAGTGAGTTCGGAGCGCATCCTGAAGCTTTTTCCACACTCCAAGCAGTGATATGGTTTTTCCCTTGTATGAATTCTACGATGGCAAGTGAGATCGTGGCTGCGACTGATGCTCTTTCCACAATCCAAGCAGTGATATGGTTTCTCCCCTGTATGAATTCTACGATGGGAAGTGAGATTGTACCTGTGACTGAAGCTCTTTCCACATTCCAAGCACTGATAGGGTTTCTCCCCTGTATGAATCCTTTGATGGGAAGTGAGTTCAAAGCTCGTCCTGAAGCTTTTTCCACATTCCACGCACTGATAGGGTTTCTCCCCTGTATGAATCCTTTGATGGGAAGTGAGATTGGCACTCCGAGTGAAGCTCTTTCCACATTCCACGCACTGATACGGTTTCTCCCCTGTATGAATTCTTTGATGGGAGGTGAGAGAGGAGCTATCAGTGAAGCTCTTTCCACACTCCAAGCAGTGATAGGGTTTCTCCCCTGTATGAATCCTTTGATGTGAAGTGAGCTTGGGCTTCTGATTGAAGCTCTTTCCACATTCCACACACTGAAAGGGTTTCTCCCCTGTATGAATCCTTTGATGGGAAGTGAGATTAGCACTCCGAGTGAAGCTCTTTCCACATTCCAAGCACTGATAGTGTTCCTTCTCAAGGGGATTTCTTTGATGGGAAGTGGAATGGGAGCTCTGACTGAAGCTCTCTCCACAGTCTGAATCCTGACATGGCTCCTCCACTGTGTGGATTTCGTTGTGGTCTCCCTTGTTCTTCATTTCCAATTCATCACCACCTGAAACTAAGAGGCAAACGGATTAGAGTCTCGGGAAGAAGTGCAGTCCCAAATTATGGAACAATGCTAATTAATGCTTGGGAGAGGCGAAGAACTGAAGGGAGTTAGATGTTATAATGTTCCTTTTGTTCTGTAAAAATGTCTAGTTTCGTATACAAATCAAGTTGAATATTATATTTTCTAGTTTTGCAAAGTACAGCTTAACCTGGTAATGTCATTTTGTTCAAATTTAAATATGGATCTGTACTATCTTCATAAATAAAACGTGCTTTACTCACCTCCGTCACTGGTGCTGTGCAATGCCAGGTCTATAGGCAATACAACCGCCACCCTGCGAGATTTCTTTATCTCGCAGGGGGTCGACCTGGCTTGTGTGACGGAGACGGGTGCGCGAAGGGGCAACTGTTACCTTACGAGAGATGGCACCCCCGGGTTTCTCCGTCCTCCACCAGTCGCGGACTGTGGGCCGGGGCGGAGGGGTGGCATTATTAATCTGGGAAGATTGTCCTTTCAGGGCTCTACCATCGCCATCGATCCCCGGCATTGAATGTGTTGGCCTAGTGTGGGGCTCCGAGGTGAGCTTGGCTGACTGGCTGGTGTACCGGCCACCTAGCGCACCAGCAGCCACCCTGTCAGGCCTGCTGGAGGCGGTGGCCGGCTGGGCCTTGGAGTTCCCTAACCTATTGGTATTGGGGGACTTTAACATCCATGCTGATGCCACTCCCTCCTCACAGGCTCTGGACCTGGTGTCTTCCATGGCGACACTTGGGCTCTCCCAGTTTGTTTCGGGCCCCACACATCAAGCAGGCCACACGCTGGATTTGATCTTTGGCGTCGGTATAGATGTGATCATGTCTCCTTCGATGAAGGTGCCATGGTCTGATCACTACGCTCTGAAAGCCAGGCTTGACTTTCCACCCCCACCCTGCTTAGATGGCGAGCCAATTTGGGCTTACCCGCAGAGGCTGATGGACCCTGATAGATTCCGCCAAGCCTTGCGGGACCTTGCTCCCCTTGGCGACTCATTGACTGAGCTTGTTGAGGGCTGGAATACCCAGCTCCTGGCAGCCATAGATGAGATCGCACCTAAGCGCCCTCTGCGACCCCACAGAAACCCGGCTCCCTGGTTTACCGAGGAGCTCCAGAAAATGAAGCGGGACCTCAGACGGCTAGAGCGAGTATGGCGGGGTGCCCGTGACGGAGCCTCAAGAACATCTTATAGGGCTTTTATGAAAACCTACGAGATGGTGGTGAAGGCTGCTAAGAAGTCATACTTCTCGGCCTCCATTGCATCCACCAGCTCTCGCCCGGCGCAATTATTTAGTATAATCAGGTCTTTAATGTCCCTTGAGGGACAGCCAAATTTAAATAACAATTTGACACACAGCTGTGAGGCTTTTGCGAGCGTTTTTGCGGAGAAGGTCTTGTTGCTCTGCCACGTCCTCCCGGCCAATTTGGATACAATAAAGGTACTGGAGGCCCCTCGACTGTCCTCGGGTCCAGTATTGGACCACTTCAACCGGATATCCCCAGCCGATGTGGACAGACTCCTCCGAGCTGGAAAGCCCACCACCTGTCCTCTCGACCCGTGCCTGTCTTGGCTGATTAGCGCGTGTCCAGACGAGGTGCGAGCCCTCCTGGGGGATATCATCAATTTGTCCCTTGGCACGGGGAGATTCCCATGGGAACTGAAGGAGGCAGTGGTGCGCCCGCTCTTAAAGAAAACATCATTAGATCCTTTAGATCTATCCAATTACCGCCCGGTTTCGAATCTTCCATTCCTGGGCAAGGTGATTGAGAGAGCGGTTGCTGAACAGCTTGGTGGTTTTCTGGATGAAACATCGGCTCTGGATCCATTCCAGTCCGGCTTCTGCGCTGGTCATGGGACCGAGACGGCTCTGGTTGCCCTAACAGATGATCTTCGTAGACAGCTGGATTGAGTCGGGTCGGGGCTGCTGATTCTTCTAGATCTGACAGCAGCTTTTGACATGGTCGATCACGAACTTCTGGACCACCGCCTTGCCGACATGGGGATCCAGGGCACAGTCCTTCAATGGCTGTGCTCGTTTCTCTCTGGTCGGTGACAGAGGGTGGCGCTTGGGGGGGAATTGTCATCGCGCCACTCCTTGGTGTGTGGAGTACTTTAGGGTGCGATACTCTCCCCGATGCTTTTCAACATCTTTATGCGCCCCCTCGCCCAGCTTGTTCGGAGTTTTGGGCTGGGTTGGCATCAGTATGCCGATGACACCCAACTCTATCTGTTGATGGATGGCCATCCTGACTCGGCCCCAGACGCACTGACCAGATGTTTGGAAACTGTGGCTGGATGGTTACATGGGAGCCGGTTGAAGCTAAATCCTTCGAAGATAGAGGTCCTGTGGCTGGGACGGGGCGATATGGGATTGGGGGGGGCAACTCCCATCTCTTGTGGGGGTGCAATTAGTGCCAGCACCGTCCGTTAAGAGTTTGGGTGTAATCTTCGATACCTCCCTCTCTATGGAGGAGCAGATTACAGCTATAACAAAGGCGGCATTTTTTCATCTCCGCCAAGCTAAGCAGTTGACTCCTTATCTCTCTCACCCTGACCTAGCCACTGTGATCCACGCGACGGTCACCTCCAGACTGGATTATTGTAACTTGCTCTACGTGGGGCTGCCATTGAGACTGACCCAGAAACTCCAGCGGGAGCAGAATGCTGCAGCAAGACTCCTTACGAGGTCTTTGCTGTGAGATCACATTCACCCGGTGCTATACCAGCTGCACTGGCTCCCGGTGGAGTACAGGATCAGGTTTAAGGTGCTGGTTTTAACCTTTAAAGCCCTATACGGCCTAGGACCCTCATACCTACGGGACCGCCTCTCCTGGTATGTCCCACAGAGAGACTTACGGTCTTCAAATAAAAACATCTTGAAGGTCCCAGGCCACAGAGAAGTTAGGCTGGCCTCAACTAGAGCCAGGGCTTTTTCGGCTGTGGCTCCAATCTGGTGGAACGCTCTGTCACAAGAGACCAGGGTCCTGCGGGACTTGACATCTTTCCGCAGGGCCTGCAAGACAGAGCTGTTCCACCAGGCCTTTGGCCAGGGCACAGCCTGACTCCCTCCCTCGGCAATCTTCACGGAGCTCTGGCCCAATGGGTGCCAGTGGCTTGAATTAATTAATTTTATAATGAATGATTTTAGAGTGTTGTTCATGCTGTACTTTTGTACTGTTTTATTGTTGTTAGCCGCCCTGAGCCCGGCTTTGGCTGGGGAGGGCAGGATATAAATAAAACTTATTATTATTATTATTATTATTATTATTACCGTATTTTTCGCTCTATTGGACTCACCGGACCATAGGACGCACTAGTTTTTAGAGGGGGAAATCAAGGGAAAAAATATTATTCCCCCCCCAGCCCCAAAGAGCCACGGACAGGATGCGCACAGCCTGTCCGCTTCTCCCAGAGCTTCTTGGGGCTGCGGGGGAAGCCCAGGTCCCCCCCCCCAGTCCCAAAGAGCAAAGAAACCAAGACAGCAAGCGGGATCCATCCCGCTCGCTGCCTTGGCCTCCTCTTTATCCTTGCGCAGCATCTTTAGCCTTGCACAATGGGATGGATCACACCCGCTGTCCACCGGGGCTGGAAGGTGTTGGGGGTCTCCACCACTAGAGGCTTTTAAGCAGCGGTTGGAGGACCATCTGCCTGGCGTTCTTTAGCTGTGATTCCTACATTGTGAGGGGGCTGGGCTAGATGACCTTCGGGTGGCCCTTCCAACTCTATACAGTCCTACAATTCTGCGGCAGGAGATCCACAGGCACTTCACACAATGCCCACTCCCAATTTTCATCGGAGAGACATGTGGCTTCAGTGTCTAGGTAGGTACCCCCCTACCTGCCACTCTTCCCCCACCCCACTTAAGCCGAGGGAATTCCTGCCCAGAGAAGCTCCCAGGTGAGGCAAGGGTTAAGATCTACCTCTGGTAAATGGCTTTGTATCCTCCCTCTTTCCCTTTTCTCTTCCTCTTCTATGCTATTTCCTTCTTTTGTGTTTTGTTTAATCTGTTTTTATTGTATACCAAAATTAAAGCTGCAAAGTTTCCTTTTTCATAATATCCCCCCCTTCAAACTAAAACGTTAGATAAAAACACTGATCCAGAGGAAAAGAAGGGGGTGGAGAAAGGACGGAAAAAGAAAAAGAGGTAGAGATAGAGAGATTTTTAAAAAGTTGGCTTCTTTAGCCTCGCACAGCCTCCCGCGGCTGGAGAGGCGTGCAAGGCTAAAGAGGATGGATCGCGCTCGCTGCCCTGGCTTCCTCTTTAGCCTTGTGCAGCCTTCCCCCGGCTGGAGAGGTTGCGCAAGGCTTTTCCCCAGGAGGGAGAAGGGACTGACTGGCCGCGTCAGTCCCTTCTCCCTCCTGGGGAAAAGCCCGCAAGAGCCGTGCGAAGCTTGTGTGTGGCTCTTGGGGGCTTTTCCTGCCTGCCTCCCCCCCTGCATTCGCTCCATAGGACGCCCAGACTTTCCCCCTCAGTTTTTAAGATGGGAAAAGTGCGTCCTATGGAGCTAAAGTGGTGCTTCAGGTTAAGAACATTTCAGGTTACGAACAGACCTACGGGTTCCGGGTCAGTGCCATCGTTAATGGCGGATTCCCTCTGAGTCTCGGAGGGACCAGCTCCGCGGGATCGGGTCTTACCGCTGCGGCAAAGCGGGGGCCCTTTAGAAATCACAGGCGGGGGAAGCCTGTGAACATGGGGACTCGGCGGGCACCATTTGCGCCCCCCCAAGCTGCGAAGGGACCCTTTTAAGGGCTCCGGAGCGGGATGGGGTGAGCGGCGCGGTGCTGAGAGTCGACTGCTTCTTCCGCGGAGTGAAGCCGCACAGCCGTTATCGGAGAGCGCTAACATTTTCCTGGGACAATTGGACTTTGAAAGCAAGTACCCGTGAGTAGGATTAAATTGGATTTAAAAGGAGAAAAATTAAGTTAATTCGACACCGAAGCGGCAAGGTATAACCAGGAAGTCTGCCTTCCTTTTTTGTAAATAGAACAAAGCAAAGAGACTGTAAAGCGGTAACTTGGAAAGACGTTTGGAAAAAGACTTAAATCTTAACATCTGGAAAGCGGTCTCCCCTCCGGATTGCAGAAGAGGAGGGGGGAAGCTTTGAACTGTATTCATCTGCAAAAAAAAAGGGGGAAAAGGAAGCTAAAATCCGCTCCCTAAAACCTGGGAACGGACTGCCCCTAGACAAGGAATGTCGTTCAGTGGAAAGCCTATCGGTAAGCAGTAGACTTTGACAGCTAACTCTGCAAAAGAGATACAGTGTTTCTGGACCTCTCCTGGTTCTAAAGTTCTAAAGTAACTGTTTAAGTGCAATTGAAACTGTTGTTTTTAGGTGAATTGGGGGACTTATAAGGACTATTTTTGTTTTTAAAAGTTGCAAGCTCTGGCTGTTACTGTGTCCTCTAGGGGGAGGAGGTTTGACATTGCTACAATAACAAGAGGAAAATTCCATTCCAAAATAAACTTTCAACCGTGGGATTGGCCTTGAATTCTCATGAGAGTGTTATGGCAGATGGGAGAGGAAAGTTAGAGCTGGCGCAGGAAAAAACTACTAGGTCTGGCAGACACTATCGGACAGACATTGCGCAGCAGCGAAGGGCTTCAACATCTGGAGCATCTGGAACATCAGGGGCTGCTCCTTCACAGGTCAAACCAAAAGTTATGTCGTCCGAAGACGTTCTGGCACATGCACTTGGAAAAATTAATGAATCTTTGGAAAATTTAGCTAAGCAGGTAGCTGAGACAAATAAACAAGTAGCTGAAGCATCAGTTAAAATTGACCTGAATACAACAAGCATAAATAATTTGGGACAGAAGGTGAATACCAATACAGAATCTATTGAAAAATTATTACAGGAATCTGCTTCGACCCGAAAGATAGCTGAAGAAGCAAAAGATATAGCAACTGCTACTCAAGAGAAGTTACCACCGGTATACAAGCAATTGGAAGACCACGGTTTGACACTGTCTATGATTGAATTGAAAGAGAAACAAAGAAATTTAAGAATCAGGGCTGTACCAGAACGTGAGAAAGACAATTTGGCTGAATTTCTTACACAGGAATTCACAGATTTTTGGCAACAGGACTTGGGGAAGGAAGAATTTAAGATAGTGAGTGCATTTAGACTTGGAAGAGGACAAAGGAGGAACAAGGTGAGGGACTGCTTGATTACTCTTCGAACAAAAGAGGAGAGAGGGTCTGCACTATCGAAAGACTTTGGAAATTGACGACTCAAGTGTGGAGATATTTAAGGACATTCCAAAACATCTTTTGGACTTAAGGTTTAACTACAGAGACCTAGTTGCCCTGTTGAGAAGAAATAGAATTCTCTTTAGGTGGGAATTTCCTCAAGGCCTATCCTTCAAATACAAAGGAAGAAAGATAAAAATAAGATCAGTCAACGATAAAGATAGGTTTTTGAAAGATCATGAAAAAGATCTACAGAAAGAAGCGGAATCCGGAGAAGAGCCAAAAGCACTGGAAAAAGGAATACTAGACATATTAAATTTATCCTTTGGATTGCACGGCCCAGAGAAAGAGACACCATCGACAGAACAAGAACAGACACTTGGCGCAGTTGGAGGTAAAGCGAAGTAACCCCATCATGGCTCTGCAACTGTTAAGTTGGAATTATAATGGTTTGAACTCTCCTCGAAAGAGAAAAAGTGTTTTTCATCTATTAAAAAAGGAACAATTGGACTTGATTTGTTTACAAGAAACACATATAACAAGGCTACACAGGAAACTACTGATTAATAAAAGATTGGGACAGGAGTTTATCTCATCTGATAAAGTTAAAAAAAGAGGAGTTGTGATATACGCAAAGGAGAGATTATTACCGAAATTAATTTTTAAAGACGAACAAGGCAGATTTTTGGCAATTGAAATTCAAGTTCAAGGAGAGAAATTTTTGATTGTAGGAATATATGCACCGAATGAGGGGAAATCTGAATTCTTTAAAAAGTTGCATGAGACTTTATTGGACTATCTGGATTACAATTTGATTCTGATGGGGGATATGAATGGAGTAGTATCAACAAATATGGACAAGGCACAAAGACAGGTAGTTACTAAGGATGGTAGACTACCGAAAACATTTTTTGAGATGACAGACATTATGGACTTAGTGGACATTTGGAGAGTAAAGAACCCCCTGGGAAGAGAGGGAACCTTCTTTTCTGAAGCCAAGATGACATGGACTAGAATTGACCAAATATGGGTAACTAGAGGAATGGCACCAAAGATAAAGAAAGTGGAAATCTGCCCAAAAACTTGCTCCGACCATAACGCTGTAAGGATGGAGATGAAACAAATATCAACTGGCTCCTTCAGATGGAGGATGAATGACACCTTATTCAGAGATGAAGAAGTCTACAAAAAGGCCCAAAAAACTTTGAGAGATTATTTTGCAATAAATATGAACACTACTGTAGAATAAAGAGTAATCTGGGACGCAAGCAAAGCTGTTATGAGAGGGTTTCTGATACAACAGAATGCAATAAAGAAGAGAAGTCAAAATGAGAAGAAAGATAAAATTTTGGAGAAAATAAAAGAAAGTGAGAAGAAATTGAGAGCAAAACCAAAGTCGCAGGAGATTTTGAGAGAGATAAAATTATATCAAGTACAATATATGGAAATGATGAATCAGGAAATAGAATGGAAAATTAAACAAATGAGACAAAAACATTTGAATCAGCTAACAAATGTGGGAAATTGCTGGCCTGGCAAATGAAAAAAAGACAAAAATTAAATACTATTACAAACCTAGAAGTGGAAGGAAAGAATATACACAACCCAATTGAGATTAGAAACTGTTTCCAGAGGTACTTTAAACAATTATACACACAAGGGCCACAGAAAGAAATGGATATAGACCGATTTTTGAATACAAATGGATTACAAAAAATCTCTCAAGAAAGCAAATTAATGTTGAACTACAAAATATCTGAACAGGAAGTAGAAGGTGCCATTCAAAACATGCAATTGGGCAAATCTCCAGGACCGGATGGGCTGACTTCTAGATACTATAGATCTTTGAAAGAGTGGTTAGTACAACCTTTGAAGGAAGTCTGCAATGAAATATTGGAAGGGAAAAGGGCACCAGAGTCGTGGAAAGAGGCGTACATTACACTTATACCGAAAACAGAGACTGAAAAGACTCAGCTTAAGAACTACCTATATCGTTACTTAATGTGGATTACAAAATTTTTGCAGACATTTTGGCCAAGAGATTGATAAAGTATTGATGGAAGAGATTCATAAAGACCAAGCGGGCTTTCTCCCGGGAAGACACTTGTCTGATAATTTGAGGAATATAATTGATATTTTGGAAAAATTAGAAGTGAATATAAATACTAAAGCAGTTTTGATATTTGTGGACGCAGAGAAAGCCTTTGACAACATCTCTTGGAGTTTTATGAAGAAGAACCTACAGGGGATGGGGGTAGGCCAAGGTTTTGAAAATGGTATAGGTGCAATATACTCTGAACAAAAGGCTAAATTAATTGTAAATAATGTGGTGACGGAAGAATTTAAGATAGAAAAAGGGACACGACAGGGGTGCCCAATCTCCCCACTGCTTTTTATATCGGTCCTGGAGGTTCTGCTGAATATGATTAGAAGGGACCGGTTGGTTAAAGGCATACAGGTCGGAGCCAAACAGTACAAACTGAGAGCATTTGCAGATGACTTAGTATTGACGTTACAGGAGCCAGAATCTAGTACTAAAAGGGTTTTAGAACTAATTCAAGAATTTGGTCAAGTGGCAGGATTTAAACTGAACAAGTTACAAACTAAGGTTTTAGAGAAAAATTTAACACTGATTGAAAGAGAGAGGTTTCAGAATGAGACAGGTTTGACTGTGGTTAAGAAAGTGAAATACCTGGGTGTGATAAGTATGAGTTACTCGTGCGTAAACTGGTGCCTCTCTAGGCTAATTTGCCTTGTTAAACCTTTCTGACTGCACAGCCCTTTCTAATTGTGACTGCCTCAGTCGCTGGCAGAATCCGTCAGTGGGCGTTTCTTGAACCTCTTCCAACATAAAAGTTGTTTGACACCCAGTCTCCTCCTCCTCTCACTGCGCGGGAGTCTTCTGCTCAGGGAGGGCGTGGGTAGCGGAGGACCTGTCCCCTCCTCACTGAGTTCCAGTGAAGAGTCCTGGAGCCCTCTCTCCGATTCCCCCATCTGCCCCCCTTTATCCCTGGTGTTGCGCTTAAATGCTTCCCCCTCTACTGAGCTGTTTCTCCCCCTGCTGCTGGGTCCTTCTCCAGCATCATCTAGGAGCCTCCCCTTCGCCTCTCGCTCCGATGTCAGTTCCCTGACACTGGGGATTAATATGACAGCTAAAAATGGGAACTTATTTAAAGATAATTATGAAAAATGTTGGACGGAAGTGAAAAAAGATTTAGAAACTTGGTCAAATTTGAAGCTTTAACTGTTGGGTCGTATTGCTGTGATAAAAATGAATGTATTGCCTAGAATGCTGTTTTTGTTTCAAACATTGCAAATTGTGGACAAGATGGATTGTTTCAAGAAGTGGCAGAGAGATATTTCTAGATTTGTCTGCCAGGGCAAGAAGCCCAGAATAAAATTTAAGATATTAACTGATGCAAAGGAAAGGGGTGGATTTGCCCTGCCAGACTTTAAACTTTACTATGAATCAGCAGCTTTTTGCTGGTTGAAAGAATGGCTACTTCTTGAAAACACAGACATTTTGGACCTAGAAGGTTTTAACAATGTATTTGGATGGCATGCATATCTGTGGTATGACAAGGTCAAAGCGCATAAAGCATTTAAAAACCATATTGTCAGGAAAGCATTGTTTCATGTTTGATACAAGGATTTATTGGAAAACAAAACCCCAAGGTGGCTGTCACTGATGGAAGCGAAAGCTCTGAAAAGGCTCAATATGGAGGCCAAATGGCCAAAATATTGGGAAATTTTGGAACAAGATGGAGATGCACTGAAACTGCAGAGTTTCGAGAAACTAAAAAATAAAGTGCGAGACTGGCTTCATTATTATCAGATAATGGAGGCATATAATTTGGACAAGAAAATTGGCTTCTAGGTGGAAAAATCAAAATTAGAAACAGAACTGTTAGAACCTAAAACTAAGATTTTGTCAAAGATGTATAACTTGCTGTTGAAATGGAATACTCAGGATGAAACGGTGAAATCTGTTATGATTAAATGGGCACAAGATTTTGGACATAACATTATGTTTGCTGACTGGGAACAGTTGTGGACCACAGGTATGAAGTTTACGGCATGTAACGCTTTAAGAGAGAATATTATGAAAATGATATACAGGTGGTACATGACCCCAGTCAAGCTTGCAAAAATTTATCACTTGCCCGATAACAAATGTTGGAAATGTAAAGAAACTGAAGGTACATTCTTTCACCTTTGGTGGACGTGCCCAAGGATTAAGGCTTTCTGGGAAATGATATATAATGAACTGAAAAAGGTATTTAAATATACCTTCTTGAAGAAACCAGAGGCCTTTCTGCTGGGCATAGTCGGCCAATTGGTGCCAAAGAAGGATAGAACCTTTTTTATGTACGCCACAACAGCAGCAAGAATACTCATTGCAAAGTATTGGAAGACACAAGATCTACCCACTCTGGAAGAATGGCAGATGAAGCTGATGGACTATATGGAACTGGCAGAAATGACTGTCAGAATCCGAGACCAGGGAGAAGAGTCGGTGGAAGAAGAGTGGAAGAAATTCAAAGATTATCTATAGAAATATTGTAAAATTAATGAATGTTAGAATGATGTTGGATAGAAATTAAGTGGTTTCCAGCTGTAATGCTTTAAGGGAATATGAAAAAAGGGTTATAAATAGGTAAAAATCTAATGCTATTATTTTTAAAATCAAGGATTAGGATAATTAAAGAGGGTACGGATTTGCTGAACCAACAGATTGAAGTGGAATACAAAAAGGGAAGTATGAGGAAGTCTGGGAAACAAGCTAAAGGAAAATAAGTAATGGAAAATCTGGGTGTTTTTAACCATTTTTATTTTGTATTTTTGTTATTTTTTTCACTTTTATTGTAATATTTTAAAAAATCTTAATAAATATCTTATATATATATAAAAAAAGAGCAGACCTAAGGAACGAATTAAGTTCTTAACCCGAAGTACCACTGTACTTACATGTAACTTTATTGTGAGAAGTTACAGGGGACGAGGCAGGGGGCCTTCTCGATAGGGGCACCCACCCTGTGGAACGCCTTCCCATCAGATGTCAAGGAAATAACTATGCAACTTTTAGAGGACTTCTGAAGGCACCTCTGTATTGGGAAGTTTTTAATGTTTGATGTTTGATTATGTTTTTCTATTTGTTGGCTGGGGCCACCCAGTCAGATGGGCAGGGTAAAAATAATAATATTATCATTATTGTTACTACAGGGTTCACTGCCTGAGATTCAAAAAGCCTGTCTCTGTTTTGGGATGGAGTTTGTTTGGTTCAGTCGTGGAATCTGTGCCATCTCCAATGTCAAGCGACTCTTTGGTCAACCAGAGAGAGACACAAGCAAGAACAAAAGCAGGAAACTTGACTGAAGCTACTTCAACACCCCAAATCACTCTGAATCCTACATTTAAGAAGGCCTGGGCAGTTCAGATAGCCTGATCATGGTTTTAAACGACAGAACTGGAGGAAGAATATTTACAGGGAAAACAATCAATAGCCATCCCTCCAAGGTTTGCTGTGGGAGTGTTAACATCCCAGGTGCTGTGGGTGGCGCTGTTGAGCCCTATCAAAATATCAGAGTTCATCACATAGAGAGATGTCTTGAATTACAAAACAGATAGGATGATCCAATAGGGAGCCTTACCGAGAGAGTCCAAGATCCCACGATTCTCCTCCATGACTTCCTTATGGAGAGCTCTCTGGTCAGGATCCAGCAACGCCCACTCCTCGTCTGTGAAATGGACAGCCACATCTTCAAAGCACACTGGACCCTAACAGAACAGGAAAAAGGCTGTCCTCTTAGAGAACATTCACTTGGCTCTGTTGTTTTCTACAGCGGCCAGACCCCTCTCTGCCTTCCTCATCCCTCTCTCCTGCTGCAGCTTCTGCCTCGGAGTCTGGGCTGCTCTCTGCCACAGACTCCCTCTGCTCCCTGAGCCCTCTTCCCTCTCCAGCTTCAGACCCCTCCTCCTCCTCCTCCTCCCAGTCGGCTCCCTCTTCTCTGGCTCCTCCCACCATTCCTCTGCATCCAACTGTGTCCAGCCAGTCTGCATCCAAGCAGTCCTTCCCCACAAGGCTCCTTCCCCCTACCTGATCTGGGTCCACAGCTGCTGCCTCCCCTCCACCACCATGAAAAGATGAAGGAGCAGGTCTTGGTGGCATCATTCCGTCACCTGGGAGAGACCAAGGAAAGTGGGAAACTGTAAGTGCATCTCTAAGTACAGATGGGGCTTGTCCAAGTCTCCCCTACTAGCTTCCGGTTCCGCTACATCCACTGCGTTCCCTTCATCTACCAGGCTTGTAATTCTGTCAAAAAACGAGATCAGGTTAGTCTGACATGACTTATTTTTCAGAAATCCATGCTGACTATTGGTGATCTAAGGACTATTGGTGATCTAAGATTTAAGGACACTGGTGCTGCTGCAGCAAATGTTAAAAATGTTTTTATATATTTTAAAGTGTTTTAAAGGTGTTTTTACTTTTTACTTGGTTGTACCACCGTGAACAGTGGTTTTTATTTATGTATTTTTATTTTGTTCCATTTTATTTTGGTTTGGGGTTGGATATTGAGTGGGGTGGGGATTGGTTTTGTTTAGGTATAATTGTTTTTGGTTTGGTTTGTTTTTCTATTTTGTAAATGGAGGCTAGTATGAGGCTTGGGATTGCTACCGTAGAGGGGCGAGGGAGGTATGGCAGTGGGGACAGATGCTATAGGCCAGGGGTCTGCAACCTTTAAGACAAATAGAGCCACTTGGACCCGTATCCGAAGAAAAAAAAACTGGGAGCCGCAAAACTCATCATTATAAAAATAACTTTTTTGTCACTTTGTTTTATTATTTATTTGTTTGACCCCTCAGAATTACTCCTCCTCATAGAAATAAATGCTAAATTAACCTTTTTGTGTGTGTGCGTTCTTCACTCCGCTTCAAAACAGTGACCAGCGTACATGCCCCCTTTCAATGCAGTGACCAGCGTACATGCCCCTTACAATGTAGCAGGCGGGCGGGAAGGTGACGTCGGGACGGTGCGTGACTAACGCACGCACCGCCCCGTGCGACGTCACAGCCAGTACAGCGCCCGCCACAATGCGCCTCCTCCCCTCGCTAGTATCCATCCGCCCCGGAGCCGCGGCAAAGGTGTAAAAGAGCCACATGCGGCTCCGGAGCCGCGGGTTGCAGACCCCTGCCTTAGATCTATCCAATTACCGCCCGGTTTCGAATCTTCCATTCCTGGGTAAGGTGATTGAGAGAGCGGTTGCTGAACAGCTTGGCAGGTTTCTGAATGAAACATCGGCTCTGGATCCATTCCAGTCCGGCTTCCATGCTGGTCATGGGACCGAGACGGCTCTGGTCGCCCTAAAAGGCGGCATTTTTCCATCTCCGCCAAGCTAAGCAGTTGGCTCCTTACCTCTCTCACCCTGACCTAGTCACTGTGATCCACGCGACGGTCACCTCCAGACTGGATTATTGTAACTCGCTCTACGTGGGGCTGCCCTTGAGACTGACCCAGAAATTCCAGCGGGTGCAGAATGCCGCGGCGAGACTCCTTACGGGGTCTTCGCTGCGAGATCACATTCACCCAGTGCTATACCAGCTGCACTGGCTCCCGATGGAGTACAGGATCAGGTTTAAGGTGCTGGTTTTAACTTTTAAAGCCCTATACAGCCTAGGACCCTCGTACCTACGGGACTGCCTCTCCTGGTATGTCCCACAGAGGACCTTACGGTCTTAAAACAAGAACATCTTGGAGATCCTGGGCCACAGGGAAGTTAGGCTGTCCTCAAGCAGAGCCAGGGCTTTTTCGGCTATGGCCCCGATCCGGTGGAAAGCTCTGTCACAAGGGACTAGGGCCCTGCGGGGCCTGCAAGACAGAGCTGTTCCACCAGGCTTTTGGTCAGGGCGCAGCCTGACTCCCTCCTCTAGCAATCTGCACAGAATTTTGCTTAACGGTTGCCATCAATTTGATTTTAATTAATTTTTAGAATGAGATGTTTTTAGAATGTTGGATTATTTGATTGTTGTTAGCCGCCCTGAGCCTGGCTTCGGCTGGGGAGGGTGGGATATAAATATAATTTATTATTATTATTATTATTAGTGAGAGATTTTACTTTCTTGGGCTCCATGATCACTGCAGATGGTGACAGCAGTCACGAAATTAAAAGACGCCTGCTTCTTGGGAGGAAAGCAATGACAAACCTAGACAGCGTCTTAAAAAGTAGAGACATCACCTTGCCAACAAAGGTCTGTATAGTTCAAGCCATGGTTTTCCCAGTAGTGATGTATGGAAGTGAGAGCTGGACCATGAAGAAGGCTGATCGCCGAAGAAGGGATGCTTTTGAATTCTGGTGCTGGAGAAGACTCTTGAGAGTCCCATGGACTGCAAGAAGATCAGGCCTCTCCATTCTGAAGGAAATCAGCCCTGAGTGCTCACTGGAAGGACAGATCCTGAAGCTGAGGCTCCAATACTTTGGCCACCTCATGAGAAGAGAAGACTCCCTGGAAAAGACACTGATGTTGGGAAAGATGGAGGGCGCAAGGAGAAGGGGACGACAGAGGACGAGATGGTGGGACAGTGTTCTCGAAGCTACAAACATGAGTCTGACCAAACTGCGGGAGGCAGTGGAAGACAGGAGGGCCTGGCGTGCTCTGGTCCAGGGGGTCACGAAGAGGCAGACACGACTAAACAACAACAAATATTATTTGATGTTTCCATACGAATGGAAGTCATTAATACTGCAGCTGTTGTATAAAGGATTGTTATCTCGACAGGAGTGTAATTGAAATTAATAAGATTTTGGAATGCAGAAATCAAGAAAATCACCAAACATCGGTTTTAGCATGCGGGGGGGGGGCACCTATATTATATAATTTGATATCTTAAAGATTGGTATTACTAATTGTATTGTAATTTCGCATTGTTATAATGAGGCTATTATAGAACTGTAATTGTAAACTAATCAAATTACTATCGTAAATGTCTCCCCTGCTGAGTACATTTGGACATTTGTACCCATTTCATATAATAGTTGTGCAAAAATACATCTCCCCCCCTCTGAGCGCCAGGTGTCCTCCCCCAAAAGATGCAAAGAAATCACAGATTAGTTTCAAAACCAAGAGAATGTGACAAAACGGGGGAGAAAACACTCCTTCCTCCTTACCCAGAGGCCTCACTCTGGTGTCCAGCGGAGTCTTCTCTGCCTCAGAAGACTCAAGACCCATTTCTGCCAAAAGATCCTTCCTCTGAAAGAGCAACAAGGATTCAAAACAGAGAATGGGGAGAAGGGTTAGAGAAGGAATGGCAGAGGCAAGCGCTTTCGGGGACAGAGGTGAAAGCTGCTTCCTGCTTCTGCTAGACTGGTGTCTGGGGTTGGCTGCCAGGACCATGAAACATTGGTCCTCAAGGATCTTCACTGGCTCCCAGAACGTTTCCCAGCACAATTCAAAGTGTTGGCCTCAAAGGCCCAGTATACCCAAAGGAGCGTCTCCATGAACTGAGGTCCAGTTCCGAGGGTCTTCTGCTGATTCCCTCACTGTGATAAGTGAAGTTACAGGGAACCAGGCAGAAGACCTTCTCCACAGTGGGACCCACCCTGGGGAATGCCCTCCCATCAGGTGATAAGGAGATAAGAAAATGCATAACTTTTAGAAGACATCTGATGTCTTCTTATGCTTTTATATGTGCTGGAAGGCACCCAGCCACATGGGTGTCATAAATAATAATAATATCTGTTCCTAGATGCTTTCCAAAAAAGGATGGGCCATTAGGAGTTGATTTGGGAATGCTCTCCCTCCTCTTTGGAGCCCCTTGGGAGTATCCAGAGGAAAGTCTCTCTCACCTGCTGCTCTGCCTGCTTCCTCTCCTCTGCCTGACTCAGGAGGAAACCTTCGGCCAGGGCCACCGCCTGGGAACTGGTCTCCGCTCCGCATTCCCTCACCCAGTTCTCCATCTCCAGAGGAAGGACAGCCAGGAACTGCTCCAAGATCACCAGGTCCAGCATCTCAGCTTTTGTGTGCCTTTCTGGCTTCAGCCACTGATGGTCAAGGTGGTATAATTGGCTGCAAATTTCTCGAGGTCCTTTGGCCTCCTGGTAGCAGAACTGCCTGAGCTGCTGGCTCTGCACCTCTGAGCAAGGGGTGTCCTCCTCACCCAGTTCCTTCTTCACAGAGTTTTCCCAGAATCCCCCACTGCTCCCCGTTTCCATGGCATGGCCTCTTCCTGCTTCAGGGCCAGCTGAGTCTTGCTCATCCATCTGGGCTCTCCGGAAGTCTCCAAGAGATCGGAAGGAGCCCCTTGGTCCTCTGCCAAGTTCTGTGGGTACTAATGCGAGGTGCAGCAAATCCTACGAATCAAACACACTATTCTATTGTAAGATCAATACACAGCCAAGAGAAGAAGAGTGTTCCCTGAGGAAGCATGGATGAGCTTTAGCAGAAATGATATAAGGAACTAAGTACAAATAGATTATTAATGTATTGAAGGGAAAAAATAAGGTTAGAACATGTTAAGATAAATTACAGGACAGAAAACAGAGGAAGATGGAAAGGAATTGCTGAAACAGTTAATTGAAGTGGAATACAAAAAGGGAGGTGTGAGGAGGTTGTTGAAACAAGTGAATGAAAGATAAAATATTGAAATTATTGGATGTGTTTTAAATTGTTTTTGTTTTGTTTTGTTAATTCAATGTTTTAGTGTTAGTGTTATGTAGTGTCTTTGTTTTTGTATTGTATTGTATTGTTTAATTCTTTTTCTTTCTCTTGTTTTTTTTAAAATAATATTTACTAAGAATTAAAAGATTACAAAAATAAAAAATAGAAAACAGCATATTAAACAGAAAAACAGAACATCATATCACAATAGAAGAAAAAAAACGGGAAAAATATATATATATACAATAAATCTTCCCATAATTTATCTTTCATTTGCTTGTTTCCTTGACCTCCTCACACCTCCCATTTTTTGTATTCTAGTTCAGTTAGCTATTTCAGCAAGTCCTTTCCATCTTTTCCAATTTTTGTCCTCTATTTTATCTTAATATATGGTAACTTTACTTTCCCTCCTTTCACCATTTAACAATCTATTTTTTCTTAATCCTTTATAGCATTTCTGCTAAAACCACATTACTTCATTCCAACATCCTTCTAACATTCCTTAATTTTACAATGTTTCTGTAAATAAACTTTAAATTTCTTCCAATCTTCTTCCACCGACTCTTCTCCCTGGTCTTGGATTCTGCCAGTCATTTCCGCCAGTTCCATGTAGTCCATCACCTTCATCTGCCATTCTTCCAGAGTGGGTAGATCTTGTGTCTTCCAATATTTTGCAATGAGTATTCTTGCTGCTGTTGTAGCATACATAAAGAAAGTTCTGTCCTTTTTTTGCACCAATTGGCCGACTATGCCTAGGAGAAAGGCCTCTGGTTTCTTCAAGAAGGTATATTTAAATACCTTTTTCATTTAAGAACATGTTAAGATAAATTACAGGACAGAAAACAGAGGAAGGTGGAAAGGAATTGCTGAAACAGTTAATTGAAGTGGAATACAAAAAGGGAGGTGTGAGGAGGTCGTTGAAACAAGTGAATGAAAGATAAGATATTGAAATTATTGGATGTGTTTTAAATTGTTTTTGTTTTGTTTTGTTAATTCAATGTTTTAGTGTTAGTGTTATGTAGTGTCTTTGTTTTTGTATTGTATTGTATTGTATAATTCTTTTTCTTTCTTTTCTACTCTCTAAACTGTTAATAAATATTATTATAAAAAAAAGGAAGCATGGATGAGTCTTCCTAGGAACCAGGGCTGGATTGCCACCGTCCCTGTTGTTGCTGTTGTTTAGTCGTTGAGTCGTGTCCGCCTCTTCGTGACCCCCTGGACCAGAGCACGCCAGGCCCTCCTGTCTTCCACTGCCTCACGCAGTTTAGTCAAACAAATAAAGAATTAGGGAGGGAAAATGCCCGACATACAGAGATTTATGAATAGAGAGAAAAGCTAAAGCTTTTCTCCCTCATGTCCCTCTTAATATCCTTCTCCCTCATAATAATGTCCCTCACAATTATGTCCCTCTTAATATACTTCTCTCTCACAATACTGTACCTCTTAATATACTTCTCCCTCATAATAATGTCCCTCCTAATATACTTCTCCCTCATAATAATGTCCCTCTTAATATCCTTCTCCCTCATGTCCCTCTTAATATACTTCTCCCTCGTAATAATCTCCCTCTTAATATACTTCTCCCTCACAATAATGTCCCTCTTAATATACTTCTCCCTCATAATAATGTCCCTCCTAATATACTTCTCCCTCATAATAATCTCCCTCCTAATATACTTCTCCCTCATAATAATGTCCCTCCTGATATCCTTCTCCCTCACAATTATGACCCTCTTAATATACTTCTCCCTCACAATTATGTCCCTCTTAATATACTTCTCCCTCACAATACTGTCCCTCTTAATATACTTCTCCCTCATAATAATGTCCCTCTTAATATCCTTCTCCCTCACAATACTGTCCCTCTTAATATACTTCTCCCTCATAATAATGTCCCTCTTAATATACTTCTCCCTCATAATAATGTCCCTCTTAATATACTTCTCCCTCATAATAATGTCCCTCTTAATATACTTCTCCCTCATAATAATGTCCCTCTTAATATACTTCTCCCTCATAATAATCTCCCTCCTAATATACTTCTCTCTCACAATACTGTCCCTCCTAATATACTTCTCCCTCACAATTATGTCCCTCCTAATATCCTTCTCCCTCATAATAATGTCCCTCTTAATATACTTCTCCCTCATAATAATGTCCCTCTTAATATACTTCTCCCTCATAATAATGTCCCTCTTAATATCCTTCTCCCTCATAATAATCTCCCTCCTAATATACTTCTCCCTCACAATAATGTCCCTCTTAATATACTTCTCCCTCACAATACTGTCCCTCTTAATATACTTCTCCCTCATAATAATGTCCCTCTTAATATACTTCTCCCTCACAATACTGTCCCTCTTAATATACTTCTCCCTCACAATACTGTCCCTCTTAATATACTTCTCCCTCACAATACTGTCCCTCTTAATATACTTCTCCCTCATAATAATGTCCCTCTTAATATCCTTCTCCCTCATAATAATGTCCCTCTTAATATACTTCTCCCTCACAATACTGTCCCTCTTAATATACTTCTCCCTCACAATACTGTCCCTCTTAATATACTTCTCCCTCATAATAATGTCCCTCTTAATATACTTCTCCCTCATAATAATGTCCCTCTTAATATCCTTCTCCCTCACAATACTGTCCCTCTTAATATACTTCTCCCTCACAATACTGTCCCTCTTAATATACTTCTCCCTCATAATAATGTCCCTCTTAATATCCTTCTCCCTCATAATAATGTCCCTCTTAATATACTTCTCCCTCATAATAATGTCCCTCTTAATATCCTTCTCCCTCACAATTATGTCCCTCTTAATATACTTCTCCCTCATAATAATGTCCCTCTTAATATCCTTCTCCCTCATAATAATGTCCCTCTTAATATCCTTCTCCCTCATAATAATGTCCCTCTTAATATACTTCTCCCTCATAATAATGTCCCTCTTAATATACTTCTCCCTCACAATACTGTCCCTCTTAATATACTTCTCCCTCACAATACTGTCCCTCTTAATATACTTCTCCCTCATAATAATGTCACTCTTAATATCCTTCTCCCTCATAATAATGTCCCTCTTAATATACTTCTCCCTCACAATACTGTCCCTCTTAATATACTTCTCCCTCACAATACTGTCCCTCTTAATATACTTCTCCCTCATAATAATGTCCCTCTTAATATCCTTCTCCCTCATAATAATGTCCCTCTTAATATACTTCTCCCTCACAATAATGTCCCTCTTAATATACTTCTCCCTCATAATAATGTCCCTCTTAATATCCTTCTCCCTCATAATAATGTCCCTCTTAATATACTTCTCCCTCATAATAATGTCTCTCCTAATATCCTTCTCCCTCACAATTATGTCCCTCTTAATATACTTCTCCCTCATAATAATGTCCCTCTTAATATCCTTCTCCCTCATAATAATGTCCCTCTTAATATACTTCTCCCTCACAATACTGTCCCTCTTAATATACTTCTCCCTCATAATAATGTCCCTCTTAATATACTTCTCCCTCATAATAATGTCCCTCTTAATATACTTCTCCCTCATAATAATGTCCCTCTTAATATACTTCTCCCTCACAATACTGTCCCTCTTAATATACTTCTCCCTCATAATAATGTCCCTCTTAATATCCTTCTCCCTCATAATAATGTCCCTCTTAATATACTTCTCCCTCACAATACTGTCCCTCTTAATATACTTCTCCCTCATAATAATGTCCCTCTTAATATACTTCTCCCTCATAATAATGTCCCTCTTAATATACTTCTCCCTCATAATAATGTCCCTCTTAATATACTTCTCCCTCATAATAATGTCCCTCTTAATATCCTTCTCCCTCATAATAATGTCCCTCTTAATATCCTTCTCCCTCATAATAATGTCCCTCTTAATGTCCTTCTCCCTCATGTCCCTCTTAATATCCTTCTCCCTCATAATAATGTCCCTCTTAATATCCTTCTCCCTCATAATAATGTCCCTCTTAATATCCTTCTCCCTCATAATAATGTCCCTCTTAATATACTTCTCCCTCATAATAATGTCCCTCTTAATATCCTTCTCCCTCATAATAATGTCCCTCTTAATATCCTTCTCCCTCATAATAATCTCCCTCTTAATATCCTTCTCCCTCATAATAATGTCCCTCTTAATATCCTTCTCCCTCATAATAATGTCCCTCTTAATATACTTCTCCCTCATAATAATGTCCCTCTTAATATCCTTCTCCCTCATAATACTGTCCCTCTTAATATACTTCTCCCTCATAATAATGTCCCTCTTAATATCCTTCTCCCTCATAATAATGTCCCTCTTAATATCCTTCTCCCTCATAATAATGTCCCTCTTAATATCCTTCTCCCTCATAATAATGTCCCTCTTAATATACTTCTCCCTCATAATAATGTCCCTCTTAATATACTTCTCCCTCATAATAATGTCCCTCTTAATATACTTCTCCCTCATAATAATGTCCCTCTTAATATACTTCTTCCTCATAATAATGTCCCTCTTAATATCCTTCTCCCTCATAATACTGTCCCTCTTAATATACTTCTCCCTCATAATAATGTCCCTCTTAATATCCTTCTCCCTCATAATAATGTCCCTCTTAATATCCTTCTCCCTCATAATAATGTCCCTCTTAATATACTTCTCCCTCACAATACTGTCCCTCTTAATATACTTCTCCCTCATAATAATGTCCCTCTTAATATCCTTCTCCCTCATAATAATGTCCCTCTTAATATCCTTCTCCCTCATAATAATGTCCCTCTTAATATACTTCTCCCTCATAATGTCCCTCTTAATATCCTTCTCCCTCATAATAATGTCCCTCTTAATATACTTCTCCCTCATAATAATGTCCCTCTTAATATCCTTCTCCCTCATAATAATGTCCCTCTTAATATCCTTCTCCCTCATAATAATCTCCCTCTTAATATCCTTCTCCCTCACAATAATGTCCCTCTTAATATCCTTCTCCCTCATAATAATCTTCCTCTTAATACACTTCTCCCTCACAATAATGTCCCTCTTAATATCCTTCTCCCTCATAATAATGTCCCTCTTAATATCCTTCTCTCTCATAATAATCTCCCTCTTAATATCCTTCTCCCTCACAATAATGTCCCTCTTAATATCCTTCTCCCTCATAATAATCTTCCTCTTAATACACTTCTCCCTCACAATAATGTCCCTCTTAATATCCTTCTCCCTCATAATAATCTTCCTCTTAATACACTTCTCCCTCACAATACTGTCCCTCTTAATATACTTCTCCCTCATAATAATGTCCCTCTTAATATCCTTCTCCCTCATAATAATGTCCCTCTTAATATCCTTCTCCCTCATAATAATCTCCCTCTTAATATCCTTCTCCCTCAGAATAATGTCCCTCTTAATATACTTCTCCCTCATGTCCCTCTTAATATCCTTCTCCCTCACAATACTGTCCCTCTTAATATCCTTCTCCCTCATAATAATGTCCCTCTTAATATCCTTCTCCCTCATAATAATGTCCCTCTTAATATACTTCTCCCTCATGTCCCTCTTAATATCCTTCTCCCTCATAATACTGTCCCTCTTAATATACTTCTCCCTCATAATAATGTCCCTCTTAATATCCTTCTCCCTCATAATAATGTCCCTCTTAATATACTTCTCCCTCATGTCCCTCTTAATATTCTTCTCTCTCATAATAATCTCCCTCTTAATATCCTTCTCCCTCACAATAATGTCCCTCTTAATATCCTTCTCCCTCATAATAATCTCCCTCTTAATATACTTCTCCCTCACAATAATGTCCCTCTTAATATCCTTCTCCCTCAGAATAATCTCCCTCTTAATATACTTCTCCCTCAGAATAATGTCCCTCTTAATATCCTTCTCACTCACAATACTGTCCCTCTTAATATACTTCTCCCTCATAATAATGTCCCTCTTAATATCCTTCTCCCTCATAATAATCTCCCTCTTAATATACTTCTCCCTCTTAATAATCTCCCTCTTAATATACTTCTCCCTCATAATAATCTCCCTCTTAATATCCTTCTCCCTCATAATAATGTCCCTCTTAATGTCCTTCTCCCTCATAATTATATCCCTCTTAATATACTTCTCCCTCATAATAATGTCCCTCCCAATGTCCTTCTCCCTCATGTCCCTCTTAATATCCTTCTCCCTCATAATAATGTCCCTCTTAATATACTTCTCCCTCATAATAATGTCCCTCTTAATATACTTCTCCCTCACAATAATGTCCCTCCCAATGTCCTTCTCCCTCATAATTATATCCCTCTTAATATACTTCTCCCTCATAATAATGTCCCTCTTAATATACTTCTCCCTCATAATAATGTCCCTCTTAATGTCCTTCTCCCTCATAATTATATCCCTCTTAATATACTTCTCCCTCATAATAATGTCCCTCTTAATATACTTCTCCCTCATGTCCCTCTTAATATATTTCTCCCTCATAATAATGTCCCTCTTAATATACTTCTCCCTCATAATAATGTCCCTCTTAATATACTTCTCCCTCATGTCCCTCTTAATATATTTCTCCCTCATAATAATGTCCCTCTTAATATACTTCTCCCTCATAATTATATCCCTCTTAATATACTTCTCCCTCACAATAATGTCCCTCTTAATATACTTCTCCCTCACAATACTGTCCCTCTTAATATACTTCTCCCTCATAATAATGTCCCTCCTAATATCCTTCTCCCTCACAATAATGTCCCTCTTAATATACTTCTCCCTCAGAATAATGTCCCTCTTAATATACTTCTCCCTCACAATAATGTCCCTCTTAATATACTTCTCCCTCACAATAATGTCCCTCTTAATATACTTCTCCCTCACAATAATGTCCCTCTTAATATACTTCTCCCTCACAATAATGTCCCTCTTAATATCCTTCTCCCTCAGAATAATGTCCCTCTTAATATACTTCTCCCTCACAATAATGTCCCTCTTAATATACTTCTCCCTCATGTCCCTCTTAATATACTTCTCCCTCATAATAATGTCCCTCTTAATATACTTCTCCCTCATGTCCCTCCTAATATCCTTCTCCCTCACAATAATGTCCCTCCGAATGTCCTTCTCCCTCATGTCCCTCTTAATATCCTTCTCCCTCACAATAATGTCCCTCTTAATATCCTTCTCCCTCATAATAATGTCCCTCTTAATATACTTCTCCCTCATAATAATGTCCCTCTTAATATACTTCTCCCTCATGTCCCTCTTAATATCCTTCTCCCTCACAATAATGTCCCTCCCAATGTCCTTCTCCCTCATGTCCCTCTTAATGTCCTTCTCCCTCACAATAATGTCCCTCTTAATATCCTTCTCCCTCACAATAATGTCCCTCTTAATATCCTTCTCCCTCACAATAATGTCCCTCTTAATATACTTCTCCCTCACAATACTGTCCCTCTTAATATACTTCTCCCTCATAATAATGTCCCTCCGAATGTCCTTCTCCCTCATAATAATGTCCCTCTTAATATCCTTCTCCCTCACAATAATGTCCCTCCCAATGTCCTTCTCCCTCATGTCCCTCTTAATGTCCTTCTCCCTCACAATAATGTCCCTCTTAATATCCTTCTCCCTCACAATAATGTCCCTCTTAATATCCTTCTCCCTCACAATAATGTCCCTCTTAATATACTTCTCCCTCACAATAATGTCCCTCTTAATATACTTCTCCCTCATAACAATGTCCCTCCCAATGTCCTTCTCCCTCACAATAATGTCTCTCCTAATATCCTTCTCCCTCATAATAATGTCCCTCTTAATATCCTTCTCCCTCACAATAATGTCCCTCCCAATGTCCTTCTCCCTCATGTCCCTCTTAATGTCCTTCTCCCTCACAATAATGTCCCTCTTAATATCCTTCTCCCTCACAATAATGTCCCTCTTAATATCCTTCTCCCTCACAATAATGTCCCTCTTAATATCCTTCTCCCTCATAATAATGTCCCTCTTAATATACTTCTCCCTCATGTCCCTCCTAATATACTTCTCCCTCATGTCCCTCTTAATATCCTTCTCCCTCATAATAATGTCCCTCTTAATATACTTCTCCCTCATGTCCCTCTTAATATACTTCTCCCTCATGTCCCTCTTAATATCCTTCTCCCTCATAATAATCTCCCTCTTAATATACTTCTCCCTCACAATTATGTCCCTCTTAATATACTTCTCCCTCACAATACTGTCCCTCTTAATATACTTCTCCCTCATAATAATGTCCCTCTTAATATCCTTCTCCCTCATAATAATCTCCCTCTTAATATACTTCTCCCTCACAATAATGTCCCTCTTAATATACTTCTCCCTCACAATAATGTCCCTCTTAATATCCTTCTCCCTCACAATAATGTCCCTCCGAGTGTCCTTCTCCCTCCTCCCTGTCTTCCAGTCCCACCTCCCTGGCCAGGGCCTGAGGTCCCTCTGGCTCCCTCCCGGACCCCCCAGCCTCTCTTCCCTCCCCTTCCCGCCTCCCGGGGCAGGGAGTTCCCTAGGCTTCCCCCGAGAGGAGACCCACCAGAGCCCGGCAGGCGAAGGCGAGGCCGGAAGGGACCTCAGAGGGAAGGAGGAGGAGGAGGAGCGGCCCGCCTTCCTTTCCTGTCCTCTCTAGGAAGCCAGCTCGGCGCCTCTTAACCCTTCTCGCGCCGGGCGGAGGCGCCCGAGGCGTCTCTGCCGGCGGAGGTGCCCGTGCGGGGCGGAGAGGAGGAGGCAGGGAAGAAGCAGGACCCAGAACCCGGGACTGGGCGCGTGTGCGTGTGAAGGGGGAACCCGTGTCCGGGAGGAGGAGCCCGTCTCTCTGCCTGGGGCTGCGAAGGGGCGTCTGGGCGGGGGAGAGGGGGGTCTTTGGGGGGGCAGATGGGGGACCCGGGGGTGTCTCTTCTCCGGGGGGCGAGTCTCTCTTGGGGGCCCCTGGGGGGGCTGCGGGGCAGAGAGCCCTGTCCCAGCAAGAGGGGGTCCCGGGGGGGGGGGCTGAATGGGCAGCTGGAGGGGGGAGACATTGCCAGACATGGCTGGGGGGCCATTCTGTGTTCTCCCATCTGCTGCTTCGTGTCTGTATTTCAGCCATAAATATCCCATGTTCTTCTCTGTTAGTGAAGTCGCCTTTGAAGCAACACAGGAGCAGCCAAGGGGGTTTTCCTAGGAAGCCTTTTATTCCCCTCTGGTGACATTCTTAGAAGTTTGTGGGTGCCCAACCCCCGCAAAATACCTCATAAATGTTGGAACTGGATTTAGACTTGGGTTGCCAACACCGGGTGCCAGACCCGTGTGGATGAAACGGTGTGTTTGACGCTCCTCATCCTCTGGAATCAGCGTGTCTTCACAGCTCCTTCAACCAGGCGAGGAAGGACGCCTGGATCCAGAATTGGCCCCCACGGTCACTGAGGGCCTCATGGTTGAAACCGTGTTTAGGGAAGACAATCTTACTCGGCTACGAGGGACGCCAGAGAAGAAGGGTTGCCATGTGTCCTCTTTTCCCAGGACACGTCCTCTTTTTCAGGGGTAAAATTTCTGTCCAGGTGGATTTTTTGGTCAAAATGTCTCTGGCCAGACGTTCTGGAGGAGACATAACTGGGGGTGGAAGACTTGCGTTCCTCTTCTCTTCTCCTGCCCCCCCCTCAGCAAAACATCTCACAGCTTCTCTAGCCTACATATAGTAGGAGTATTGAAAGTGAGAGTCATCATCGCATCCTCGTTTTTGCTCCTCAAAATCTGCCCACCCTCCCAGAGAAGGGCAACCAAGGAGATGAAGACTCCGTCCTCTTCCTTCTGTGACGGCAGGTTGCTCTTGCTCCTTGTCCGCCTTCCAAATGAAGAACAGAATCCTAAAGTTGGAAGGGACCCCAAGGTCCATCTAGGCCAGGGGAGGCAACCTAAGGACCAGGGGCCGGATGTGGCCCAATCGCCTTCTCAATCCGGCCCCCGGACGGTCCGGGAATCAGCGTGTTTTTACATGAGTAGAATGTGTCCTTTTACTTAAATTGCATCTCTGGGTTATTTGTGGGGCATAGGAATTGGTTCATTCCCCCCCCAAAAATATAGTCTGGCCCCCCACATGGTCTGAGGGACGGTGGACCGGCCCCCGGCTGGAAATGCTTGCTGACCCCGGATCTAGGGCTGTTTTTAAATGTCCCAACGCTGCCTGGCACTGGTCCCTCCAAATGCTCTTGTCTGGCTGGTCTTTCTTCACCCAGTCATGTCAAGGAGCAGCATGGGGGCTAAAAGGAGGAATAAATGGAGGACAATATCCCACTCCCCCCAGAAAAAGCTCTTCTTTCTCTTTCTGTGGAGGGTCTAGGCCCCTCTTGAAGGACCTTTACCTTGCTCCAATCAGATTGTATATTTCCACCCCTTGGGAAGGGACCGAAATAGTTTACTTGCCTCATAGCAAACTGGCATTTTGAAGCTTTGACCATTAGGCCTGCACACCATCAGCTTTTACAGTGGTACCTCGGGTTAAGTACCATATTTTTCGTTCTATAGGACGCACCGGCCCATAGGACGCACCGCGTTTTTTTGGGGGGGGGGGGAAATGAATAAAAAAAATTATCCCCCCCCCGCGGCTGCCGCCCCAAGCCTCGCGTGCTTCGGGCTGCAGGCTACCGCCCCAAGCCTCGCGCGCTCGGCGGGACCTCCTGCCGGGCGCGCAAGGCTTGCGGACACTCGCCGGGGCTGCAGGCTGCTGCCTGCAAGCCTTGTGAGCCCGCGGGAACTCCCACCGGGCTTGCAAGGCTTGCGGATAGCTTCCTGAAGCCTGGAGAGCGAGAGGGGTTGGTGCGCACCGATGCCTCTCGCTCTCCAGGCTTCAGCGAAAGCCTGCATTCGCCCCATAGGAAGCACACACATTTCCCCTTCATTTTTGGAGGGGAAAAAGTGCGTCCTATGGAGCGAAAAATACGGTACTTAATTCGCTCTGGAGGTCCATTTGTAACCTGAAACTGTTCTGGGGCCTCCTGAAACTGTTCATGTGCCGCCGGAACATGATTTCTGTTCTCATCCTGAAGCAAAGTTCTTAACCCGAGGTACTATTTCTGGGTTAGCGGAGTCTGTAACCTGAAGCGTCTGTAACCCGAGGTACCACTGTACATACTTTACATTTGCTGAGGCAAAATCTCCACCCCCAACATTGCTTGCGGCAGTTCTGCCCTCGCCTTAATCTCCTCCATTTTTAAAGGAAACATCTCTTTTTTAAAAAATAATAATAATAATATTTATTGATAATTTCAAAATTACAAGAGTAAGAACAAATAAAAAACCACACTACAATACAGGATAAAGAAAAAAAACAAGCAATTAAGAAAGGAGAAAAGCACAAAATATGAAAAACATGAAAAACCAATACGACAATACAACAAAAGAAGGTAAAAAAGAAGAAAAAAGAGAAAAAAACACAAAAAAACCCCCAAATTGCATATCCATAATTTCCATTTGCTTGTTTCATTGACCTCCTCACACCTCCGTTTTTGTATTCTAGTTTAGTAATTATTTCAGCAAATTCTTTCCATCTTTTCTCAATTTTTGTTATAAAATTTATCTTAACAATTTAACCTAATAGTTAGCTCAACAGATCCTTACCATCTTTCCCCATATTCTGTTATTCAAATTACCTTAATTTATTTGCCCTTATCTTATCCCTAAATGCCTTAAAACTTAAATCTTAAATTTCAAATATACATAACTCCTAATATCATTTCTGCTAGAGTCATATAGTTTCATTCCCACATTTTCCCTAATATTCATTTACTAATTCTAAAATAAAAAAAATTTCCATTATAAATTCTCTTCCAATCATCATCCAGCGTCTCTTCTTCCTGGTCACAGGTCATGTCAGTCCTTATTGTCCATTCCATCTAGTCCATCAACCTGGAAGCCTCATGTCCGAGGCCCTTAAATCTCTTCCATGTCCCTTCTGCAATTCTTCTTCATCTTGTTTGTGCTTGCCCTTTTCCTTGTCTTTTGTTGGTCTCTGTCTTAGTTTCTTTCCTTTCTCATTGAGGAGTAGGTCTCTGGGGGATTCCAACCCAAAATTATCTCCATCACCCTTCATCCAGCTCACCCATTCCCCACAGTCCCACTCCCCACAGTCCTCGATATAGTCCAAAATGAATTTAAGATCAAATTTCAAGGTCTCTCCAAGGCTAGGAACCTCCTCGTCTCCAGACTCCCCTTGGCCCACTCCAACTTCAATTTCCAAAAACTGCGGCTTATACTCCTGTAGGGCCTCGGGTCTCTCCATTTGTACTATTTGAGGTGCAGCCGCATCCTCCTCCATTGTCATCTGCACTTGCCCAGTCAGTGCAGATTGATAGATTGGTTCTTGGATGATTTCTGTATCAATATTGTTAACCACAACAGTCAAATCCATTTTCTCATTCATCAAGTCCATCTTCTCATGCATCTCTTCCAACAAAGCATTTGTCTTACAT